CCTTTTTTTGATACCCTACTCTACCTGGAACTTAGCGTTTTTTAATCTATATCTATAACTAGATAACAGTAAACATTGGTTTCTTATAATTCATATACTTTTTTCTGACAATCTTTCTCGGCTAACAAATCAATAGTAAAAAAATTTCACTTTCTGAACAAGGAATGTAAATAGCATATATATAAATACAAGTACAATGAAATGTGGAGTAAAGCTTTGTAGAGAAGTGATCTTGATAGTAGTACGTTTCCTATTTCCTGTGTTGCTAGGACGTCCTGTTGCCCCCGAAATAATGTATTAAACACGTCCACATCATTATTATGTGGGAGGGGAAATCATGTTGAAACTATTATACACCGGCTGCAGTTGTCATTTTTTTTTCAAATACAATGCCGAAATTTGCTTAATGAATATGTATTAAATGTCAATTAGGATTGTTAAAAAAGAGGAATTTTCGAAATCAACCTAACGTCAGCACTTTCTACTCGTTGTTTTAGTACGATTGTTTTCACTTTTTCGTTTCATAGCGGATTCATTTTTTTTCCATCTGGCTCTAGAGTAACGCCACGTACAATCTTTTTTCCGATGACTAAACCTTTTGAAATTTAAATTTAGTCACTGTCGAATTGTGAAACAAAAGAAGGGCTCTTCCTGCTTCGTAATGTTTCATTTCAAACGCTCAAAGCTTATTTTATTAAATCTGTAGTCGCATTATTGGTTTTTGGACAGTTAGTTTAATAAGGAATAGAGGGAATATGGCACATAAAAAATCATTCAAAGCGCTAGTAAGCACAGTACCATTATCTATAATTTTAAGGTCTAATGGACACAAATGCACAAGTGGGAGTCGTGTTTGTCGTTTGCGGTAGTATTATAAACAGACCTTGATCACGTTTGTCAAATATAACGGTATAAACATTCCATAATATAAACACTAATAATAAAATTGTCACCGTGGCGTTTACAAACAATAAATACAAAAAACAGACCCAACATTTTTAAACATATTTAGTTAGTTCAAATTTTGATCAATTTGTGAGTGCCGGAGTCGTATTTCTGAGGGAATGATGTAAGAAGAAAGAAGTAGATTGGGTTTTGTGTTTAGTACAACGCTCCTTCCCTTGTCATGTCCATGGAACGTGTCTGTTGTAGGCAACACATGCTTTCATCGTTCTGGTTTATCACAACAGTTGTCCGGATATCACCTCTATCAAAATCTTTTCCTTTAACTCTAACGACAACCATTTCCAAATAAGCATCCTTTGGACGAATGATGAATTTAAAAATATTAAATTTAGAAAACCAGAATTACTTAAGATTAATAAAACTAAATTTTTTTTTTTTTTTTTTTCTAACGCACACTGGCGTTAATGTTAAAGAATAACTGGGAAGCCCTATTCCTATTTCGCTTCCACCTAAGGACATTACACACTCCGATGTGACTCATGTCGTCAAGCATCTTCCTGTTAGAAAAGTTCCCGGATTTAACATTATTACAGCAATTCTCAAGTAATTTCCCAAAAATTCCTTCCTCCCTTGTGGTAATGCTCGGCCATAAAATTGATTCCTTAACCAGACAAATATTCCAGTATCGCCTGTCGGTTTATTACAAATTCCTGGTGAAACCCTTGAGAAACTCATACTTTAACGCCTTCATCCAATAGGAACTAATACCATACTTAGTTTTCGTACTCGGCACTCGAGCAGTATCATTGGGTGGTAGATGTAATCGCTACCTCTCTGGAATTTAAAGAATGCTGTGCTTGTATATTCCTGGACGTAGTCGTTTTGATAAAGTTTGACAGGTTGTTACTTAAGCTGAAGAATCTTACCTTCAACTTACATTTCAGGCTCATAAAGCCGACGCACACTTGTATTTTCTCAATTATTGCCGGTGTCACAGAAGGAAGTATGGCCAGATAATTAATCATCCTAGGTCACATTTAATATCATATATATATCAATGTATCACAATCCTACTTCTCCATTAATAATAATGTCGTTCTTCGCTGATGGCACAGGGATCCTATTATCTCTGAATTATTTAACATCCTATCTACCTAAACCGGATATCTTATTTTGATACTCTATGCTACCTGGAACATTTCATGGCCAAGAAATGAGTGGAACCCAGTCGATTTAGGCTCAAGAGGATCTTATCTTCTACTTAATCTTCAGCAATCCTAAAACTTTTCTGTGCATGTTAAGGCGTGCACTCTACTATATTGTCAGAATTAATACCTACTTATCCCTTCACTGATAATATCGACCTTGGCTGATAGCACAGCGATCCTTTCATTTCTGAATTACTTTACATCCTAACTACATGAAACATATACCGTAATTTGGTTTTCTACGAGCAGAGACTGACGTGAAACCCGCAAATTTATCTTAAAAGGCGTTGTTATTTGTTCACGGGAATCTTACCTTCCATTGACTCTCCTGCAATCCTAAGACATTTCCTCGTGCTCATCACTCATATTTGCTCGTGAAGGGCATGCACTCTCTTCTCTTTTCACTATTAATGGAGGTGATCTGTAAGGATGTATCCTAGGTCTTACTCTTAATATCATGTAACATATGGCAATCATCTTCTTAATGGTAATGTCATTCTTTGCTGATGGCACAACGATCCTGTCATCTTTGAATTAACTTACATCGTGTCTACCTTATGCAGATACCTTAGATACTATACGCTACCTGAGAAGTTGTTGCGGACAAGCGACTAAGTGGATTTAAATATGTTGTTTAGGGTCAAGAGAATCTTACCTTCCACTTACTCTCCTGCAATTCTTACGTTTCCATGCTCGTGAAAGCCACGTTTACATATTTAAGGTAGTGTCCCAAGGATGCATACTATGTCTTATTCTTGAAACCACGTATACATCTGACAATCCTGCTTCTTCTTCAATAGTAACGCCGGTCTTTGCTAATGGCATAGTCATCTCTGAAGTTCTTTACTATTAGTACTTTGGACTTTTCATTACAAGAGATTGACGTGGAACCCTCGAACTAAAGGACGCTACTATCTCCTCATTGTTTGTTCGACGATCTCAGTTATTTTTAAACAATAAATAATTGGCATATTTGCTGGTTTCATCTAAGTCGAAACTTTTTAATTGATTGACTGTTACCAGTTTCACCTGCGTGAAGTTGGATTTATTTTTTATAATCAATTTGTTTTTTAATGAGTTGTGCAGTCGCTCAGTAAACGGAATGAAGCAATCTGTAGATTGTGAAACCTGAATTTCATGTTTACACCTAAATTGGTTAGAACGTTTTAAACGTGTTGTTTCGAGTTTCGTTATTATCGTGCTTTCCGGTATTTTGCTAATTTTTATGTGTTATTTTACACAAAATTTTTCTTGTTTCGTGTTCTATTACTTTATTAGGTGCATCCCACTTGCAAGAACTAAATAGTAAGACTCTAAAATATGAAATTAGTGTTTAAAAACTCAACATCCTAACTCCTAGCTAGCCTTTTTAGATACAGAAATACACTTTGCTGTAAAAAGACAAGTTAAAAAAAGTCTTTTTTTATATGTAAATTCACTCTCCAAATTATCAATTTTAATAAATGTGAGGCCATGCATCATTTTATTCAATTTTACTTGGCATTTATACTTTTTGGATCTGAAGGCTATATGTGGTTATAGCACTTTTTATGGGCTTATGTGTAATTTAATATATCATATATTATAGCATTATAAAATCATTTATTATCGTAGAAGAAACGACTGTGCCTATATCAAATAATTTTATGTATTTAGGCTCCACACCAGCTAAATTATTCGCAGGGCAGCCTAAGTTAGTCTGGTAAAGGTTCTACACCTTTGATAGCGTTCGGAATAGCTTCATAAAAACATACACTTGAAAACACAAAACGATTTATTTCCTCACTGAAGATGCCGAAACGCGTTTGAATTGTCGGGCTGACAACAGACCCGCGAGTGAAGACGGACCCAATAAGTGATATTGTCATACTGCTTGCAAAGGTGGGCTTCACCTTACTTAAACAAAGTTGAGAAAAAGCTAAAATTATGTACCTTTAGCACCTTACTCAATACACCCCTGGTCATTTTGTAAGGCTTGAAACAGGTTGGAATCGATTACAGGCAAAAGTTTTTAAAAGAACGTTAGAACTCTGGTTCAAACTTTCGCTACTCTAAAATGAAAGCCATCGGAAATAATCACGTTCCAAAACTCTGGCGTTTCTCCATATTCGCCACCCAGAATTGCCATTGGATGGAATAAACAAGATGCTCAAACCCTAAATATAAAATTTCATTTTTTTGTAATTCTGGCCATAGATACAAAATATAAATTTCGTATTGGTGGTTCGAGTGGGTTTGACGTCGAAAAGTACCTAATCGCAAATGACAACAATCCTGTACCATTTCCCAAATTTGGACTTAATATTGTATATTCGGTCTATACATTTCTGATGTCTTAAAATGTTTTCTCTTTGTTTACCTGCATTTAATAATATCCGAATTGACTGATAAATTACTTATAAATCACAATAATTCTCTCAGAAGAAAATAAAATTTTAACTTCCATTATTATGTTAATGCTTGAAGATTTTTTAATTGTACTTATCTTAAGTAAGTATAATTATTATATCCATGATTATATTGCACACTTTTTTTAACCCAATCCAACCTATTTTAATCATTTTAATTTCCGAATGCATTTTGTCACAGACATTCGAGGTGTTTCTTTTGACTAAATTCTAAAGTGACAGTTTGGGTGACTTGCTGATGACCAAGTGCAGCCCACTGAAGTAATTTCATAATATGAATAATTTAGTTGTGTAAAACGGGAAATGGTGTGGATTTCCCCTTTTTTGTGCAATTATTAAGATGCATTTAAATTTATTAAAGCTTCAGTAAAAGGTGCTAAAGTAGCGATGAAAAATGACCTTTATGAGCTTATAATTTATTTATCCTCTTCATTTTTGTGTGTTTTATTGCTTACAACGAATGACTGAAATTCTGGCGTTAGTCGAATTTAAATTAGCATCATTTTAATCTAACTGATTTTAGCTTTTTTCTCTCTCCCACACGTTGTTCTTTTGAGTATTGAATCTGCCTCTTCTTTTCTTCTCCCCTTGTTTTTAACTATTGACCGACATCCCTATTGGCTTGAGTCACGATTCAGCACTATCATCAAATTGTGTTTGTTCAGCCATCGAGATTAGATTCATATATTCGAACCTGCAATTGATGACACATTGAACATTACATATCCAATGCTGGATCTTAAGAGATATTTTACTTGTTAAATGTATACAAATTGTCATTTTTCATTCAGGTTACGTCGGGACTCTAAATAGAAACCACTAAGTCAGGATTATCAGTCAGAAAAATGAAGAATTTTTTTTAATATCGTTCCTTAATATTCAATGTAGGACCGTGAGAATCGCCTAAGTTTGGTTTCGGGGATCGTTTTACATCTGAACTTAGGCAAAACAACTATTACTTTTTCTATGAAAGCAAAATTCGCACTGTGAAACTCGCTCATTCTGTCTCATTCTATAGAAGTAGGACTGAAGACTATTTTTCAATAACTGACCTAAATCAGTGCCGAGAGGGTACTCCTTAGTCCATCATACATTAACGCTAATAAATACATGCATGGTTGACATTTAACCCTTGAGTACACAACAATAGGAAGACCACCGTTTCTTCCTAAGATATAAGAATTTTTCCTAAAATTCTAGAAACTTGTAGTTGAGCTCCAGTTCAATTCTTGTGGAGCTAAGATATGACCGTACACCCGTCCTTTGGTGATACCAGCCCTATTTGCGCGATTTGGCCCAAAAGTAGTTTCCGCGTTTCCAATTTTTATGAATTTGTAATTGCGATGTCTGTTGCAGTGTTGACACTGAAAAGGGTGGGTGCTATTGCTTTCGCAAGAAGGTCCCCAATCTTTTCGCCCTACCGCAGGCCAGTTACCGTGAGCTCGACGGCACAAGACCCCTTTAAGGCCAGCGAGAGGGCGCTCCTTAAGCCCTTAAGAAGCTGGTTAAGAGGGAGGTTTAGTTAAGTGTCTTGTAAAGGATCGATGAGTGTTGTGGAGATTCCACTCATACGACTGTACTGGGCATCCTCAAAGGTCCTTTCGAGCTATCAATATGACTGTAGTTTGGTCGTTTCCTGTCATTTTGATACGACGCTGGCGCGTACGTAGTGTGAGCCTGATGGTTCGGTGGTGCTGATTAATCAGCTTCCCCTACCCAATACAGAGTTCCTCTCCTTAGAAGAGAAGTACAACAATCCCTTGATGGTTAGCAATTCTACTAACACAACCAACAAAACCGTGGTCGGAACGTATCCGGAGGCCCTGAAGCTAGAGGGGCCCTTCCACCCTGGGGAGTTGCCTTCTCCGTCTAGGGTAGAATGGCTGGAATGCCAGACTGCGCAAGTCAGTCTTGGCTTCCTTTGCTAAGCGGCACACGGTCGAGTGGTGAACGTCGACCCTCCTCCTCGCATGGGGCAGGTGAGGAGGAAGTTCGTCTTGGTCCTTGGGGGTTGGGGCGACTTCTACACCAATTTAGAGTATAACACACATCTACTTGTAAGCAGAAGTGCGTCGTCTCTCACTATGATAAACAAAACGTCCGATAAGACCACGAGCTAGGTGCGGATGAAAAAAATCCTCGTGTCCTTTTCAGGACTACGAGTAAATATGGAAAGAATACCATGTCTACCTTGGTTATTTGTCTGTCTGACGTGTTACTAGCACGCCAACCCAACTGCCTATCCTCGCTATTTTGGACTTATCAGAACATGTAAGAAACAGCTTACTTGGTCGCAATATATGGTCAAATGTAACTGTAGTTTGATCGTTCTAAATTATTCCAAGCTGTTTTGGCATGTCAGACTACCACCGTTCTGCAGTTTGATCGTTTCCAGTTCTCGTGGTCTGCCTATGCTCGTTGTTTTGGTCAGTCAACGCGAACCAGGAGACCAGCCAACATCGCAGCTTGGATGACAATTCGATGACAGAAAACTGTAGTTTGAAGGTTGCATATCATTCTGATCTGCTCTCTTTGTTGTTTTTATCTGTCAGAAGTGTAACTAGTGGACCAGCCAAATGGCTACAATATTTGATTTTAAAAAGCATTTTGGATGTTTCCGATCATTTAGCCTTCCTATCCTAGATGCTTTGGTCAGTCAGAACACGTTACTAGCATACTAGCCAACATGGCTGTAGCCAGTTTCCCATCATTTTGGTATGCCTATTCTCATTTTTTATGTCATCGTGTAACTAGCAGACCAGCCAACAGATGCACTATTTGGTGATAGAATACTGTCTTTTCCGGCATTTTGTTTGTGGTGAATGCCACAATGCGAAGATAGGGAGTCGAAAATGATGGGAAAAGACAAAACTACAGGTTCAGCTCCCTTTTATTTCGTGTCGACATGAAAACACACACATATATTATATATGTATACTTAAAAAATTTTCTCCTTATGTCTAGTCTTGAGGCAACTGTAAAAATGTGAAAAGTGTTAAAACGTTTAGGACCTTTCATACAGTAAGAAAGAAAATATTTAGTCTGTGTACATGTGCACACCAATTACAACCAAAGGCCTTACCTCATTGCCATTGCTGAAAATACTATCATACCGAGAAAGAGTCCTAAAGCCATGCCTAAAAACGCCATGCCCACCTTAATCATTTTCTTAAAAAATCTGTTGTTTTCTTTTTGAAACAACTATAATACTCTATTTTACAACAAATAGTCACATATGTTGTTAATATTTTACAGACTCATTATTGAATTTCAAGGTAGAATAGTTCAGAAAATAGGCATAAAGTATTTGTTAACAAATGTCGGGCATTTATGCTATTTATATTTATGTTTCTATGTATACCGAACTGTGTTTTACATTTGTCTTATGTTCCGATAATATGTTACAGCAATGTTTTTGTATGTTCAACCCTAGGAAACTTGATTATTGCGACCTCGTATTTCATGTAAATTTGCTTTAAAGCATCCAGCCTCGTGTAAATGTGTAAAATCGGACAGTCCTCTCCCAAAGTTTCCTGCACACCGACCGGTTATTATTTAGGTCGGACCGTTTATTGCACGGTTGTATGCCGCCGAGCCCTATTTGTAACAGGATTCTGAATTAATTAACAAAATGCCAACACAGGTCAGAATATTAGACGAGGTAATACGGTAAGATCTCCTGGTAAAAATGAATGGATAAAAGATACAAAATTCTTGTAAAAAAAGTTCTGGACATATGATGTGGAACTGCAGCCAGCGCATCCAATCCTTCTAATCTAAAGTCGTCAGACAAATTGTCAAAGCTCCTTACTATACCACAAACCTCAATATCCAGAATGACCTCCATATTCCTTTTCTCGACAAACCTATCCGATCCTTGCAAACCAGCATAAAACCTTTCGATCCAGCATAAAAACGACGAAGGCCTCGAGGCCTCCTCACCCCTTAAACCCTCAAATTGAGTGCTAGGGGTTTGTTGGTGTCAGTATTGTGACCTGAGAGAAAAATAACATATGGGCGCATATTTGTAATATGTATTTATGTACATATACAAATACATTTAAAAAAACAATTAAAGAACACTCTTCAACAGAACGTTCCGAACGTTCCCTTGAACAATCTTATCTGCCAACAAAAATATTAATAACAATTGTGCTAAGAATAATGAACTTTCTGAAAGTATTAGACCCTTCACTTAATTTAAATAGGTCAATATTCTTATTTCAATTAATTTTCTACAAGAATTGGCGGATGCCAAGGTGTTAAAAATATAATACTAGATCATTTGTGAACTAAAGCAAAAGAGTATGACTGAGCAAAGTAGGTTAAAAAAAATTGTAAGCAAAAATCATGTTGATATTAGAAAATTAAAAAGATTCTCAATTTTTTTTCCAAATTTTTTTCAAAATTTCATTTTTTCACAGATTTCATAAATGCTAATATCTTTGAAACGAATCCACCTGACACTTTACAGTGGTTTAGATCCCTATAAACTACACGTAATGAGACAATCTAATATAATAACTAACAAATAAATTGAAACCAGGCATATCAAAAAAGCGTTCCAGGAGTTTTTGTTCATTTTCTCATTTATAGTGATATAAATTCTAAATTTTATTGACACAGGCTGAAAGAAAAGAATTTCAACTTTCCGACGGTGAAATTACATTTGATCAAATCAATAAGAGTTGCGAATTTTTAAATGGGGGCATCGAACATCAAGAAAAAAAAACTGTCCTCGGTTAATTCAGCGAAAAATTATGTTTTTTATTACTTTGAAAACTTATATTTAAGGGTTTTAAAGGGTGCTTAAGACGAATCCAATCAACAAATCTTTTTGGCATACTTTAGCCCAGACTAGAAACGTCTTTCGTTTTTGTAACGTGTTGTATATCTGATCTCATTTAATACTCTTGACTATAAAGACTTCCTAAGTTTTCCAACTTTTTATTTTAAAGTTTAAAAAGTTCGAAAAGCTTATGAAGGCTTTATAATCCAGATTCTCATCCGCTTCCAACAAAAAGAAAAGCAAGAATTAACTCATTTAATACATTCCTAAATATTATTTTTATAATCCTACGTAAAATAAGAAATCAACCGATATATAATAATTTTGAAAAATAAACACAGAAGGCAGAAAACCATAGTTAAATTAATTTTTTATCTCTTAGAGCCCATTCGCAAAACTGCTTGAACATTATTCTGGTGTCTAATATTTATCGACCTAATAAAAAATCAGGTGAGATGTTGAAAAAATCATTGGTGGAAACAATAAAAACACAAATAATATATTCAATATACTATCCGTAAATCCATAGATTGTTCACTTTCAAAATTGGTAGTTTGTGTATGTTGTTCTCTTAAGGTGAAGAACGCAAATTTACAAAATACCTATGTTTTTATTATCAGAATTCCTCGTAATTGCTGATAAAATCTCCTAGGACCCTGTATTTTCTTCGAGACAAGCTAAAATTATTCAGGAAGAAAAAATCAGCTTATCGGAATCTTATGAGAGGAGAATGTAAAATTACTTTTTATTGTTTAAACTAGCAAACTTAGGTTTATTTTGGTTGTTCGATTTAATTTTCAACAGATATATTTTATTATTTAAAAAGACTTGTTTTAGTTGTTTAAATAAAATGTAATTTACCTACGGAATCCTTACCTTGCAATATAACAATGGGTATTACAAACTTACCCTTATTTTTAACTGTAGTTAAACTATTGTCGGTTAAATTCAAAAAAGGCAATAATTACTCAGATTTTTCTATTAAATAAATTTAATCAAAGTTTGCGTTTTCCCCTAACTCGGTAGACATCAGTAAAGCAAATGTAGATAGTGGCAATCCGGACATCATCTATCATGTTCTCATTTCATTATCACATCGTTTTCTTTTAATTAATTATTTTATATTTTTAACTTTCAATTTTATAATCAGTGACAGAATTCCGATTTTAGTTTATTATTATTTTTATATAATTTAAACAATGACAAAACTGTTCTGTGCTGACATATGGAATGACTGTATAGAACAGAAAAATAAATACACACCTGAAAGCACAGGGCAGAAATTAGTGAAAACACTATATAAAATTCAATTAAAAAAACTGTGGCACAGTAATTAGAGCCGGTGTGATGTGTTAAAAGGAGAATGTGTAGGAGAAAGTTGTAGCAATTAAACTTAATTGTTCCTAAAATATGTGACTTTTCTCAAGATTCTTTTTCTTAAGATTTAACGTTGAGTTAGTTTAGTATTGCTAGGAAAACTGAATAGCCTACGACCTAGATGTATTTTTTCGTTTTAATTTTTTGTTTTATAATTCACGGCTGGGTTGACTTCATACAATAATATCCGGAGAAAGAAAATGATATCTGCCCTTGTCTTTGAAACGAAAGGAAGGGAAATTGTTTACAGCCAGATTGTAATCGTTGGTTTTGCAACATTTAGCAATATTCATAAAACCAATGAATATTTTTAAATGTCTGATTGCTTTGATTGATGCGAATTGTGAATCTGAAAAACAAATGCGTCAGGACAATAATGTAAAGCTTTTTGTAGAGATTACGCTTTGTAATTTTTAATTCATATGGCTGCTTTCGATTTTTTTTACCTACTTAGATTTATATAAACGTGTGACATCAATTAGATTAACCAACACCGGGTATGTTGTTTATATAGTGCGTAAGAAAATATTTTCAAAGCACTTATACTGGTCATTTGGGAGAGTTTGTTTTCCAAGTCAACTATGCCATGTCTTTTCCCGATAATCTCTAAAGTTAGAAGTAAAAAAATTATTTCAGTCTAAAAATGATAATAGAACTAACTTTTCTTTACTCGGTTCAGTGAAAATAGAGAGCTTATTCGCTACAAATATTCTATTATGTTTGGAATTTGCATAAAATTTGCCAGTGTGGTGAAAAATAAAAATCTAAATGAAAATATTCTTTGGTTTTATAGAGATTCTAAAGAGAGGTTTTGCTTGTTTTCCATTATGCGGATAGTAATATTTGCGTGAAGTTCGATTCCAATGAATTATCAATTTATAATTCGGAAATTTTCTTTATTGATGACATTTCTCTTTGGCAGGATTAATCGGTTAAGAGGATAAGTTCCAGATGATTTTTGAAGCTGAGAAAGTGGCAGCATAGGTCTGAAACCGAAATGTGTATCTGGGTAACTGGGGCAGGAAGTGTTCACTACTTACGTGTGAAATTTCATAATAATATCCTCACCAAGTCCCAGGTAATTAGCAAAACGTGCATGTAGCCTAGGCACGGATTTGCATTATGGAATTGATTTGAGGGGGGTGAATGTCGCCGAAGGTCTTGGAAAAAAAAGAAAGTAAGGTTTTGTTTCGTGTGTGATTGTTTCAAACTATGCGAACCATTTATAAACAAAAACTTTCTTTCGTTTTAATCCATGTCCACTCTACTAAGCAAGGTTGACAGGTCATTTATTATTACTCACTGGGCTACTTGCAATAGAAGATTTTGTAATGCCACGTCAATACTCGAGCAATTAGACTATCTAGAAATTTGGTGGCGTTTCGGTAGATTTTCTCACAGATACTATTGTACATTCTGCAAGAAGGATTTTCAATCTCGCTATAACCGACATACTATTTTGATTTGACTATCATTCTTCACATAAAATTTTAATTTCCGGCAGGCCTTCTTCATGCCTTGTCTGATTTTCTTTCTTGAGCAAAATATCACACTATCATCTTCAGAATTAACTCGACCATTTGGTCATTTAGATGGTCCAGAATAATAAGCCTGATGCGTAATCTATCGAAATCACTGAGCTCCTTCCTGAAGATCGCTTTGCACAGGTTCCTTAAGGAACTTCTTGGCTTTCATAACTACCGAGTGTTTCGGTCTGGTAAGTCGCCACCACCAGAAAGCGATCTTCTCCAGAATACGTAACTATTTGCTTCCCGATCTTTGTACAGTTGGATTATGAATTTCTTCCTGAAGCTGTTGTCAATTTTGATCGAGCGCCCTCTCATTCCACACACTCGATGGTAAATATCTCTATTTTACTTGGATTAACCCTCATCCACGAATTATCAGATAAATATAACTATTTTCACTGGTTTCACTAATTAAACCCGCTATATATTAAACTATAATACTCAACAATGATTCAGAATATCTTTTAACTTCAACAAAGTTTGCCATTGTTGTTAGGATTGATCTTATTCGTTCATTTTTATAGACTCATGCACATTTTTATCAATACCTCCACATAAAATTCATGCCGTTGAAATTGTATTGCTTTTTCCTGAAAGTCTACTGGCTTCATCAATTTTTATATCATGTCTTCATTTTAATTCTGGCATAATTTCTATTTAGGTTTTAGGTGATAGATAAAAAAAAGTTCTACAATTAAAAAATGCATGCATTCATTGTCATCTTTTCACATAGTTTTTTCAGGTTTGCATTTCTTTCGGAATTGATTTTCTCCAGTTCCAGCATTGAAATTCCCTGGCTAATACAATGTTTTCTAATCCCTGAACTCTCGATGATTGTTTATAAATTTGTTCGAAAGCGGCAAATCGTTTTACCAACGAGTATAGTCCACGTTATACATTTTTGAATGGTCTTGTCATTGGGAATCATCCTCTCCTAATTGGGAATCCTCTGTTTATTGATTTCATATTAGTGTTTTTTCTTTCTGTTTGTATTCTTTGTCATTTATATTATGCACAGTGTTTCTGGAGTGCCTCAGCTAAAATTGATTTCATAAAATGTACAGGGTGTCCTGACTAGGTAGGTATACCTATATTCAGTTTCCCCTTCAAAGTAAGGTCATTAATTTGTTTTACATGGTCATCAATTTGATGTTTTGGCCCCAGTCTTTCGATGCAGATTCAAATTTTGACTAAAGTGGAAAAGATTGGACTAAAGCATTTGATTCCCAAGAAGGAAATCTATGGGAAAAAGAAAACAATATAAGAACTTCAGATGTTTGCATATATTGTAGAATAACGATAGGAGGATATTTACCTATTGCGAAAACTGCTAGTCACTGTTTACCATAAAAATGGCTAACGGATATTTAAATTAGATTATATTTTCATTGTATATTATACTGCACAGGTGTCCCGTTGGCAGATGTCAGTACTTCAGGAGGTCATCCTGCATGTCACATTGGACTAAGAAGTCCCCATTGTCTCAAGTCTATATTCGAGATATTTCACTTTTCAGGTTACTTCGACCTTTCACAACTTTAAAATTCTTCGTGTCCCACAAAATGTTAATTCTCCTATAAACTTGATTACACCAAGAGCATGAAAACCCTGAGATTTTATTAAATTATTATTATTATCACATTATTTTTTGTATTGTGACCTTAACCAAACAAACAACAAAATCACTTAGAATATGCACCTAACGAGTTTGCAAAATTTTGGTTTAAATTTTAAGTAATATTTTCTTAGTTTTTTAAACACTGACAGATATGGTGTTTACAGTAAAGTTGTCCTGACTAATGTGCTTTAATCACATGTCACCGTTTAATTGATAATTTTTACCCACGGTTCAAAAAAGTTAATTATTAAGATTTTGAAACTTACATCTTAAAAAATTATGAGAGTAATACAAATTAAATAAAAAAGACAGTACAAAATTGAACATAAGAGAAAACAAAGTTTTAAATATTAAATTAAATGTTAAAAATGTACAGTTTCTTGAAGTATGCAAGCCAAAGAAGGTGGATTTTGAACATTTAATTTAATTTCTAAGAGGCTTTTGTTTGTTCTTATGTTGAATTTAGTGGGACATAGAACAAAGAGGGTTTTGTATTTACTTCGTATTATTTTCATTATTTTTTTAATATAAATTTCAATATCTTTGACAATTAAATTAAATTTGTAGCTATTAAACGTTATTTTACATTGATGATAACTGATCTTTGAGAAATTTAGTACATGTGTTTACAGCTCAATAGTAAGGGCAACTATTCTGCAATCACCAAATCTGTCAGTATTTACAGAACTAAGAAAATCTTACTTAAACTTTAAACAAAAACTTCAGAAACTCGTAAAAGTTTATGTTTTAAGCGATTTTGTGTTCTATTTGTCACAATAAAAAAATGAATTAATAGGGTTTGCAATTCTCTTGGTATAATAAAATTTATATTAGGAATATTTTATGAGATACTTAGGACTTTAAGAAATAAAGTTGTAACCTGAAAAGTAAAATACAAGTGAGAATCAGTTTGGTCAATAAGGACTTTTTTAGTTCAGTTTGACGTGTAGGATAAACTCCTGAAGTATTGACATCTATCCATGGGACACCCTGTGTAGTATAATATACAATCAATATATAATCTAATTTAAATATCCGTTAATTAGACGTGCTACTTTTGTGGCAAAAAATGTGTATTTCTACTATTTCCAAACGATTAACAGTTTTTGCAATAGGTAAGTAGCCGCCTATTCTATAATATATGCAAACATCCGAAGTTGTTATATTGTTTTTTTCCCCTCACAGATTTTCTGCTTGGGATTCAAATGCACTAGTCCAATTCTTTCCGCTTTGATCGTATAGTATTAAAATTTACTTTGATTTGTATCGAAAGACTGTCGCCAAAAAGTCAATATGATGACCATGTAAACAAATCATTGACATTATCTTGAAGAGGGAAACCTATCTTCGCAGCACACCCACGATTTCACTTGTGCTAAAGTCTTTTTTTCACCTGACCCATCCATGCTAACTTTATGCCTACCTTTCTCTTCTTATTTCCCACGTCTTCCATTATACACAAAACCGCCTATCAGTTCAATGAAAGTTATTCGCTTTTCTGGCAAAGTGAAGTAAGTGGTTTCGGTTTTGTTGGGTAAAAACTGGTTTCGAACAAATAACAGAGCAATTTTAAAGTGGTTATAAGCCAAAATGATTATTACTTCTATTAGAAGATTTTATGTAAGCTAACGTTTTTATTCGTATGTTTTATGCATATTTTTTTCTGTAGCTCAATGGCGGGAAAGACGAAGCTGATGGCTCAGGAGACGAAGATACAGAAGAGTCCATTGTGTGCAACGTGCGTTTCGTTGGAGACAATATACTCATCAACGGAAAGTCCAACCTGAAGAAAGAATCAAAAGAAAACAAGGTAATGTTTTGTTTTGTATTGTTTTGTTATGTTTTCACTCAACAAACGATACACCTTCCGAAGGCCGTGTTTGACAAAATAATAAACATCCGGAAAAACTGCGGTGTCATTATAAATCGGCACCAATCGTAGGAAATGTTTCTCTTTACATAATTGCCAACGATATTGAAAAATGTCTGTTGAAGGACACTTTCAAAGAAGGGGCACTGACTGGTTCGAGCTCGACCAATTTTTCCTTATTTCGTTTTAATCGATGCCCATTAATCTTGTATCCTTGTGATTGTTACTGGATTCAGTAACGTTAATTTAAAATAACACTATTTTGTCAATAGTATTAGGTACAAAGTGGAATTTTAATTTTGCTTTTAAGAAATGGGATTTTAAGAAAGCTCCTTACCATCACTTTGGAATTATAAATCTCTCTGGATTTTACACCTATCAGTTTATAGTAAAGTTGAAAAACATGCACATAGAGGTTGAAAAAGACTTTTATATTAAAATAAAAATGTATCATATTAAGTAATTTAATTTAACAGTAATTTATTTTATTAAAAACTTCATATCTTGGCAATAACTGGGCAAAATATACACAAATCCACTTGTATAGAATTTTGCTTGTTTTGTTTGTGTGGATTTTCTCTTTGGGGTCTGTTGGGTGCTGAACCTGTAATTTGGTCGACATCGATCATTTTTGGTGGGTTTTGGAAAATAGGGAAGGAAATACCTAAACACGTCTGACATACCAATACAGCTAGCCAGGCTAAAAAGGTAACAACCAAATTAAAAATTGTCACAGACTGTGGTTATTAAACACTGTGCCAAGAATAAAGTGTTCGGTATTATTAACCAAAGAATAAGTAACTACTTGGGCAGCCAGGTGGCAATCAAGGTAACTCGATAGTAATGTTCAGAGTCGTTTGCATGATATGGAATTGCCCTGTAAGATATTGGGCATACTAAATTACGATTGTTTGGGTATGAGGACACAGAGGGCAGAGGAGCAACAAAGAGGCCGATAAATTGTCTAAGGAAAGTTCGATGAGGACACCTATTTAGCTTTGAACTTCGTGGCATACCAAATTTGCCAAAAAACGTAGATCCGTCAGCCTCGGTTCAATGTGATGTATTCCAGGACAGAGGCATGCAAATAGTTCATCAAAGGAGCATCGCTCCACGCCGCCAACTATTAAATCTGGACATTGCCAACTCTGGAGGCATATGCATCGACACGGAACAGAAACACGCCTTTACGGATATTGCCAAGAAGAATAAGAAGCAGCGGGACATGCCGGTTTGTGCAGGCTGAGATTCTTCTCATGGGACAGAAAAAGCCCGGGCTTGAAAGATAAACACGAAAGTCTGTACAAAGCATTGGGTCTGGTAAAAAGCCAGATTAGACAATACAGCCTGACCTGCCCTAGGCTGTTTGAAACAAATCGGGATGACCGTTTTAGTGTAGGCTCAATTGGGGATAAACCACACCTGCCAAGTCAAACGTTTTATTGGCTTCAGTCAATTACCAGGTGTTGTTTCATCAGTCTCGGTTTGCTTCAGAATTACCAAAGAAAGGTAGCATACATTACACGTTTGTCTAAGCCCACACCTCTACTTTTCTAGAAGAAACAGGCTATTTTCTGCAGACCAGAATAAAGCCAGAAGTTAATAAGAGAGCCAGGAAACCACATATTTTGTACCCCCCCCTCATCCAGACATAAATTGTCAGGAGAAAAGGAATAATAAAGACAGTTTTAAATTAACTATATAGGCAATGGGAGAGCATGTATGATGTGACCCTTTCAAATAGTCCAGTTATCAGAAGCCATGTCGCCAATTAATTATAGCGCCGGTACAACAAAATATTTTGGACACCAAAATTGTAATTTATAACAATCAAATCGTACATCGCAAAGGAGTCTTCTACATGTCCGTTTTCAAATGACTAAACATCATTCGGGCCTATTAGTGAGGAGCTCTAATAATGGAGATGCACACTAAACCAATACTGGTCGCGTTGTGTAGGTCGTAAAGAGATCGACTCATTTTATTAACCTTTCAATTAAATTTTTAAGGAGTTATTCTCGCCAGTTTTATTTGTTATTGCAGTATGTAATTAAAAAATACGCATACATTGAAAGTATATCACAGCTAATTTAGATAGTTTTCTAGTTTTGTTTGTAAGTTTTTAAACTCGGATTTAGTCCATTGGCCGTTATAGTAAGTACCCTAGAGGAAACATCCTATTTTAGGGCTACCTGCCTTAATTTTGTGAAACTATTAGAAACGAAAAAATATATTTTGGGAAACTGAATAGGTATGAAAATATGATTGTGAAATCTTAATACATTCTATAAAAATTGATCGAGATATGTTGATATTATCTTGTTAATTGCTTGAAAAGCTACAGTTTTATTTTATAAATTAAAGTGCATTTATATTGAGAGAATTTAGTGAACCCATTTAGGCTCTTAGAACTATCTTTAAGTGTTTTTCAATCAACGTTTTGTAATTTTATACACCACTTTTGTTTGATAACGGTGTAATTTTTATATTCCCACATACATTACAAAGTGTTTTAATTAGAATACAATACATATTTCATAGCGTACGTATTAAGAGGCGACAATTACTCATCAATTACGGTCTCACAGTAAGTTGTATTTATATAAAAGTTATCAAATTGTATTGGAAAAATCAGTGATAAAGCGGATTTGAAAAAACTTTATCAGGTCTTTGAAACTATATCTAATCATTTAAACGATTAGCAAATATAAATATAAAATATAAACATCTTACATTATTAAAAATCATGGCTTCAACAATAATGAATTTATGAGTTCCACATTAAAAATCATAATAAATGTATGAGTTTAGCTTAGTAAATCTTGCCCACTCTACGAAGCTAAACTAATAAATTAATTGAGAGATTTCCTCCTGTGGTCTGCGGGGTGATAAACCTATAGTTTCATATGTACCTATCATCTTGGTCTGCCTATCCTCCCTGATATTTATTAGTTCAGACGAGTATCGGCATTTCGCCATCTTCAGTGTTTACGTGTACCAAGATGATAAATTTATGTTTATTACAAAGACGAAAAAATTACTACTACGAACTATTTTGTTGATTATTTCCAACTGTAGGTATTTTTATCGTTATATTAATTATAATATACTTATTTTAATGTAAACCAAATTAAACGAGAAAAAAAATTTATGAGTTTTTAGTAAAATTTGTTTAATTATTATGGTTTGAAAGAAAATTCACCAAAAAAAAAGGAAAATCGTTTAGTGATAGTTTAAAATTTAAGAATTGTTTTACCTAGTTCTGCTCTCAATTCGTGTTTTCTCGGGTTTTTGTCTTTAAGAATAATTTTGTTAATTAAGTAAACTATTCGAAACAGTTTCAATGTCCTGATAAAGGGGCCCAAAATGATCTTTGAGGATGGGACTGAGTATTTTTCTAGTTGTTTATATGCAGAAATATTATTAATGTAGATTAATGTAATATCAATATAAAAATATAATTCAATTAATTAAGGTTTTTAGTTGAGATGCGGACCACGAAAAATAGTGAATATAAAAATATAAGTTATAAGTTAGAGTGATATAAATTAATCGCGACCAGTTTTCTTACTTCCTGGTGTTTTTAGCTTGAAAGTTGAAATCATCTAGAAAGGCGACCGTCTGGAATTTCCCTTCCATTCATTGTCAACGGTAATTAATCGATATAGGAATGAAAGTTGGGAAAAATAAATCTCTAAGTAGCTAGGGGTAAATGTAGATGACAGCACAGCTGGAAATATCACGTGGGATTTTAGCCCCGCAGAAGTCTATAAGAAAATAATGGGCGTCCAAAAGTAGTAGAGTAGGTGAATTCTTCCAATAACGGTACTGAGTCTATTCCAGCTATCTAACAGGATTTGCGACCTTGCTTACATTCGGTATTTATTTTACCGGCAAGGCTACACAATTCTTCTAAGTTTTGTCGTTTCACGCAAGGTCGTGTTACGTTTCCAACGTCCAATAACAATTGGATAAAAAAATCGGATTAATTATTTTACGAAAAAGATTATCCCCACCAGGAAGGGAAAAGCTGTTTTCTTTTCTAATAATTGGGACAGACCATTCTGGATCATCGTAAATTTGAAGGTGATTCTTGTAAAAAAAGCTAAACATTTAAAAAAAATGAAGCTAAGGATAAAACAATAAGGAACAAATTTGCCCACAAATTTCGTCGTTCGGATTTTCAATAACTATCTCGTAAAGCAAAATAGTAAAGACGCATTCTGGAGGTTTATATTATTTTTATGATTTTTTCCTTCTTAATCAAAACGAACGAGTATTCATCATTATTAGGGATTCACTTATTTTTTCTGAGCCTCGTACAACGTTTTTGAAACTTTTATTGCATGTTTCGTACTTCGTATTTTATTTTACATACCTGTAAATATGTGTGTTTTACATATTAATAATTTTGAGGATTTTACATATAATTATATATTTTACCTTAATTTACTTATTTTATTAAACGAAATAAAAAAAATATATATATAGCAAAAAAAAAAGGTAAAAATGTTTTCAGAGAACTAAAAATTTCAAGATGTAAACAAACAAAAAATTGATAGAAAGGGAATGGGAAAATCTTCTAGCTGTAGCCCTATAAAAGGCAAAATAAATTATGGAAAATTTAGCATTTATTGCATCAAACTTTTTATTTTGATTTAGGAAAATTGCAGAAAAGAAATTCCTCTCACTCCAAATGAGATTTCAGCTTTGATTGGGCCCACATTACATCCGGTCCATAGATGTAGAATGTCCTTCTAGTTGGTACAAAAATATTTCATCGGCACCTGATCGACATAAATTTACATTTAAAAATGCAATATTTTAAATAATTTTGAAGTTGAATCATCTTCAACCATCCGACCCAACGGTGAAGATGGTGAAATACTGAAACACTTCAGACAGACCAGCATATGTTAAAACGGCCTAAAATGTTCCAGGTTTAAATTCTTTTCAAGAAAAAAGATCAGAAAATCGTCATACTGATACCATCTCAATAGTCTCTACTTTTTGAAAATAAAAATAATTTAAGGATAAAAAGTTTACTAGGCAGTATAAGTCTTTTTAAAACAATAATACAATTTTAAATAACAAATAATAATTTTGTAATACATAAATTTGACAACCTGAGACTTTCGTTGGTTTGATTTGTATACTAACTTACATATCTTCTGTACTAGACACTGGATGTCTGACATTAAGATATGAATATAGTTTTAAACAACAATTAATGTTTGATGTTCAAGGTTTCCCCGGGCAAAGTAGCCCTAAAATTTAGAGGATTTGGTATTTTCCATAAAATAACAAATAGTTTTATTTACATGCCTGAAAAAAAGGCTTGTAAATATCATCTTTGTGAAGTGCAACAACCATTCTATGATGTTAAGTGATCACGTTGCCTATAAGATATTTCATATTACTTCTGGTGGCATGTAATATGTTCAAATTATTACAATTTATGCTTCTTTATAGTTTAATATCTAGTGGCTACAAATACAGGATTTTTGAGTTATTTAAAATAAATTAAGTCGAAGTTGGTTTGGAGAACCTACCAATGGTTCATAGTTTGTAAATTTTCTACCTGCAAAATTTGTAAAAATATTTTAGGCAACACCATAAAAGAGCCATTTGAACAAAAGACATTCAAGAAAATATTTCACATGCTGAAATGAATTATTGCAGTAAAAAAAACTATGTTTTACCAAACTATAAATACCGAGAATTCTATTTTATTTTTTTATTTAAAAACTTTATGTTAAAATTTACTTATCTTAAATTGCATTCAAAATTAACTTTATTTTTGTGTGCTTATTTACAGCAGAAGAAAATCCAGTTCAACGATGATGCCACAGTTATGTTTGAATATCCATCTGAGGAATCATTGAAAGAAGAAGTAACATCACCAAATGCCTTAAATTCACCTTTGCCTTTAGGTATATGTTACTTAATTTTAAAAAATTACTGCAGCATATTTTGTAAAAAAAATTAAAATAAAAAAAGTTAGTCAATCAGATATAATTTGCATTTTTTAAGTTGTTTTGGAGAAATATTTTTAGACAATATAGTCTACACGATACAATTAAACATTAATGAACAATATGACATTTTAATAAGCTATCTATGTAGCAAGATATATACTTAGCTATATGTATAACTACAGTATTCAACTATTGTATAATTTTTCTTTCAGGAGGACCAAATTTATCAAGTTACACCCCTAGTAAGACAGTTGGTCAGGATTCTTTCGAACTTGGAGTGACAAGAGTGATACCCCCTCCTGCACCTTCCTCGCAACCACCTACTACTCAGGAAATTGACTACCTGAAACCAATCGATTCCAACCATGAGACAACATGGAGTCAGGAGACAGCTACAGATATACTATTTTAGGATATTAAAATGTTTTAAATTTGATGCTATGTATAAACAAAATTCAGACATATTCAACTGAATTTTATTTCAAAATATTGTGCTTATCTTTTTTTGTGAAATTTGCTGTGATCAATTGTTAATTATAAACTATTTATGTCATTAAGCATTGCAGTTAGTTGTGAACGTGGTCAGATTTGCTGACATGTACCTCTGATGTTGTTTTTCATATATTATAGAATTTAATGTATTATACTTTGTCGCCATTGTTTAGAGCTATTTATAATTAATTTATAATATACACAAATATGAACTTTTTTTAAAAATAGTTTCTAGTCTTAATATAGCAGATTGTACTTCAAAAAAAATTTCTGAATTAAACTCTGTATTGAATAAATATGCTCATCAACATTCATTCCAAAGAATTTTGTGTGGATAAATTTAATCATCTAGACTTAATCGTTGTGGTAAATTGTGTTCAAACTGCTCAAGTTGAAATGTAATCATTCCTAAAGTAATCTGCATTTTGAAAAATATATTTTTTACCACAGTTTTATATTTTTTTGTCATCGAGCCAACTTTGCCAATTCCAATAAAGCTGAATTAGTTAACAACATATATAAATATTACAATACATTCAAAGCAGCTTTATGTAGTGTAAGGTTATGTGGACTGAATATTATAGTTTTCTTACAGGACCTACTTTTGTATCAGAAATGTTAATAAAACTAAATTATTGTTTAATGTTTATATCAATACTGTAAAAGGCACTGTATATTTATGTATAGTTGTTTGTTTCTCCTTGCTAATCACGACCAAATAGGTTTAAGGTAAGTAAAGTGTGAACACCAAGTTATTGTGATAACATTTTCTGCTATTGTAATCTTCTGGCACAGTCATATTTGTGCTAAATTATAATTTTGATGTAATTTATTATAACATTTAATAAACATTGTACAAAATTAATCTATTCTTAATGTACACCATCTTAATTATACCTTTGTTCTGATTTCCGGAGGAAACAGACATAAAAAAGGCTAAAAAGGATGGTTCAAAGAAACCGACATGCTATACTGATGTGTTCATTTTGCCTAATGTACTAGGCTGTGTAGCAACAAAAATGGATACCAAAGAAAAGGTTAAATAGACTACTTAGAGGATAAATACTTCACTGGCATACACATAACTAGTATGACAATTATATGGACTATACTCAAGCTAATGATACATAATAATTGTATTTTGTGTTGTGTATTGTTGGATCTGAATGTATTTATTAGCATGTGTAGTATGAGAGGGCTGATATTAGCATATGAAGTACCCAAACAACCTCATTTTAATTAGCTGTATAGTTTTTGTTAGACATAAATACTCGAGTGTATGGGATGTAGCAATGTATTGAAGAATGAGAAAGTGTGAGTAGAAGCATATTTCTAGTTTAAAGTATGCCCAGTGGGTAGAAAAACATACTCTTAAATGAATAAGCAATGTTATACTTTTTATTTGTTACAGTTGAGTGTTTTGGTGTATAGCCATGTTGTTTGGGAATCAATTGAGTGAAGTAATGGAGATAATTGATTGTAAATCAGGCTTTCAAATTGAAGGATAACTGAAAGAATACTGGTAATAATTTTTCATGTCTCTATGGTCACCGGATTTATAAATAAGAAGAGTTCAGCTACGCAAAACTATCAAGCTGCAGATGGACTTTACTAAGACCCAAGGCTTCTTCAAATAGTTCGACTGGATACAGATGATACTGTAATTTTATACATCAGAGAGATCACCTTTATGAATTGGTGTCCCGGCCTGAAGATGTTTTCAGCCGAAAGATGGTCGGATGGTCGGATTGAGAAACCAAGATAATATTTCAAGGCTATATTTTCTCCTTTATTGAGAAATCATCCAGGCACCGCTCGCCCAGGCCTGAGGATTGACATGACATATGCCCCTGAAAACAGATTCCTGGATTTGGGTGATAAGATCTTTAGAGGTCTTATGGAAAAAAAACATTTTGGGCTGTGCAGAGCTTTCTAAAAGCTAAAATTATTCTTTATATTTTAAATAAAGAGGCCCTGATGGTGGTGGAATGAACCACCAAAAGCTTGCTACAAGTCAATTAACATTAAAACAAGTTTCCTAGGTCCTTGCTTAGTCTTAATTGATCCAACCATTGAAAATGAAGATTAGTACATTTTTCAGTTGCAAATAAGTAGAGATAAAACTTGGAAAAATAATATCAAACAGTAAAATGTGGTGCCTTGAATAATTTATTAAACATGCTGGTTAATACAGGAACAAGAGTGAGGAAGGATAGGCAATCTGTATTAATGGTTTTTTTGGAAATCAATAAAGACTGGGATTTAAAAGAATGCCATTATTCCATTGATTGAGACAGTGAATATCATGGTTGAGCAGAAAGATAGCTTCAGAAATATGGTGTGTAAGACATTGCATGAAAAACTGAGTGTCATCAGCATATAAATGAAATTAGGGGACTAATGGCAGACCATCTATGAACATGAAAAAGAGTAAAGGTACAACAATAGAGCCAATAAACAAATCATGATTTATGGAGCTGAATGCAAAAAATCAAGTCGAGCAATAATGATACACAATTATTATCATCAATGACTTGGAATATATGATTTGATATTTTGAAGGCTGTCTCACAGCTATGAAATTTTCAGAAGTCTGATTGTAATAAAGTAAATTGAAATCTATTGAATGTTAATTGCTGTAGTACTCTTTCCTCTTATTCTTTACAACCGACTTGTTTACAAATTGCCAGTATTTCTGAAAAAGGAAAAAACTTCTTTTTCCATCATGATGTCATTTGTCATCATCATTGATGTCATTAGTTTTGCGAATTTAGTTCAGATGGCAGAAAATCATCTCTTAGATCTCTAATCTCTATGGTTTATGATTAAAAGTTGAAACCCGTCTGTTGAAGAGAAGGTTATAGGCGCTTTATGATAGGTTTTGACCTTGTAAAGGTGTACTTGTGTTTTCTAGGCATTTTCATATTTTTCTAGAATAAACAGAAGGATTTTATCAAGTTGCCTATTGATGAATTGAATGTTTAATATTTGATATAACTTATTTTTCTCTTAATTTTGATTAAGTAGTATAATTTGATTAAAATACCATGGAGTACAACTACAATTATGGAGGTTCTGAACACCTTCCCACGGGAACATATTATGGACAAAATTCGTATAGTTCGTTGTTGCCTCCTGGTGTCGCTCCTGGCATTTGTCCGTCTCAGAAAGAACCACCAGTACCGAGAAGTGCTAGCGTACCACCAACCGCAAGTGCTTCGCCAGCACCTCCTGGCACTGTGCTACCGCCTCCTTACATAACTACGCATTTCCCTCCTCCTCCGATTTACCACCAGCCTCTCGGGTACAACAGCTATTATCAGTATCCGCCGATGGGCTATCCTCCACCTGTCGGTAGTTCGTTTCCCACTGGACCCCCCTACCCATCCAGCTACAAGAATTCTGATTCTTCCCCTGACCGGTGTACAAAACTGCAAGAGGAATTTATATTAAAGTGCAAATACGGTGGGAAGAGGAGCCCTTCAAGGGAACCAAGATCAAGATCTAGTTCACATAGGTAAATTGTACGCTCGTAGGATGTTATCTTAATATCATAAACTAATTTAATGAACAAAGTTCTAGACGATATTCATCCCCTGACAAATCTCTAAGCAGAAGCCCCTTGAGGAGTTTGGGTCACAATCGTGAAAATAAAGACAGGCACCATGTGAGGAGTAGATCACCAAATGTGAATCCAAGGGATCGAAATTCTAGATCAAAGAGACAAAGTCTGCTTGAAAAATGGAGGTGAATTTAATTTATTTTCATAGTTTTTGCCTTATTTAATGTTTTATTTGTTGCAGAACTTTAAGAGAAGTTTTAACTTATTCTAAATTATAACATAATTACGGTTTATTTTAGAACTTGTTTCATTTCCCATTCCTAAAGTATGTAACTATTTATTTAAGTAATTTTTATTGTTCATGCTTTTTATTCTGAAATATTCTTGTGCATTAGTGTGAACTTTTTAAAAATTATATTTATTTATTTATTAGTGATTACTAATTACTGCTTTCTTCATACACTGTTTTATAATTTACAGTAAATTAACTGCAGGTCTCAATGATCATCCACCCTAGGTGTTGGCAGACCAGAGTCAGTCCAAAGTTGTATAGGTCCAGCCAGTGAGGCTGGACTCCAGGGGCTGTCAACATCTAGATCATTTCGGCCCCCAACGCAATGAGTTCTTAAAATCAAACCCATTCGCCCTCTCACTCACTCTTAAATACACTATTTTTTTATTGTCTTACAATTCACTAAGTTAAGGTGGTTGAGTACTTCACAGAGTATTAATTATACCCTTTATACCTATTATATAACTAACCTAATTGAGGGTTGATCCACTCAATATTCTGTCATCGGCACTCTTACACTACATATTTAGGTCAATAATTAATTTGCTCTCAAAGCACTCCCTTATATGCAATAAAACAACCTTGTTTCCTCCAAGCATCGGAATAGAGGATCCAGGTACTCGCTGCCGAGCTCAAGCACAATTCTCATATAAGTTGACATTCCTATGCGCTCTCTATATGGAGCCAAAGAATTACAACCTATTTACAATTACATATATTGTATTAGAAAATCTTCCCAAAAAGATTATATTGTATTAAGAAAATATTTTCTATATATGCTGATTGTGCCATTTGAGCACTTGTTAGAGATGTTTTCTAAAGACAACACTCCTTTACACTAAAACATCAGTATTAGTCACTCACTGAGAAGGTCTTGGGCCACTTTCTGGTAGGGTGGCAACAGGTGTTTTGCTTGTTTTTTAGCAACCTGGTGTCCAAATTGCCTCTTATTTGTTCTCTTGTCCCTCCCAGGCTCATGCCTTCCTAGCCTTTCCACTTGCCAACAGCTCTTGCCTGATAGTTTCAGCCTCCAACCTTTTTTGTATCCAATTTCACAGAAGAGCACCATGGATCGTTATAGATAGTAGTCAGGATGTCAGATCTGTATTAAGAAGAAGATCAAATTTGGAGCTGAGTGTACTCTCTCAAGATAGGCAGAGTAAATCTCTGTGGTAATTGCTCAACCATCGGGGACCAACTCAAACTACACCTCAAAATTCCACCGTACAAAGATGATAGTTTTTTTTTTCTAATTGTTTTCTTCTTGAGACAAGTAGCTGGTTTTCTTGTCTAAACCCAATGGTTTTAATTGTTAGTCTTTTTAAAATACACCATTTTTTTTGTCACAAATGACATTTCACTTGATGAAACAAATTTCATTTGGGTTTCCTAAAATATTTTTTTCAAATTTATACCCTTTGGTTGTTTCTGTAACTTAATCCAATGTTGTACATCTATCTAAACTCCTAAATCTGAAGGAAGTGACACTTATTTTTACAAATTCTTTCAAAGACCAATCACTCTTATGTTTGTTTTCAAGGACAAATCTTTTTCTTTGAAGTTTCTTAAACATGTCTGAGCGATGTGAATAGACACTGCTATTTACTCTCTACTTCTCTGGCTTCATCAGTCTCTTTGGACCATTTTTAAATTAGTGCCTCAAATTACTATGAATTTCCTTAGTTTACTCACTCATGTTAAATTTGGCAAAACATTACTTTAAGAAATGATAATAAATGATGTATGAAACAATTCATTATTTATTGTTGTTTAGCTAAATGAATGTTTAATGTACAATTTTTTCTTTTCTTACTAAGGTTAAACAATTGCTCGTCCACCAATGAGATGAACAACCAGTTGGAAGAAATTTCAAAAATGTTGCCAGAGGATATAATTAAGAAAGAGAAACACTTTTGGACAAGGACAGCGCCTGCAAATCTCTATTATGAAAAAGACGAAAAGTATTTATTAACAGAACTTTTTATTAGGCAATTTGAAAATAATATATTTAGATTTGTGTCATATGCAGAAACCCTAATGTGCTCCGTGGTACTGTTAAACTTATCGGTCTTTGCGACAAATTTGAGCATGACTTGGTCGAAAGAGGCAAGAGGATCAGGGCAGAAAAGCCTTCGTTTGTACCAGTACCTAGAAAAAAGAAATTACGCCGTTACAAGTGTTTGTGTCTTTTTTCCTCCTAATTTTCAAAATAATAAAATACTAACATTGATATAAATTTTGTTCTATTTTGAATATCATTATGCATCAATAATTCATACTTTTTTTAAATTTTATTTAGGCTGTGCTGCACATAGTGATTCAGACAGTTCGACAGAATCGGGTGAAGAAACTGATGAAGAAGAAGGTATAATGGAAGAATTAGAGAGAAAGAAATCTCACCCTGATAGATTGCATTCAGAATTGTGGTATAATGATCCTGGGGAGGTTCGTAAAAATTTTTGAAAATAAACAGTATTCAGATAACAATTATTTAAATTTAACCTTAAGCATATTCATTAGCGTCTAAATTCTTAATTTCGTTTTTCAGATGAATGATGGCCCCCTTTGTCGGTGTAGTGCAAAAGCAAAAAGGTCTGGAATCCGGCATAACATTTACGCAGGGGAGTTAAGCTTGGACAAGTGCGACATTTTCACCAACAATGCTGATAAATTGTATCATTACAGAATCACAGTTTCACCTCCTACAAATTTCCTTGTACTTACATAATAACTGTTCTCATAAAATATTCATTTTAATTAATTTTATTATTATTAGATAAAAACACCGACAATAATTGAGCATGATCAGCATGAATTTATTTTTGAAGGATTTTCCATGTTTTCCCATAAACCTCTTGAAAATTTGCCAGTTTGTAAGGTCATACGGTTCAACATTGAATACACCATTTTATATATCGAAGAGAAACTTCCTGAACATTTTATTGTTCGTGAGCTCGATTTATTTTGTATGTATTCATTCATTTGTATGTATCCAAAGGTAAAAGAATAATTGACTATAATTTATTATTTTCTTGTTTAGATGAATTTTTATTTAAAGAATTGCTTGAGCTTGTGGACCTCGATTTTAAGGCAGCGGGAGATTCACAAGGTTGTTCCCAATTCCATTTTATGCCTAGATTTGTCCGAGAATTGCCTGGTAAGAATTTTTGAATATTTAAACATTGTATTGACAAAAAATAAAGTAAGTTTTTGTTTGAAGAGAATGGGAAAGAATTGCTTTCTATGAATGAAGTTTTGTCCCACCTTTTGAGAAGTTCAAAGCCTTTAGTTCCAAAAGAAAATTTGCCTGAAATAATTAACCTTCCTCTCTACAAATGGCAAAGTTTAGTTGATGAAGTTAAAGGAATGGTTGTGACGTATCCAGGCAAAAAGCCTTGCTCTTTGCGTGTTGACCAGTTAGACAAGGATCAGAGTGAGGCCAAGCAAGGAGAGATCAAAGTGCCGGAAATTGTACATTTTGGAATTCGTCCTCCACAACTTAGCTATGCAGGAAACCCTGAGTAAATGATAATGACTCAAGAAGTTCATCATTTCCTTTTATCATTTCAATTGGTAATTTTAGGTACCAGAAAGCTTGGAGAGAATACGTGAAATTCCGCCACCTCCTGGCCAATATGCCAAAAGCGTCTTTTGAAGACAAGAGAAAGTTGGAAATGAAAGAAAACAAACTCCAGGAGATGAGAACACAAAGCAAAATGAAACGTGATGTAACAATCGCTATTTCAGGAGAAGGATTTTACAGAACTGGAATTATGTGTGATATTGTACAGGTCAGTATGTAGTAGTGTTACAAGTTATTTTCCTATACATATATCAAAAATTTAAATTCTCCGAGGTATTTTGAAAGCAAAATTTTCTTACAAGATTTGCATTTAAAAAAATTAAGTGTCATTTTCATTATCCTAGCATTAAAACCCATTACTGGGTCTTGGCTTCTTCAGAAATTCTCCTTTGCTCTCTGTCTCAAGTGGCTGCCCACTAGTTTCTTCAAGAGTTCTGGCATCACCACTTACTCCATCTACCTTAGTTTGGGTCTTCCTCATTGCTGATTCGACACTATTTCTTCTAGTATATTTCTGTTTATTCTAATGTTAAAAGGTGTCAGCCTCTTTACGTCCTTATACACCTACACCATGACCTGCATTGCTCTTCGATGCATTTCCCTTATTTTGTAGAGCTCCTCATTAATCTTAAGTAGAAATGTGTGGTAATTAGTGACCGTTAATCGATAATTATTCAGAAATCGTGTGATGCGGTCTGGTGTGATGTAGGTTTCAGAAAAACATTTTCTTTGGCACGATAAAGAAAATGTTTTTCTGAAACCTACATCACACCAGACCGCATCTTACGATTTCTGAATAATTAATCTTAAGTCTTTTTACCAGAAACAAAGCTTGTTGGGTCTTTGGCTTTGTTGAATTTCAGCCTGCTTATACCTCGCACCAACAGAGGACATGTTCCACTGAGTTCGCAAATTGGATATTTCTAATTACACACTTAAAAAATTTAAAGGGGGCGTCGGTAGCCACAACAGTTTAGGCGTTGACACACGATGCTCATCACTTAAGGTAAAGGTCCTGGGTTCAAATCCAGCAGCCCTGCATTCAAACGCGACTTCTTAGAAATAGGATTTTTTCAAACACTAGCACCGCAAGAGTGATAATAAAATTTAAAAAAAAATTTTAGGGCGGTGAGATAGAAAAGGAATAAAAACTGAAATTTACTTGCAATATATAATTATTTTATTATTAATCATTACAATTATTTATAAATTCAGTAATTTTGTCCATATTTGCTAACATTTACAAAATACTTATTATTTACATATTTACAATTATGTATTTACTCATTCGCTAATTATTTACATATTCATTAAAAACTTTAATTATTTACAATAATTATAGTAAAGAAAAGGCAATTGTTTTATTTTAGAAATTGAGCTTTCAGTTTAGTTTCTAAACTACAAGAAATCCATTTTCTTTGTGGAAAGGAAGAAAACATTCTAGACAAAGGCCAGGCTCATTAGGGCAGGAAGGGCAGTATAAAGTTGTCATTTTTTGCACTTTCGACTTGCTGCACTGCCTACACCTTTTCTGACTTTTTCTTCCACCTCTTGAGCCCTCGGAATTTTTGGTACTTGTTGGGAAATGGGTAGAACTCAAATGAATAATGTCACGTCTTGAGGAGGATGGGGAAGACATTGGGTTGTCAGATGGAAGGGGAGGCACTAAATACTTAATGATATTTTCTCGGAATTGCAAAAGATTTAGTGTAGTTGATTGTACACTGTATCTTTTATATAACAAATAGGCATTCAAAAGTAAAACTTCCATTATGTGGAATCCAAGTTTTTTGTACCATTTTAAAGACTTTCGTGCACCAATATAATAGCTTATCATCTGATCACAGTGATCAATACCACAAATGAAGCTATTATATTGATACAGTGCTTCAGGCGTTTGCTTTTGAATGCCTCTTTGAGAGGTGGGGTTAACCAAATCACCTGCAAATTCTGTTGAAATGGTTAACACATTCCTCTTGTCTTTCCATTTGGCGAATTTGATTCCAGTATTAGTCCAATGCTGGACAACTTCACCATGGGAAAGTTTTTTTGTAATTATGTAAGTTGGATTATCTTTTCTGTTGGCCATTAGAGTGCCCGTAAGCAAGGTCTCCTCATGTTGATGTTGGTCTGCCAGAACCACACTTGTATAAAAGTTATCCACAAAAAGTGAACGACCTGTATTTTTCAGGCCATCCAACAATTTGTGGACAACTTTATAAATATGACCCTGACTACTAAATTTTGGATCCCTTACACCAGCATATACCAAGAAACGATGGATTAGTCCATCGTTCTCAGCAAGCATGTACAATTTTATGACATATTTATGGACCTTATTTGGTATATAAGACCTAAAAAATAGTCTTCCCCTCCATGGCACCAATATTTCTCGTCCTGGTTCATCTAAGTCCGTCATTGTTTTATGAAAATGTACAAGTACTGGTGCCAGTTTGTAAAGGGGATTCTTCGATGCTTCCTCATTAGGGGCTGGATTCTTTGCAAAATGCAAACACTGAAGAATCCCCAGAAAACGGTCTTGTGAAAGTCTTTGAAAAAATGTCATGTTATACAAGTAGCTTTTGTCCCAGTAGGCAGTAATCCTACCTGAAATTTTTATTATGCCCATATGAAAATATATTCCTAAAAAAATTTTTAGTTCATCCCTAGTCAAGTCTTTCCAGTTTTTTAATTTACTTGTCATCATTAAGTGAGTTGCATGTCGGTTTGTTTCTGTCACAATGTTGTCCAGAAATTGGTCTGTAAAAAGTAAGTCAAAATACTTATCAGGTGTCTGGTCTTGATGGAAAATTCCTCCATTTCCAGTGAAAGGGAAGAAAGGTCTTGTGCTTGGAGGATCATTTTTCTGGTTTACAGAGTGTTTTGTAGACGGAAGGGTGGAAAGAGGTAAGCGTGGCCTTACTTCTGAAATGTCCACTTCTTTTAGAGGAGAATTATTATTTTCTCCTATTTCAAATTTCTCATCATCTTCATCCCCTTCTGCCTCCTGGTCATCCTCATTGGTAGGGCCGCTGAGCTCTTCCAAAATCTGGTCGACATTTTCCTTGTTTATGTCCGACAACAAAAAATTCTCCATGCAAAAAGCTGAGCTCAATTTTATTTTTTTCGCCTGTGGTGCGGAAGGTCCAGGAACATTTACTAGATTAAAAAATTATTATTATATACGTACATATATATTTTTTTTAAATCATGACCACTCACAATCATTATTATCTTTTATAGAACTCATTGCTAAAATTGTATTTTTTGAGGATGTTGTTGGATGTTCTTCTTAGACAATACATTTATGTGAGTCGACCTTTTTCCAATCTACCTGAAATTAAATAACTTATTTTTTTAAAGCTCTTGCCATGAAAAAATGTATTTCGTTACAATTTGCTAAAAATAATGATAAATAGAATAAAATAATAATAAAATTTTATATTTTTTTTAAAATGCTGTCAGAATAAAACTTTAAATAAAAGATTTCTGAAAAACGCAGATTTACTATCAAGCGAAATTTAGTTCACACCTACATAATAAAAAAACTTCTTTTTTTTTTTAAAAAAAAAGGTCAAATTCAAAAACAATCTTCACGATACCGTCGACAAATCGATAAATACCGTACAACTTGCTTCAAAAAGCAGGGGCTTTCTAGAAGAGTGCGTCGTTCCGGAACGGCGGCCATGTAAGGGTGGGGGATATTATGCGTCGTTCCAGAATGACTGCCATGTACGAGGGGGGGGGTGCGTCGTTCCGGAGCGACGCCCGTAACGAACGTATTGTCTGATGCGTTCTTTTTCATTGCTTCAAATTCAACTTAATACCTTGAAAAAGGATTAGTTTATTAATTCAATAAAAGACTATCCAAGTCCTTCTGTTATTTTCTCTCTCTCTCTTCCTCTTTCTCTTTCTCTCTTTCTTTTTTTTTCACTATACCTTTCTTGCACCCTCTCTCCCTGTCCCTCTCACTATATTTTTCCCCCTTTCTTACACACTCTCTCTCCTCTTACTTTCCTCCTTTCTCTCTTTATTATCCTCTCCCTTCATCTCCTTTTATTTTCCTTTTTTGACACTCTTTCTGTCCTCACTCTCTTTTTAACTTCTTTCTCACACACACTCCTACCTCACTCTCTTTCTTTCCCACTTTCTCACTCCACTCTCTCTTTTTCATTCACTCTCTTTGTCTCTCTCCCTTCCTCTCTTTTTATTTTCCTTTTTTTGCCATTCTCTCTCTCTCTTTTTCTCTTACTCTCTTTTTCTGTCCCTCTCACTCTCTTTCCCCTCTTTCTCACTCCACTCTCTTACTCTCTTTCTTTCCCTCTTTCTCACTCCACTCTATTACTCTCTTTCTTTCCCTCTTTCTCACTCCACTCTCTTACGCTCTTTCTTTCCCTCTTTCTCACTCCACTCTCTTACGCTCTTTCTTTCCCTCTTTCTCACTCCACTCTCTTACTCTCTTTCTTTCCCTCTTTCTCACTTCACTCTCTTACTCTCTATCTTTCCCTCTCTCTCACTCCACTCTCTTATTCTCTTTCTTTTTCATTTACTCTCTGTCTCTCCCCCTCCCTCTCTCCCTCCTTGTTCTCTTCTTGCCTCCTCTCTCTTTCTTTCTTTTTAACTATCTCTCTCTCTTACACCTTCTCTACCTGTACCTGTCAGCTGTCACTATCTTTTCCCCCCTCCTCAACCACTCACTCACCCTCTCTTACACAGACTCTCTCCCTCCCTCCCCCTTCCTTTCTCTCTCTTTATTTTCCTTTTTTTACACACACTCTCTCTTGCTCATTCTCATATTTAGTTATATTAATTATTTTGTATTTTTTTTAGCATGCAATGCTAATTCCAGTCCTCGTTTCCCATTTAAGATTTCACAAGTCACTAGATATTCTAGAGGGAGAAATTGGATACGCTTTTAAAAATAGAAGCCTTCTTCAGCTTGCGCTTACACATCCTTCATACCGGTAATTAATTGTGAAATAATTATTTACTCGTTGTATTTGTCACTTTTGGTGAATCCAGAAAAAAAATCCTAGCACTGCAGAAATTAAACTAACGTTATATCTATACTAGAAAATAAGGAAATTATGATTTTGGATTTTTTTCTATACAACAATAGACACTATATAATATTAATAAAAATGTTTTAATAAATAATAATGTTATTAAGGGTTTAATTTTTTTATTCTGTAAGGATTTTCTTAATACTTTTTTCAATAATTTTAAATCCTCAATCTTGTTCTTAACACTTGTTTGTATTATAAATTCCAAAAGTACTGTTTTAGCAAATATTGTTCAAATGAATAACTGTATGTTAAATTGTATTTATGTAATTAATACATTTTCATACAATATGATGTGATTCAAGGGAAAATTTTGGAACAAATCCTGATCATGCTAGAAACTCACTCACCAACTGTGGGATCAGGCAACCAGAATATGGCGATAGGAGGATACATTATATGAACACAAGGAAAAGGGGAATCAACACCCTTATAAATATAATGTCTAGGTTTGGTAAAAATAGAGAGACGGAGTCAAACATAACTCATAACGAGCGGTTAGAGTTCTTAGGAGATGCAGTTGTAGAATTCATAACGTCGATCCATCTATTTCATTTGTTCCCAAGATTAGAAGAAGGTGGCCTTGCTACGTACAGAGCAGCGATTGTACAAAATCAACATCTTGCTGTACTCGCTAAGGTAAAAAAAGTTAATTTTAATTATTAGGAAAACTAGTTATTACATGACAAAATTCAAAACTTTAAAGGGCGTTTTTTCAACTGATTCTTGCTGTAGAACCTTTTGTTTTGATTTGTATATTTTCATTGTCCTTTCCAGATATTTGCATTAAAAAATTTAAAATGATTAAATCTGTTAATTAATTAAAGACATGTTTCACAAAGTACTACTAATTGTTTTTAATCACAAAAATAAAGATTACTGTTATTATTATCACTATTATTGAAAAATTAATGTTTTTTTAATTTTGGATTTTAGACTCTTGGACTTGATGGTTATATGTTGTATGCTCATGGATCAGACCTCTGCCATAACTTAGAGTTAAGGCATGCCATGGCTAATTGTTTTGAAGCGTTAATGGGTGCCCTGTTTTTGGATGGTGGCATATCTGTAAGGGTTGTCTATAAATGTACTTTGTACTGGCCAGGAAGGTTTTTCCACTAAGTTTGCTTTTTTATCAGGCTGCAGACAAAGTATTCGGAGAATCGTTGTTCAAAGATAGCAAAGAATTGCTCGATGTTTGGGTTAATTATCCTGCACATCCCCTTCAAGAACAGGAACCCAATGGAGATAGGCAATGGATTCCGCAGTTTAAAATTTTAAAGGTATAATTTTTTTTTTAAGTTTGTGTTTATATTTAAAATAGATAATTGAATCAGCGACAATTAATGCAATACTATCATACAGGATTTAACAAAATTTGAAGAATCAATAGGAGTGACATTTACTCATATTCGGCTTCTAGCAAGAGCGTTTACTGATAGAAGCATAGGGTTTACAAATTTAACATTGTAAGTAATAGTATAATTGAAAGTAAGTATAATTGTATAATTCTTTCAATAATCATATAATCTCAGTAATTACTGTATTATTACAATTTGTAATAATATATAAATAAATTTTTAGAGGTTCAAATCAAAGACTGGAATTCCTTGGTGATACTGTCTTGCAATTAATTGCTTCAGAATATCTCTACAAATATTTCCCAGAACATCATGAGGGGCATCTTTCAGTAATGACTTAGTTTCATAAAAATAAGTTTTTCATATTTACTGTCAATTTGTACATTTCAGCTTCTCAGGAGCTCTCTAGTGAATAACCGAACTCAAGCGGTAGTTTGTAATGATTTGGGTATTGCAGCATATGCCATTTATGCAAATCCGAAGGCAGAATTAAAAACCAAAGATAGAGCCGATCTTTTAGAGGCGTTCCTCGGTGCACTTTATGTAGACAAAGTAATATGTTTTATAAATATTTTTGTCTAGTGTTTTAATTTTTTTTTTAAATTTTAATTCTAGGGTTTGGAATACTGTGAAAGATTCTGTAATGTGTGCTTTTTCCCAAGGCTGCATGATTTTATAATGCATCAAGATTGGAACGATCCTAAGTCAAAATTGCAACAATGTTGCCTTACTTTGAGAACTATGGAAGGAGGAGAGCCTGAAATACCTATTTACAAGTAAGAAACAAACATTTTATGAGATTTTGCATATCTCCTCTCACAATTTATCTTTATGGTTTTTAGGGTAATAGAATGTATGGGACCGACAAATACTAGGCTGTACACTGTTGCTGTATATTTTAAAGGGAAGCGATTAGCCCAAGCTTCTGGGCACAGTATCCAACAAGCTGAAATGAATGCTGCAAAAGGAGCACTTGAAAATTCTCAGAGTAGGATTTACATTTGGCAAGAAAATTATTTTTATGACTAATTAATAATCAATTTTACAGGGCTTTTCCCACAACTTGATCACCAAAAGAGGGTAATTGCAAAAAGCATGAAACAAGAACCAGGGAGGAAAGATCGGGATTATGAGAAGGATAAAGATAGAAGAACTAGCAGATCCAGTCAACATTCGTCTAGAAGCAAATCTAGTTCTCAGTCATATTATCATCATAATTCAGACGTTAGTTCTGACAAGAGTTCTTCAAGTGATGACGACGAGGATTATGTAAAACATAAAAGGGACCCTACCCCGCCGGGTGTGGATTCTAATGAAAAAAATGATTTCGATATGCCAACCAAATATAGGAAAGCAAAATGGGAAAAAGATTTTGATATATCATTACTTTCGAATTCATCACTCAATGAAGAAAACCCACCGATTAAAAAAAGAAGTAGATCTAAATCTAAATCTCCTGACTGGAATAAAAAAACCTGTGCATAACCAAGTCCCTAGGGTGGATTCCATTATTATTCATGTCATGTTGAACTTTTTTACAGTTTTATTTCTCTGACAAATAGGTATATCATAAATTTTATAAGATATAAGATATTTTTGTTTGTTTTTTTAAATATATTTTAAAGTCAGATTTAAATTAGAAGCAAATTAATTAATTTAATTTACTCTTAAAAGTCAGTATCCATTATTAAAACAAGTCTAATAATAAGAAAAAAAATTACCAAAAAGAAGCTGTATGTAATACATTTATGTTATTTCAGTATTTGCAAATACATACTTTTTCATAAATTTTTAATAAATAAGTAAGTGATATTAGTAAATAAGTATGCAGAATATTAATTTAGATGAAACAATAGTAAGTGTTTGATTAATGCATTTAATAAATAAACGAAAAAAATATTGAGTTTCAATATGTTAACTATACTTTTTATTTATTGCTTTGCTCTAATAGATTTTTAAATGCGATAACTTATACATTTGCAAATTAAGCACTCTAGGCCACTTTTACTATGGTTCTCAAATATTATACATAGGCTCAAAATGGACGTCCAAAATTAGGTGAGAAAATAGGGGTGGAAAAACAGAGGAGGCAGAAACAAATGTTTTTTAGTTGGTTTTATGGATGTTTTCGCATTAATTGATTGATTGGTTTATATAAGCTCAACGTTGCACATATAGTTGACTCTTGGTAATCTAAAACCAAGGAACCACAAAAAATAATTGAAATTATCAAGATGTTTTAATTATCAAGTGGAAAGAAAATAAAATTTAGAGCAATATTGCAAAGAAAAAGTTTAAATTATAAAGAGGGGAAGTGGCTCCATTTCGATTTACAGAATGTTCTTTCTCCTTCTGCTATGAAAAATATTTCATATTACCAAGTGTTTCAAAATACACAGAATTTTTCAATTTACCAGTGACCTGCTGAGTTCATATTATCAATAAATTTGAATTAACAAGAAGTTGACTGTATTTGGAATTGAGCTTAAGACTTCTTGCAGCAAGCCACGAAATCACCTACTTCAAATTTTGGCATTCTCAGGTTGTTTATTAGTTTTAGGGGTTGTTAATTGTGCAAGTATTGTTGCATGTTTTTTTATTTTATTGTATTTTATTTATTTGTTTATTTTTAAAATATGGTTCTGTCATTTTATGTTTCTGTGTGTTTTGAGTCAGTTTGCATAAAGTATATTGCAATTGGTTTTAAGTGTATCTTTCCTTTATTATCAGGAAATTATCTGAAGAAAAATGAAATTAATCCAAACAAAAATCCTGAACCCCTAGGTTTTGGGTTTTATTGTGCAGTACGAACTTCCCGTCCACTATAAAAAGACCATTTTAGTAACACCTGCAAACGAAAAATGAGTTTAAAAAGTAAATTAAAATAGATATATATAAAAAAAATCACTAAAGATATTCCTCAGGGTTCACTATGGTGAGGAAAGTAACTTGAACTGGCATCCAAAAAAATAAAAACCCAACACACCACTCAATACATAAAACAAACAGCACATCCTCTTCATTTTCACCAGCTAAAATTACATTAATAAAATTTGACTATACTGTAAGCATTTACAGTATAGTTAAATTACAATCAATCTAACATATAAACAGTAAAACACAAAAATGACAACATACAAATTCACAATGCACACGCTCAGAACTGACCCATTTATTTCTAATAAAAAATGCTAATATTCTAATAAGTAACGAAATTTGTAAGTTTTAAAACAAATAACAAAGAAAACAAAAAAGACAAAACATGTTTTATTCATTTTTAATTCTTAATGTTACATGACATAGGCTTTTATAGAAAGTAGATAAAATTAATTTGTTATTGATAGATAATTGTAATTATTTAAACGTATATCATTGAAGATATGCAAATCTTTATTTTTTTCAAGTTCTGATGTTTGAAATTTTCAACTCAAACTACCCCCCTCCCACAATAAAAAGTTGGACATATTTCTATTTGTTCCTCTTTAACAATTCGACTTTGTGTAATAATATAAACATTTTTCATAAAATAAGCAAATTATCTGCAAATATAGATAAATTCAAGCATGAGATGTTTTGTTGTTCAAGCATTACTGTCATGTTTAGTATGTTGGCTGGATAAAGGAGGCTTTGGGTAGGTTCTGATCGACTTCTTTCGTCTGTGCGTTGCAGGACGGCTTTTCTACCTTTATTGTAGAATTTGTTTTCAGGGGTTATCACGACAATCCTAAGAAAATGGTCCAAAAAAAGGTAAGGGACTAACTTTACTTTATCCAATTATTATAAACTTATCGTTTATTATACGCTTCTTGTTCTGTTTATAATGAATTTCTCTCGAGTAATTAAGATTTCGACTTGAGGTTACCAAAACTAGTTGTAGGCCACGTTCTCTCCTCGGCCGGAACAGTTTATGGATTGTTGTAAAAATATTTAATTATTGAGCCCTTCGCGTCTCGCTTGTTTTCCCTTCCCGATTTTTAACAATTAACGTCTCTTTACCTTACTCAGGTATTTCAAAACATAAGGTTGAGATGCCAAGTAATGCCATGTATTTAAAAAAAAGCCGTTTTATTAAAAACAAAATTGTTCTTCCATTGGTATTAGCTCTTTTAGACACATTTAACAAATTGGGTCATGGATAGAAACGAGTAATAATTTTGTGAAGGAAGGTTTAGATAGTTTTTTCCTTGTGAAAATCACATCTCATGCACTTGGCAAACACGAAGGCAGCACTTGATCTACACGGCTGGCAGACCTACCTGCTGTACCATTTACTTAATTTGAAGTGCTATGGAAAAGTTCAAGTACCTTGCTAGCTGGGATTGAAAGCACCCAGAAGCCCACCCCATATGGTGGCATCCTGGCTCCTCATAGGCAGCCACCAGACCACCTCCACCCACCATTATAACACTAATTTATTAGCCACAATAAATCTATAGATAGAATATCTGTTTAGGCTATAGTTATTATGGGAATTCTGATGAAATTTTGTTCTGACGAGTTCGTCTGAACAAACAAATACTTGTTTTCCATTGAGAATGTTTACGTTAGCAGTGACATGTATGTCAGAACATCCACGATAACCATTCAAGCATTCAAACCAGTTGATTTTTTCTTGCATTCTCACGTTCAATTTAACTTCCCCTTTTTGGACATTAGCAATATCGTACTATTTTTGCAAATTTTCTTTTGTATGTAGGTTGATGTATGCAATTATGTCTGTGACTACTGGAACCTGAAACAGCAACCTTTTTGGCAAGGAGGTCAACTTGGTCGTACTTATTGCTGCTATGAGCTTATACACAAATCAGGAACTTTTCCGCACCTTTTTTACCTATAACCATCAAACTGTTGATTGCTGTAATCAATGAGTCCTTACTGCTGTTACCTATAACTGCAGAAAGCAAACGGGCTGTCCATAGGTTGCAGTGTTCTGTTGTTATTTTATAACCTCAATAGCTAAGCCTTCAGCTGTATAGATCACATGTATGGTAATCTAATTTGAAACACGGTGCTATCAGCAGTGTTCAGAATCGCAGCACCATTCCTCTGTGTTCAGTACCGTCGTTGAGGGGTAATGTCCTTTTTGAAGATAAAGTTAACCATATTAGTCTTATCCACATCCTGGAATAAATAAAAATAGTAAATAATAATTCATCTTTTTTTTTTTTTAATTGTTTGTATTAGTTAAAGAAAAAGACTGGGAAGAAGGTAGCAGCAGCCCCACTTGCTGTTAAAAAACCAGAAGTACAGAAGGTGGTGAATCCTTTGTTTGTGAAAAGGCCAAGGAATTTTGGAATTGGTAAGTGTAATATTTATTATTGACTTCTGTCGGTTAGTAAAATTTGCATATATTAACGATAATCTTCCCTCTGTAGGCCAAGACATCCAACCGGCGCGTGATCTGAGTAGATTTGTCAGGTGGCCGAAATATGTCAGGATCCAACGTCAGAAGGCCATTCTTCAAAAGAGGTTGAAAGTGCCTCCATCCATCAACCAGTTTTCACAAACATTAGATAAACAGACCCGTAAGTTTTTTCAAAATAAAATAATAACTGATGCTAATTTATGTTTCAAATGTCAATCCATTTGTTTGTATCATTCATTTCAGAAACCCAGTTGTTTAAAATTTTGGATAAGTACAGGCCGGAATCTGCTGCAGCCAAAAAACAGCGGCTAAAAGCTAGAGCCGAAGGCAAGGTCGCCAAGAAAGAGGACACTCCGACAAAACGTCCTAATGTTGTTCGTCAAGGAGTTAACACTGTTGTGAAGCTTGTCGAACAAAAGAAAGCCCAGATTGTTGTCATCGCCCACGATGTTGACCCACTAGAAGTATGTATTTATAAAAACTTAAATTATTTATTTTATATTAAATTTGAATGAAATGAATTTCCTTCCTGTGGGGTATATTTATATCTTACTGTTTTTCCATCTTTGTTAAATTTATGCGATACACAATTAACTTCAAGTTTTTAAAGAAAATATTAGGTTTAATTTAATTATTACACAGAAGACTCCAATGCAACGCGGGGGATACATTCTATGTAATAGGAAATTGCGATAAGATATATACATTATCAGGCCAATTTATAATTTTTTTATTATTTTTTTTTTTAAATGATGGTAACAATTAAGACCAAACTAAGGACTATTCAAGCAATGAATCTGTAAACAAATATTAACAAAGCGGTGTTATTGGAACTTAATTTTGATATTTCCTGTAGTGATATAGTGCATATTTTCCTCTTACACCTTTAAATGTGTACGTATAATTTTTTTTTTTTTTAATACATTTTTTCTATAAACTGACACTTAAATGTCAGCTAAACTGTTTATATATAAACAACAGGTAAGTGTAAACATTGTTTTTCTTAAAAAAAAAAAAAATCAGAAATTGTGAAAACATTAAATTTATCTTACACGTTATACTGGACTGTTGATCTTCTGTATGAGTACTAGATTGCAATCTTTTGATTATGTTATGTGAATTAATTCGCATTTTATGGGAGCCACTGCATTTAAATAAGTATATTAACACCTGCTGCTTTAGAAAAGGCTGCTAGCACAGCTTTTCGAGGAGGCCAACATGTAGTGGACTTGATAAAGTAGTGTGTTACTACATGTTAATTCCAAAAAAATATAAATGAATACAGATGAAAAAAGTAGTAATAATAAAAACTTACGAGGTTGTTCAGTGATATATATGTCCTTAAGACCACATACCCAATGACATCCCAAACCAGATTATAATAAAAACTATCCACGTTAATGGAAATCGAGATGGAAAAATGAGATTTTTTTCAATATTCAATGATGTTTAATTTGAATTTCTTCACCTGAGATTTATTTTAATGTAATAAAAAAAAATGAAGAAAATGACATACTGAGAATTTTTTTTAGATTGTAAAAAGATTTTCAGAGATTTTCTTTGGTCTATTGGTTGACTGTATTTAATTTTTTTAGCTTGTTCTTTTTCTGCCAGCGTTGTGCAGAAAGATGGGTGTCCCATACTGTATTGTCAAGGGCAAATCCCGCCTGGGCAGACTTGTCAGGAGAAAGACTTGTACTGCTGTAGCTTTGACTCAGGTGAAAATTGGTTTTTATTCAATAACTTTTTTTTTTGTATTTAATACATTTTCCGATCCGATTTCAGGTCGATTCTGGCGATCGAGTCAACCTCACCAAGGTAGTTGAAGCTGTCAAGACCAACTATAACGAGAGGTATGAAGAAATCAAGAGGCATTGGGGCGGCGGCCTCTTGGGTGCAAAGTCTGCAGCTAGAATAGCTAAGTTAGAGAAAGCGAAAGCGCGTGAATTGGCCCAAAAGCAGGGATAACCTTTTATGAAAATATATTCCTTGTTTTAATAATTGGTGTCTTTCTTTTGTTTTTTTAATATCCTTTTTTAGTAAAGTAATTTGTAACATTCAGCACACTTAATTTTCGAGGTATGTCAAAGACTCTTACATAAACTGTTTTATTAGTTTAATTGAAAAATTTAAGTAATTTATTTAAATTTAAAAATGGCCGATTGAATAAGTTAGGCTTTTTTCCCCTCTTTTTATCATTTTTCATCTTCATTTTACCTTCTTCTTTCTTGTACGTAGTCTCTTCTTTTTTGAATATTTGTTCAAATTTGGAAAATGACTCTTCATAATTGAATTTGATCAAATTTTCTGAAAAACATAGATCTTTTTCGACTACATTGTGGCAAATCAAATCCCTTAGATTTGCCCCTTTTATTATTTTAAGTCCGATTTTCCCTCCCATGCTGGTAGATTTCCAAAATTTGTCAGTAGATAGTGGATGTGTCATTATCGCCTTAAGAAGCCAGTTTGTAATGAGGTGATCAGCCGTTTCACCGAGCATATGACAGTCATTACTAGATTCCAAAAACAAACCTTGAAAACAGAAAGTTTTAAAACGCGTGGTGCTTAAAAAAAATCGTTCTTTATACCTGTGATAAATTCAAGTCCGTCTACATTCCCATACATTTTTGTCAACTCAGCATTCAGTTTTTTATTTCCTACAAGTTCACTGAATTTCCTATACCTGCGAAGTTTGAAGTAGGATCTGTATTGGTTAAAACTCGGTAATTTGTAATACCTCCCTTCATTGATTAGCATTTTTGTAACACCAGCCAAATTTTTACTAATACTTTGTGGTCCTACCTAATAACTTAACATAAAATTTGATTTTAAAAAACGTTATTACAATTATACCTGTCCTGCCTGCATTTTTGCAAGTGACGCTAGCATTTTGTATACTCCGTGCTTGTAAATTTGTGAAGGCTCTAATGCTAAAATTAAATTACTCGAATTTGTCGGTATTTCATCGAGTGGAAATTCATCAGGAAATGTATGGGGCCAATGAAATGCCATATATATTTCAATTGGTACAGTATTCGATACTATAGAAGGGTATTTTAGCGGTTTGTACCGTAGATCGATTGGGACATGAGAAAAACATTTAATCCACTCTGAGTAAGTGATTGCCAGAAGTTCACCTGAAATAGAGTTCAGTGTACTTAAGAACCAATAAACAGATTTGAAATAAATGATACATACCAGTGACGATATTTCGAGCGGTCTGAAACAACTTTTCGTCATCCCAGTCAGGCCAGAGCGATAATAATGTATCGCAGATGCGATTATGTTCTCTTAGCCAAATAGTAGAGATTAAAAAAGTCAATGTGTTTTGGCTCACTAAATAATTTGGTTTTGCTCTTTCACCTCTAGCAATCTTAAATAAGTTAAAAATGTTACCACTATCTTTAAAATAATTAATTTGTCTGGGATGTGTCCAAGTTCTTACCCAACCTAATTGATCTCTCGAAACCTTAGGGAATTCTTCTCCTTGTTTAATATGAGTTGTAAGCTTTCCTTGCTTGTAAGATCTTTCATTTTGACTATAAATCTGTGAGCATGTTATCTGCAAAATCAAATTTAGTCAATATATTGTATCAACATAAAGAAAAGCTTTTACTTGCCCAAGTTACATAATTACAGTGCTTAAATTGCAAGGCCAAATTTTGACCGAATATGACAAAAAGTAAATTCAACGACTTTCTATTTTTGACAAAATCATTCCTTTCTAGTAGGTTTTTAAAGACTGTATCTACTGAAGGCAACTTTTTCAAACCTAAAATAACGAATATTTATTTTTCGAAAGGAATAAGCGAATGATGTATACCTTGATTTCCCAAGGGAGTCGGGCAAAAGTTAGGAACTGGCGGAAGTAGCTGTGTACCGATACATGTGTTGTATGCATTGGCAAGATTCAAATACTGGCTACTCGTCGAAGAGAAATAGTGGCCTTCAAGTTTTTCTACTAAATCTACAAGCAATTTATGCACCCGTTTTGAACTGCGAAGTACTACTAAATAATTAAGCATGAAATTTAAGTACTTTCGACAAAAATGGAGTGAAAAATTGTATGAAGAAAATCAAGATTGTTTATGATAAAAGAAGAAAGTGGGTTAAAAAGTAAATATTCTAACAAGTTGTCCAATTTGTTCCAGAAGAATAGTGACCAAATTCCTGGAAAAAAAATTTATTAGTGTCTCATGCAATTCATATACATAATGCATAAATATTACTGAAATTGCAAGTTTTCCCATAGAATCCGGTGTGTGTGCAGTCGCAAAAATAGTCACTCTTTCCTTCATTACAAATTCCTCCATTTTTACAGGGAAAATAACAACATGGGTTAAATGCTAAAATATTAATTACTCGTTTTTATTTGTTTCTAAATGAATAAATGTTTTTATTTCCAATATAATATAATTAAAATACTTTTAATAAATGGATACAAAGACAATGGCAGTAAACCATCTGTCGAGAACAATATTCTTTATTAAATCTGTTATATTTTTTGTCCGATTGAGCAAATAACTTCTTTTAATTAATTAATTTTTTTATGAAAGGTATTGGTTGAAATTAAAAAGTAAGTGCCACGCGTATTGAACTGAAGTTCGTGGGTTCCAATCCCACTTGTGACTAACTGTTTCATTTCAACCAATAACTTACATAAAAATATTAATTAATATTCTTTATTTTGCCTATGAAAATTATATTTAAACATTTAAGTGAACGTATTAATAGTCTTCAAATAAGTTACTTTTGTTGCTACTGAAGAAAGTTAACTAGAAATGTATGTCCAAATATTAATTTAACTGTGAAATGAATTGGGTAATATTTGAATAATTTATTTAGTTTTCACTACGTTTTCCCTTTAATTGATTTAGCTTTCTTATAATTCATTTATTAGAAAAATCCTTGGTAGTCATCCAGGGTTTGATGCAACTTAGCTTTCAAATTGAAAAGACACGATCATTCACACTGGAGAGACAAGTTGTCTGCTGCGAATTCTTTGTTTGTATTTGTCATAGTCATCCTATGAAAAGCTATTGAACATAATTTGTATAATTAGGAGAAGCAAAAATGGATTTAAGGAAACTAATTTTCCAACCACTTTAAGACCAATGGGAAAAATTCTAGTCCCAGTCAAACTGATGAGGCCATGTACTTTTTTACTATTTATGATTTTTACAACTGTGATTTTCACAAGCAAATGGGATAAATTACATGGAAACCTAGCATATTATGCATGACTCTCATTGGAACCATATTTTTAATTCTTAGTCTAAAGTGATCGTATGAGAGAAGATCCTTCACTTCTGTAGGGGTAAACACACTACATCTTACAAGTGGCTTAGTCTATATTACTTTACAAATAAATTCCTTCAAAAGAAAACCGACTGGATCCCAGGAAAAGTAGTCCTTGCCTCTGTGCATGCCATGGCTCTTTGACACAACAACAATCTAGTTTCTAAATAATAATTTGAATAATCGGTTCAGTAAAGGCATAATTTAGGCAAAATATTTCTGAAAAAATCAAAATCAGTTTTCGCTCTGCTTTCAATTGGAAATAGGAAGTTATAGTTTTTAAGTTCTTCCTTGTAAACTTGTACAAAAATAGACTTCTTCTTGATGCTGTGATGAGTTGGATGTCATCATATTTTGCCAGCGACATCGCTCCCAATGCCTTTTTTTTAGTGATTCCAGTGAAATTATAAGTGATTCTTTACTTCGAGGCAAAATGCAAGATTCCCCACTAGTGATATAGCTTCTTAGCCTTTACTACCAACCATACTTTGCAATTCTATTCAACCCTTCTAAGGTTTTACCTCCTTTTCTAACATTCATTCCCTAAGACAATTATAATTTTTCTGAGACATTTGTATAAGCTCAAATCTGCACATGCTTCTACGTACATACAGAATTGAGCTATCATTTCTCGTAGACCACTGGCAATTCCAACTTTTATAATTGACAATAAATTGATGGTAAGTCTTAAGAATCACCCACCCAGGGTGCTGGCAGTCCATGGTCAGACTCGGTATTATCTGTCTAGCTGCCGAGGTTGGTCTCAAAAGGCTATCATTTCAGCCCCCCTGTTCCTAAATCCAACCCTTTTCACTCTCTCACTCTTAAGTACATTCTTTTATCTTTACATACCATTTACTCAGGGAGGTTGAGCACTCCTCCATCACCATTTATAGCTATACTAACCTAATTGAGGGTTGCTAGAGTACTCAATATTCTGCCATTGATCCACTCACACAACACTAGGATGCACAACTATTATTACTATATGCAATAAAACAACACTGTTTCGTCTAAGAATCGGAACAGGGGACCCAAATACTCACTGCCGTGCTCAAGCACAATTCTCATATTGGGTGGCATTACTTTGCGCTCTATATGTGAAGCCTAGGAATTGCACCTTTTATTAGGTGGGACACATCAAGCAACATATTGGACACATACGTGGGCTTTGGCCCAATAGTAAGTGTTTATGTCAGTCTCACGAGGAATATCCTTCTTCAACAGATCAGATCCTCCAAGGGCCCCTTATAAACAGTGCTTTTTTCACTTAATTGTAATTTTTAAAGCAAGTACTGGTTTAAATATATATGCTAAAGTGCATAGTAGAGAACAGATGAAGTAAAACAAAACAGTTAAATCAGTTCTGAGGTGTGCCATGGTCTCTGTTTTCAGTGTCTCATTGGTGTGGAAAAAAAATTATTAGTAGACTTGATGTTTCTTGGCAGTTCCATTATTTATGTAGGGTAAAAAAATTAGCTTTAAACAGTAATGTCAATAATCAGTTCAGTGGCATGCCTTTTGGATAAGAAGCTGCCTACGCTGATTTCAGACCCTTAACACTTTGATAACCTAGTCACACATAAAATGTTATGGATAATACCATGTACCATACCATATTTCTTGATTTCTCCTCTAAACTCGGGGGTTTTTGTTTGATGCAGCAACGATAGCACTAAAAGCCATTGAAAATAATTGGGCTGCCACTTGAAAACATCTAGGTAAAAGTTTTGATTAGATTTTCACGATCTAGAAATGCATTTAAAAGAATAGTTACCCATTTTTTTAGTCTGGGTTTTTGATATATCTAAAACTCTTAATTTTTTCTTGTTAACCTTTGCGTTTGTTTCTCTTAAAATTTGGTTGATTTTACTATTGCTATCACATCTTTCCTGTAAATTGACTCGTATATTTCTTATTACTGTTGACAAAAATACCTTATAAAATTCTGGGGTGATAATGTTTTCTAAAAATTTGTCAAAAATCAGTTTGTTAGGATGATCTGTACCTGTTTTCAATTAGGGCATTCTTGGTTGGGAAGAAATGAATAATTAATAGGGATTTTCTTTTTTCATAAACCAAACTTTTAACAATTTTGATATAATTTGTTTTTATTATAGAATTTGTACGGTTAAAATTTGAAAAAGCGAGGAGGTTTTAAAGTGTTGGAAAGCGCGAAGGACGTTTCGCTGTTTCCAATCTTGTTCTAGAATATTCCAGTTCCCTCTCTCCAGAGTCCAGATATATTCCGCACTCAGCAGTCCACGAGGTAGCACTCACACTCGACTCAAAACTCAAAAGTCATTATTACGAGCGTTCCGGCGATCTGCTATCAGCAAGAATCGTCCATTTATTTTCTTTCAAACTTTTACGATCAGTTATAAGCAATGAGTTCGAAAATCGACGAGGTGAGTTACAAGAGGCTTCATTAATTTTTTTATATCTAGTAAAGTTTTAATTGCAACAATGCTTGTACACGATTAATAAAATGTGGTATTGTATGTTTTTCTATAGGAAAAATTATATTTTAAACCATAAAATATGTTCAAGTATTGTTTTAGATAAATCTTTATAAGGGTTAAATTAACGATCACTGTGAAGGACTGTCTGCCCTGTCCCAACTGGAAAAGCTCTGCATGTCCTTGCTCAGTTCCTCAGCTATTTTTTCTCCTGCCGTGAATCCTCGAATGTTAATTCTTTTGTTTATCCTTAATAACAACAATGGATGTAGTTGTCCCACCTAACTTTATAAATCTAAACCTAAAGAAACAGGATTTAAGTTATCTTCATTTGACTTGTAAATGTACTTATTTATTATCATTTCTGTTTTGTATAAAATTCCTTGGCGGTGTTTAGTTCAAACGTAGAACTAGCATGGCATGTATGTAACCAGTTAGGCCCTCCATATACAAGCCAACTTGTGCTCTATGCAACTTCCTATGCAAATAGGTATGCAGCCACCCATGGGTCGACACCATTTTGATCTGTTCTTGACTTAGTTGCAACGCAGCTTGGATTCAACTCGTGCGACCTGCAGTGCACTGCAAAAATGGAGGTAGTTGTGTGTTTTGAGTTAGTATCCTATGGAGGTGTCAAACATAAAATTTGTACATCAGGTGGAAAAGCAGCCTGATTTGTACAATTACACCCTCCTTGCTTATTCCAGAAAGGACTCACACTCGACTCAAAACTCACAATCAAAGCACAAGCAAAGGCTGTGTGAAGTTTTTTTTTAGGTATACAAATTATTACATCTTATGTTTATTGATATATAGATGTAAAAATATTAGAACCTTCTGAATGAACAAAAAAGTAAATAAGGATAATACATAATATACATATATTTGTATACAGAAAGTGCATTTAGTTGTTGTTCTTCTGCGGTGTAATCAGTTCAGTAATTGATTGCATGGATGTACCCTTTCTTTTCTTTGCTTCCTTTTCATTTGACGGTACCAGAACATGACAATCTCCTCATCACCTACTCATTATACCCTCTTTAAGAAACTGTTTTGTGGTGATTCCTTTCTGGCAAAACACAAGTAATTTAACAAAAATCGATCCATTTATGCACAGGTTGAGCTGAGGTTACGTTGCAGTTGCATCTTGTTCAAGTTCGCTTGCAGTCATTGATCGCAAGTCGACTGGTGTATGAAGGATGGTAATGACCACTGTGATTCCCAAAGGTCATTTGGATCAAACTTTTGTTGTGATGCCTGGTCTTCTGAATTTCGGATGAATCGGTGTGTTTCCATTGACTATTCGGTCAATCCTTTTATTGTAGGTTTATTATAATTGGATGAGGAACTGGCCATCTAACTAAAGCCCTAAACTTGAAGAGACACAAGAACTTTTGTGTGTCCAGAGATCTCTCCCAGTTGTCATCTTGGTTTGACTTGTAACACTACTTGTCAGTCCAAGTTGATCATGAGTGTTAGTCTGTGACAGCACTGGTTCATTTACTTTATTTATGTAAACTGATAGTTCTAGTCGTTAGTAGTTCTAGTAATTCTAAGGCATTTCAGCTTTGTGCCATGGTCATTTTTCAATATTGTATTCCTGTATAAAATTCCATGGGCAGTGCTTAGTTAGAACCCAGGAATGATTGGGTAGTGGACTGGTAGTGAAGGAAATGCAGAAACCAGGCCACCATGGACTATAAAGAAACTCCCGTCCTAAAGGAGAAGGATAGAGTCAATTGGAAATCGTTCTAGAACGGTTTCCATGTGCGAAAATCACTCTCAAAACTTGCCTCACTTTGTGGATATTTAGCCGGGACTCCGAAATTTTTGGTGCAAGGATGTTTTGTGGTAAGCTGAACTAAAGCACATCAGCTGTCGGTGTTTTAGTATGCATCAAAGTGCTTCGTGTTGTCTTTTCTGTGTAAATGCACACGTGTCTCGAGTTTCAGAATGAAGTTTGAAAATGAGGAGGTCTGCATTCAACTTATCCAACTGTATCAGAACTATTGATTTTTGTGGGATGCTAAAGATAAAAGTCATCAAAATAAAAACAAGATAGAAGATGCTTGGAAGGAAATAAGTATCAAAATGGACAACAACAAAAAGTATTGCCAAGATAGCAAATGCTGATGCTGCAGTAGGTGTAGATAAGAATGGCATGCTAGTGTTGCGCAAACTGATGGATCACCCTGTTTCGCCTCATGGAAATGGTTAACCCGACACAGCTGTTTTGTCCTCCCCATTTAATGATTTTTGCATTATGGAAACTCAACTTTACTCAAGAATAAATTTTCTGAGAAACAAGAACAGAAGGGAAGAGGTCGTTCTGGCCAAGTGGTTAGGGTATCAGATTCATATTGTCCAAGCTAGTGGTTCTGGTTCAATTCTTGGTATGGCCCATGGCTTTTTAATTGAGAATAATATGTACTTGGTATTAAAAAGCTGTTTGGTCCCTTGTCTGTGACACTCAACTAGTAGCTGAGTTGTTAAGCCCTCCCATATAACTGCAAACAAAAAATCCTGTTTCTTCAGTTTTTGGGTGTTAGATGGGCCAGTTCCTTGTGTATTTCTAAACTTATAATAACTATGGTAGGTTTTTGTCAACTGCTTAGTTCGAACCAAGGAATAATAACATGAAATGACCGGAAATCAGAACCCTAATAAACTTGGTCCAAAAACTAAAAACTTTGTTTTTCTCCAGCTGCAATTTTTTACACACCTCAGATGTAGGTCCATGCTCTTTAGATCCCCCTGACATTTTTTACATTTTATTTTATATTAAATTTAAAGGGCTCTGCATAGTTTTAAGTCAGGACATGAATGGCAAGTATTAAAATCAATACTTGGTCTCTAAACTCATTTGGCATAGACCTTTTGTTTTTATTTATATTTTTGTGATGTCTGGTCTTCAGGATGTTGGTGAATTCTAAAGCAAAGGTGTTCTTCCTGAACGAGCTGAAAAACTCTTGCACTCAATCGGATGCAAGTTCATTTCCTTGTTCCTCAGTACAGCTTTTCTTGATGTGAATCCTTGAGTAATTTCCTCTTGACTCTTCAGACAAGGAACCACTGATGTAACCAACTTAATAAACCGTAAAAACAAGTATATTCTGTGTTCAGGTGTTTGTTGGTTGTCCTATCTCCTCCTGGTTCTCATCTTCATTTGACTTGTAACGTAAACTGAATAAGCTCATGCTTTCTATTTTTCCATGTTCTTAGGTTTCTTGGAGAAGTTTTCTCGCCATTGTAAGTCATTGAGTGGTTTCAAGTTGACTTTCAGACTGTCATTTTTGTACAGAATTTTTGTATGGTACTGTAAGTTTATTTTATACAGTATGGTGAGACCTGGATAATTAGGGTCTATCTATCAGAGTGATCCCTTAACTTGTGTTAACTCATCTTTGTCTCTACTTGACTTTTTTAAACATTTGGTACTTGTATAAATTATCAAGGGCTATGCCAGGTTTCAAACCTATGGGAATAAGTCTTAATTCCAACTATCACAGCTTAATTTTTTTATTCACCAACTCATTTAACTTTACTAACAGATATTTCCAAAACCTAAAATTGAGGGTGAATTAGATTGAAGTATTTTCATAACTAATTATATAGCCAGAGTCTAGTCGATATTATATGTTTTTATTTATTTTTTTCTTTCAGTTGAAACTTGACATCGAGGAATTGTCCATGTTGATAAAAACAGCCAAAAGGCCTAAAATAACCTCATTCCTATCTCTAGAGTTGAGAAAGTTTGAAACCGCGCTGTTGAAGCTTACAGAAGAGGAAAAAAGAAAAGAAGGAAAGGATGTCGGTGCCATGGGCGATTGTAATAAAGCTCCCACTACGAATCGTACCCAGCCATGCTATGATGTGAAGCTCTCTACTTATGGTGAATTTATTCATTACCACAGTAAAATTATTTTATTTCTATAAATTTTATTTTATTTTTTTAAATTTCTTTTTAAAGCTTGGGATCAATCGGACAAATTCGTTAAGATATTTGTCACATTAAAAAATGTTCACACCCTAGATAAAGACAAAGTTGTGTGTGTGTTTGATCCAAGGTAAATTGAATTTATTTTATTTTTAAACAAAAAAATTATGTTACAAAAATTATATTGTAAATTATTTGATTTTAGTTCGATGGAGTTGATGGTCAAAGAATTGGAAAACAGGAATTATTTTTTTAGGATTAAAGGCTTTCTCCATGAAATTAACGATGCAGAAAGCTATATAAAGGTTAAAAATGGTAAGTTAAACCTAAAATTAATTCCTAGTTATTTATTTTTGCAATTGGTACATTTTATAAAGTAGAATGATAAGGATATGACCTCCTTTTGAGGTTTTAGGTTTTAGTCATATTTAGGCGTTGCATTGTTTGTTATGTATTCATTAATGTAAATTTGCTCAGTTACCGTCTGGTCTTCATCATGACACGCCAAAACTGACAAAGAGAACTGAAAAAAATATCAGATGGAACAGGTGAAAACTGAATGTATTCTATATACCTTCAGTTCAGATAGCTGTACATGTTAGTTAATTATTCATTGTCATTATATTTGAAATAATACCTTAATAATTCAAATTAAACTTAAATACCTGAACAATGTATAAGGGATATCACTATGAATTGAACTCTGGCTTCATCACCTCCATGAATCGACGAACTACGATTTCTTTCTTTCTTCTTTTTTTCCTTTTCTTATCTTCATTTTATGATCCCTCTGTCATTCTCAGTCAGTTGTCTGTTACGTTTCGAGGCATAACTGAACATAAATTCTCTTTGTTTTGTTTTAGATCTTGTTACTGTATTTTTGGCAAAGAAAAAACAAGGTCAGAAGTGGTCGTACTTATCCCTTACTGAACAACAGTTGAAAGAGCCGAAAAAGACCCCATCTATCGAACCTGACGAAGACCCGTCAAGTAGCATGATGAACATAATGAAGAAAATGTACGAAGAAGGTGATGACGAAATGAAACGAACGATTGCCAAAGTCTGGACTGAGAGCAGAGATAAAAAAGATGTCGTTGCTTAAAAAACGACATTGTTTTATTCAATATAATTACACTTTTTGTAATCCGGTAAAAATGTCCATATGATGATTAAGTACAAATGAACAGTGAGAAATCTACTATCAGGACTGGTAAAATGTAATTACAGGTTTGTTAATTATAAATTAATAAATCACTAATTATTCATAATTAGACAAATTTTGAAAATTAATATGTAGTTAAATCCAACCCAGTGCTATTATTATATAAGTAAATATATATTTGTTCAATTTAATATCCATACTCTGATCAGATAAAAGTGTAAAAATATATTGATGTTGCTTCATGTACAATTATATAATTAATTAGTTTTGCTCACAGACCTGTAGAAATAGATTTAATGGATGTTATTTTGATTCAAGGTTTACCATTTTTTTACATAATCATATATTTTTTTTTTTACAAATAAATTCATTATTTATTGATTTTTTTTTCTTAAAACCTAAGATACAGTATTGTAGGATAAAATAAAACACTTTCAAAGAAGGATGTCAATCTTCTTAGCATCAATCAATGCCTCTGTGCACCCTTTCCAAAAAATTAGCGTTTCCCCTAACCCACCCTGGGTACTACCCATGCTGAATGTTAGCCTGGAGTTGACATTTTCCCTAAAGGAGTCACACCTCCATACATTTATAAAGAAGAGTTTTTCAGAATTAAAGCCTCCCTCTCGAAACCAACGCTAGTTTTAACAAACAGGTGAATAGGTGGAAAGGGACCAGTGAAACATTTTTAGTGGCCAATAATTTTCTCGCTGTCCAACACTGCGGAGCTCACAGGAATTGACAAATTAGGTTTTGTGGTTCGCTTAACCAAGTAAATTCTCTTCAATTAATTAATTTTTTAATTGAATTTTATCAGTCACGATAGCTTAAGTGGTAGAGTAGCGGCGTATTTAGCCGAAGATCATGGGTTCGAATCTGCTTGTGACAATGACTTTTTTATCTCAACCAAAACCTTAATTATAAATTAATTGTTTGATTACAGTTGCCCCTTGACATCTACTTGTAATATGTATCAGCGCTCCACCTCAATCAAGGACCCCTTCTCAAAACAAACCATGGTCCGTTGCTCTTTCTCTTGAGCTTTAAAATCCAGAAATTCGAAAGTTGTTTATCTGGGTACACTGAAGGATTTTGGGGAATGAATATGCAGACATTTCCGTAAAATGTTCCTTCGATGAAGGCATCCATTTACACTTCACCCCACATACTTATATAACTCATATTAGACAAAATATTGCAGAAAGCATGTGCCAAGATAAATAACAACAAACTAATGGAAATAAAGCCGAAAATTGCATACTGTAACATTTCTGCTAGGCGGCAGGAAGAGAGTCGACTCATTTGAGAGTAGGGCACTGTAGATTCATTGATATCCAATGGCTAGAGAATACCTCCTCTTTGTGAAAGCTATAGGGAATTAGTCACAGTAAAGCAAGTAATCAGTCAGAAGACAGTACTGCCTGACAGTCATTTGTTGGAGATTCTTGGAAACAATTCCTCGAATAAATTTCCTTCTTATGAGTTACTAAATTATTGCTCAAAATCTAGATTACTCTAGCCAGCTGGTGGTGGAATTAGTTTATTCTGTACCCATTTGGGAGCCTCAGTTCACTGTAGGTATCCCAGATTTGGAGGGGTTTGGATATTGATGGCATGCAACCCCTCACACCCGTTATTTTTTGGATTAAAGGGGAGTGCCCAAGAGGTACATTACGTTGTCTGAGATTGCCTCCTTGTCCGTTCCCGGAGCTGCTTAGCCACCCTGTCATATAGTTTAAGAGATTATGAGGGTTAAGGAATATAACCAGTAGAGGTAAATCGCCTTTTTATTACTTAAAAAAAATTGTTTTTTTAAACAGCCGTGAAGATTTTTAGGTAAATAACTTGTTTGATTCTGTTTTAAAATTGTTTATTTGGGAGAATAGCACTTACTTATGGAAAGTGTATACAAAGAATATTGTACTGACACTTATTTGGCTTATACAAATAAAGGAGGATAAACTGTAATCGTACAATGTGTTTTTATTCTACGTAATATTTAATTTTTTTAAATTATGTAGTACGATATGAAAAGGATGGATGGAATTTATGCTCTGAAATGCTACCGAATTTTACAGCTGGCGACTAGAATGTTTAAGTTTTATAGCAATTAACTAATTCTACACATCTAGAATGTATGCTATAGCTGAAAAAAATACATATTTTTTGTAGATATTTATATTCTGCGATTCTTGTTGCAATTGTTTTTATATCAAAAATACAACAGAATACAAATATACACATAAATTATAATAAATACAAGTTTAAAATGTTCACTGCGGGACTAACATCAGGATAGTTTAGATTAAAGAGACTTATTTTGGAAATTATATGAAGGGTGCTGGGGAAGAACATCAGTCCACTTTTTATACGTAACAAGCTTGAGGTGCTATATAATATTAGTATGGAAGTACTTAAAATAGTTGAATCTACAAAATAAAGAAGTGACTTGGGACCAGAGGAAATCTGCATTAAAAGATTTACAATACAAAAGTAGTGCCACCGGAAGAATGACCTTTTCTATGGGCCAGTAAAAGTCCTGACATTTGAAATTGAGAACGTTATTTTAAATCTTCTGAATAAACACAATATTTTCTGAGAGTAAATAATTCCTGCCATACAGAGAACACACTTGACGCAACATGATGTGACTTGTCTCGTTTTGGTAGGATGGGCACATCTGTTTGACACTCACACTGTGTGTACCACAAACTTTAGAATGAGAAAAGGTACAATTGTAGTTAAATTCATTCTATCAATAAATGGTATTCTGGTGTTTTGATAAATTTTCTGTCAAACCATCATAATTAAATAATTTCTATTATAATTCATAAATTTTTGACCTCATTTAATTTGGTTTACATTAATAAACTACGCATTTGTAATTAACTTAAAAACAAAAATCAATATAGTTTGAAAAAAAGAAAAAAGTGTCGATTCCTTTGTCTTTGAGTGTACTCAATGCCACTAGACAAAAATCTGGACAATGAGGAACTTGATTGCATCGTGTAGTGTAGAGTTAGGGTAGAGTTGTGTGGCATCAAGTAGATGTGTACAGGGATAATACAATCTCATGAAAAATTGGACTTCGGGTGGCTTCAGGCCATGTTGCATTGCATTACATCAGATAAGTGTGTTTCCCGCTTTAATATCCAACTACCCATTGGGTACGTGGACGAGGGGTCAAACAATTGCAATAAATTTTTCATGCCATGTCAATTAAAAAGCCATGGGCTCTGCTGGGATTCAAATCCAGAATCACAAAGAAATACGAGTCGGACACCAAAACCACTTGGCCACAGCAGTCCCCAATTTTTTTGATTATAATAAGGATACTTTAACTACGAGGTTATATTGCAGTATCAGTGTTTTTGAAAAAGCCATTTGTAAGTATTCTGGGTTCCAATGAAGAGCTACTGGATTCAAACCAAGGACCTTTGCCTTATGTGATGGGTGCCATATCAACGCCACATGACCAATGACAGCAAAATAATGATTTCTAAATAATTTTTTCCACAACCCTGAAATTGTAAAATGTTGGTATACTTTTAATGTGATTTTTTATCAAATTGAGTTTGAGTGGGCTAAGATCATTCTTCCCCAGTGCCCTGTATACATGTTTAATTAACGGCTTTATTACCCACTAAACAGGGGAAAAAACTTTACAAAGCTACAATTAGTAGTTTCTACTTTTTGCCAATACAACTTTAGTGTGAATAAATAAATTGAGAAAAGTGTTACCTGATTTTAAGTTTTAGGTACAGAAGAAAAAAAATTTTTTTTTTTTATATCGTGAGATGCGGTCGGGTACCCGACCACATCTCTCGATATCTGAATAACTATCGATTAACGATCACTAATCTCTACACATTATTTTTTTGTGCAAAGTTTCTTAAGTTTAAACCATTTCGACACTTTTCAAGTTCTAATGGCAAAATGTTAAGTACAAGTGACATAATCAATTTGACAAAACAAATTCATCTATAAACTAAATTGTACATACAATGTTTTTAGTTTTCTATGTCATATTCTTTCTTGGACTATGTAACATTTTTTGATGTATAACCATGTAATTTGAGCTTATAAAAATAAGAAGACTTGAAGGAAGAATAAATCACTATGTTACAATTACTTTTGCGCGTAGTTATTCTGTATTATCCTTCTATCAGATTCCAACTCGGTTAATAATTCTTTGGAAGTCAAATTGAAGACTTGTGACATGGTAGTATGAGTTGTCGCCATTAACTGCGGCATATCTTCCAAGTTGAGTCCGCTCGTTTCAATCGGCGGTAAAACTGTTATAACTATCTTCCCTGAAAGATACATTTTTGTATTTAGACTTTTCCAATGTCGAAACGGCTAAAGATGTTTACTAACCACTATCCAGAATGCACTGTTTAGAACGAATAAAATAAAATCGTGTAAAAACCACTGGAAGAATTGGTATCTGGGAAGAGATTGCAGCGTGAAATGCACCTTTCTTAAATGCATGGATTTCACCGGTATTTTTCCTTGTACCTTCTGGGAACACCCACATTTTTATCTGCAAAAATGATTATGATAATATGTAAAGCAAAAAATGATTTTCATACATAACTTTTTTTTTACTAAGCTTATTAAATTATATATAGAAAAAAAGAAGAAACAAAACAGAAAGAAGCAAAGAATAAATCTACACAGGCAAAAATAAAATAATAAAAAAACACTAACACTTAAACAAATGTAGTTCAGGCATTTTTACCATGCTCCATCTTTGTTATCAAAAATAGGAAAAAAATATTCTAAAAAAAATAAAATGAGAAGTAAAATAATGCAATTCAACTAGATCAAAGCATTAAGGAAAATGCAGCAATCCATGTTGACAAAAATACTTTGTTTTCCTTAAGTTGATTGATTGAATTATTGATGGCTTGTCGTGAAGCCTCAGAATTCAATCTGTCAATAAAAACGAGACCACACAGCCAAGCAGCTAAGCCGAATGGCCCAGCGTAAAGCAATTCTTTTTTTGCAACGACTGTACATTTTTTCATAACTGGCCACAATTCGAACATACCTGGAAATAACGTTTTATATAGTTTTCAAGTTAAACAATATCTATCAGTCAAAAAAGTTACAAACAAACTGTGATTATTAAGTAATAATATTGTTAATATTTAATATATAAATAACTAAATATATTAAAAAAATATATTATGAAATTATGAAAAAAGAAATGTCATAGTCTGAAAGCTAATTAAAGAAGTAAAACGTTGTATACCATAATATTTAACATACGGTAGGACCCTTTTAACCAAACTTAAGGAGACAGTGCTGTTTTGTTTAACATAATTTTTCGGATAATCCAAGGAGACTATTGGCATATGGTAAAAGGTGTAAAAATATAATTACTAAATAAAACCAAATGATACATGAAATTTACATATAAATATAACTACAGTATACTGTAACCAAAATGTAAACCAGTGAAAAAGAGCTTCATTAATTTTTTCATGATTAGATAGCTTCATCATTTTGCGGTTCGGCACTTTACAACTGTATTCATGAATTTAGATTTAGATTTTACCCATTGTTGATATCCCAATATAATTAGTGGCTACATCTGCAATGACAAACCATTTTTTACCGATCATTTCGGTTAATGCGGGTTTCAGTTAAGCCGTGTTCGGTTAAAAAGGGTTTTACTGTATCACAGTATTATATATTGAATTTGTGACTATTTGCAGTTTAAAAAAGCTTACAACTGCAACAAGTGTTTGTTAAAATTATTCCACAGTTTAAAATATAATATATGCATATGGAAATTCAAGCAATAAGGTCATAGGTACATTTTGAGACACTGACTATTTAACTTTACCAAATAGGCTTTAACAACAATAAATTAATACATTAAATTTATTTACCTAAAATATCGATTGAACTTTGATGGTTTGCAACTATCACATAAGCTTCATCTTTACTTAAATAAGAGCCACCTCTCAATTCCCATTTAAGGCCGAGCAAATCAGAAATGTTTCTACACAAATATGATGCCAATCTGAAATAAATAAATGTAAGATTTTAAAAGTTTGTATTTTTTCTTTTTTTTGGGTAGAATGAGTGTGGGGTCTTTTCTTTTAGTAAACATTAAGACGTTATATCATTTCATTGTGTGGAGATGCTGGTCTACGAGGTTATGAAACTGTAGCAGGATTGTCATATAATACACTATCTGTATTATTAGAATTAGAGGAAACAGTGAAAATCAACTAATCTGTGTTGTTGACAGTCAAGGTGTATCCACTAGTCCGCTGGTATAGGGTCTCCCAAAGGTACAGCGGGGTAGTGGATGGGAAAAAAAAGCCTAAGAGTATCTCATCTTGTCCCCTGAAGTTAGGACTATCAATAGCTAAGTCATTTCAGCTTTGATCTTAAACATACATTCACTCTCGCACCTATAATGAGAATCTCAATATTAATAGAGTAAAACAAGGAATGTACTCTAACAATTCCAAAAGGTTTAGGAGGAGATGGTCAATTTGGTTGTGTCCAAGAAGGAATGTTTTTCTTTTGTTCCAATGCCTAGGTCACAGACTGACTATTAATCCTAGGCTTTCCAACCTCTATAAATGGAGGTGAGAGTCCGGATATATTTTTGAGATTATATGTTCTCACTTTTTTAAAATAGATTCTTTCTTATATAGGCATATTCACTCATGTGATATGGAATAATTCCTACAACACTTTATGCAAAACTATATAACATATAAATTTTATATGTAATATAAATATTCTGCCATCTCATACTACACATGCATTTCAAAATATATTTAACAAACTATATACTTTGCTTGCTGTTTTACTTGTTAATAACATTCTTATTTACAAGCTATCTGTATGATGCCAAAAAATGACACACTTCAGAAGCAGATAAACTATGAAAGTTGTTTCTAAAATTAACAGGGAAATAAATAAATAAGAAACAGCGATGAACTAGTAGTTAGGATGCCTAACACATAATCGCCACGTTAGTGGTTATGGGTTTGAATCTTGGCATAGCCCATGTCTTTTTAATTAAAGATGATATAAAAATGTATTGTAAAGTGGTGAAATACTCAGAAACCTTGGTAAAGTACACCAGTCTTTCAAGGCTGAAGTACATGGAATTGAAAGGTGTATTCAGTTCAATTAGAACAAAGGGTAATGTAGAACAAGATAGCCATCAGAGCACTAAACTAAAACATCATTAGCTCAAAGATGGTGCTGAATTGGAAAACTAAATTAAATAAATTAGGTATGCAAACTGAAGTTACTCTCTTCTGGATCTCAGGTCATAGAGAATAGGAAAACGAGAGAGTGGATGCCCTTGCAAGGGCTCCTATACCACTGATAGGTCCTCAGCCCTTCTGTGGTATTGGGATTCATACTGTCAATCCCCAAGTCTAAAAGGCGGGATGGAATAAGGAAACAGTTGAATTCACACGTACATCTCTATTGTAAAATGGTTTGACCCCCAATGGGTAGTTTAAGCCTTTGTGTATGACAGGAATTAATTTATTTTACTAAAATAAAAAAATAATAAACATAAGTTTATCATTAAACTGTACACAACTTTGTTTATCCTTATTTACCCAATATCTAGATTTAATGTAATATCAAGAAAAAGGAATTGCACATAAATTGAACTTAGAGTTTTATCGAAGATTCTTCATGTATAACACATTCATGCTAATTTATACACCAAAATGAAACAAGACTTCTACTATAATAAATGACAACTATAAATTCAGTTTTGAGAGTCAAAGATGTTTCAGAGCTCAGCACAATTTTCATACTGGATGACCTATTTGCTCCCTGTACGGAGCCATGGAATGACACCTTTAAATCAACATGTTGAGAGATTGCTTTCTGTGATGTAGGCTTTTATTTGAAGCAATCAGCCTTATCCATTAATTTTACTGCAAATGCATTTTGTGCACATTCACAATACACTATAAGTTTCTAAATGTACTGAGGAGTTGCAACTGGTCTCGAAACCCAATTGCACTAAAACGACAAAGTAAAATAAGGCTGATTATCTCAAATAAAAACGCACATAATTATTAATAATCCATTATGTTTAGTGGTCTAATTGACCAAATTACTCCTTTCAATTAATTATTCTTTTTATGTAAGGTCTTGGTTGAAATGAAAATGCTAGTGTCACGAGCGGGATTTGAACTCACAACCTTCAGCTATTATTAATAATGAAGCCTAATAAACTCAACTAGGCTGCAATGGGTTAAGTTGTACGAAAGGTCTAAACTTTAAAATTGCAATATCAAAAAGTTGTATTTTTATTTATCCAGTGTTGCCCCAAGGGTGCAATTCTGCGGACTGATGAATGCAGCTGGGTTGATTCCTATCATCCTGGTCTACTTATCCTCACTGTTTCAGTCTCTCAGGCATGATTCAGACCTTCAGTGGTGGGTATTTGCGTCGCATTGTCGTCTTTCTTTTTAGTTCTAATGGCTTCTTAGACCAACAACTCAAGTTTATATGATAACTATTGTGTTTTGCTATTAGAACAGTCATTTACAAAAATCAAAACAGTGACGATAGGCGACCAAGTTGATCAGGAACGCCCAAAAGTATCAGTGTGCCCAACCAGGTATGGCTGAGTTGACTTAGAATCTAAGAGAATAAAATAGATCTGACTAAATGAGACGTTTTAACATCAGAGGGCTGGATCGCAGAAGACAGGTATTACTTTTGATACATCCCAGCCTTCACCGCATTGTCTTTTCATTCTCCCTAGACATAAAGCTACATATTTCAAATATCATTTTAAATTTTGAACTCTGTCACAGAACGTTGAACAGATTTTTAAAAAATATTATTACAACAAGGTGTAAAATATTTGTTGTAAATCTGATCTGATCAGTTCTGACTGTTTTGTTCAAAGTACTGTCTTTTTTTAAATAATTAATGTAATTAACGAATAATTGTCATAACTTACATTAAATTTTCGACATTTCTAGGTTTCCAGATCATTATCGGTATCACAATAATGGAAGTGATCATGATGAAGCCGTAGTAAACGAAAAATTTGAAATAATATCTAAAAACCCTGTTGTGCTCGTACAAAATTGGCATTAAAAGAAATACAAAAACACTAACAAATTCCGACAGGGTCATCATATTGGTAAATTGATATTAATTGAAATTTATTATTAAAAAATTAACAAAAATCCATATTAATTAAAAATAAACAAATATTTTAAAGAAACACTATCAAAACTTATGTGTTAACGATAACCCTTGGTATGTTCAGATGTCAGCCAATTTCAGATGTCAGTCAATTGACCCGCAGGTCGACTCGACTTAAAGTGGAGGTTACAGCGAGGTTATTTCATATTTAAAGCTACCTTGGTTACAGATTCATGAATACTTCTAGATTTAGTGGTAAAATTAATTAGAAAAGTATTAAGGACTAAAGATTAAAGCATTACATTTTTCAATTATGTTTTAGGGCTTTCACTCCTGCTCTGTCTTAATTTTGGGCTGTCACTAAGCCAAAAAATGTCAGGCCTACATTCTGTGGCTTATGTCACCGCTCCTTCAGAAGAAGTTGCTAAAAAATTGGCCAGGTATTGTGTTTCAGTTATTGAGTACATTAAAGGTTTTTACATTTTTGTTTTGTGATGGGAACAATACTTGCTTAAGATGTATAAAAAAATTCATCATCGTAGATCCTAGTCTACTTTTTAAATATGAGGGTAGGAAAGTACAAAATTAATATAGTAGGATTGAAATTGTAATGGTTGTTAACCTACTAACAATGTTCTCAATGTCCCCTTGCTTTCTGTTGGGAAATATTAACATGTAACAAGGGTGGATGTATTTACAAACAATCTAACTACGCGGATTTATTCTATGAAAGCAAGAGAAAATATTAGAACTTTTTGGCTGGAGGGCAATGGATGTGCAGATAAGGCAGCGAAAGCTGGGGATTTGCCCTCAGTGATCCTACGCACTCAGTAAAAAAAAGAAAAAAAAAGTAGTAGCACTGTAAATGGGCTGGATCGTCCAAGAACAAGTATGGATGTATTTACAAACAGTTTAACCAATCACACTACTCGGATTTATTCTGCGAAAGCAAGAGAAAACATTAGAACTTTCTGGCTGGAGGGCAATGGATGTGCAGATAAGGCAGCAAAAAAAAAAAAAAGTAATAGCACTGTCAATGGGCTGGGTTGTCTAAGAAGCTCTTGTGTCACAAGTGCACGATAGCGTGATGGCCCACCGATCTGAAACATTTGAGAAGGGAAGTGATTGAGCTCACTCATTTTAGGAAAGCCCGTCTGCTTTTGGGTCAGACCCCATGCAGGTGTTGTGCTTGTAGAGAAAGGTTACTCAGTGGCTTAGCCCCTTACAGGAAGCGAGCTGAAGTGAAGACAGTCCTTGGGTTCAAGAGTGGATTGTTGGGCCCCGATTTTTATGGGAAACGGGGGTGTTTCCCCAACTGTAAATATAAATAATTTATATAATTATTGTATAGTTGTTTGTTTGTGTGAATGAGTACGCAAGAGGGCCAAAGGTGGAATATTGAGAATCCCATCAGCCCTCACAGTGCAGGGACTGATACGACTATTGTCAGTAGCCTGCCATAAAAAGAGATATGTTTTGCAATATATAGTAAAAATGATTTGCTGTAATAAATATTAAGATTTATAAAAGTGGGCATATCTTAAAATCAGAATGATTGTCTAAAAATAGTATACTTCCTCTAAACAAGCAAAAGGGCTTCAAAATCCTTGGACACATGCTGGTAAAAGTTTTAAATCTGTGTTCATTTATTTTTTAATTCTAAAGGTGTTTTAAAGAAATTATCAAAAGTATTTTTCTTCATCCTGTCATTTTCAAGTACATGGTCCTTTTCAATCTACCCTGGTAAAGTTTCTAAACCTGTTGTACATTTGATCTGTATAATTTTAGTTATTTCCAGGCCTTTTTTTAAAAGGTGTTTTAAAGAAATGATCAGAAGTACAATTTTTCTTCATCTTGTGGCTTTTAATGTACAATTTTAAAATACCTTAAAAAACCTAAAAGTAAGAAAAATAAACAATCCATAAAAAGAAAGAAAAACAGCCAACAAAAACAAAGAACAAGACGAAGTACCTTATCCTTTTATTTGGGTTGTTATATGGCTAAGATGATGGGTAGGGATAAGTTGTCTTTTCCGCAATTTATTTTGTCAGATGCATTTCGGTCTGATATAGACCATCTTCAGGACTTTTTTTAAATATAAAGTGGTTTTACGGTTTTTTATATAGTTATAAGCTCAGAAGTAGATGTATGGACGACTACTCGCGAAGTCTACAACCACTTCTGAGTTTTAAAAAATGTACACTAATTCATCATGTTATGGGAATATTTATTGAACTTCACAAAAAAATTTAATGAAATTTATTTATTTTCAGAGGGGTTGTTCAAGAAAAGCTTGCAGCTTGTGTCAATATCATCCCAAAAATCACTTCAATGTAAGTATTGTCAATAATAATATATGTAATACGTTTATATACTTAAAAGTTAATCAATTTTCTTTAGATATGAATGGAAAAACGAAATTAATGAAGATCAAGAAGTGATGCTGGTGAGCTTATTATTATAAATATATATAAAAGCACAAATATTAAACTACTTATATACTTATTTCAGATAATAAAAAGTCGAACATCCAGAATTCCTGAACTTTCTAATTATATTAAGTAATTATTGTTTTTTATTTATTTTATTAGTTGTGAGAATAATTATTTAACAAGAAAATTTCACAGGGCAAACCACCCTTATGAAGTGTGCGAAGTCATCTCAACCAAAGTCTGTATTATATTTATTTCCTTTGTTATTTAATCATATTGAAATTTTTTTTGATATTTCAGATAGAAGATGGTAATCCAGACTACTTGTCGTGGATTTCTTCTGTTGTCCCACCCAAAAAAGACTGTTAAATGCTAAAAAAAAGAACAAATGTTTCTGTAAATAAATTTATTTGATTGATTTAATGAAGCATTTGTCATTTTGAAAATCCATCAGTTAAAAAAAAACATCAAAAATTAAATAAAATTTAAACAATAGATAATAACATAGTTAACACAGATTTAAAAAAAAAAAAAAAAAAAAAAAATCAAGTCCAGATAGATTTTGTCATCACAATCATTAAAGCTTCACAGTTAAGCCTCCATTTCTTCTTCTGAATTCATCAAGAGATTTTTATTTTCCTTTTTTTTAGAAACTAAAACAGAAAAACAATGTCACTTTAGAAATAGTTTGAATTGTTAAAAAATAAATAAATCAACGCTTAACTCACCTAAATGAACGAACTCATATTTTCCAACATTATCGCCAAGTATTACATGGAATACTGGATATTCAACTACAATTTTGTGCATCAAGTTGTCAGAAATTGATTTCTGAGGGTTCATGAGGAAAAACTTGTCCCCTGGCAGTTTTTCGGCTTTGAAAAGGATCTTTATTTCTTGGCCGAGTTTGTGGTAAATGGACAATTTTTCTCTAACATCTTCTGAAGCTTTATCCTCAACAATATATTTAGAAACAGCTTCTATTAAAGTTGTCGTATCTTTTACCCTAAAAACCAAAACGCAAAAATATTATTTCAATTCTAAACTAGAATTTTGATTTTTAATAATAAATTACCTAATTAGTAAACTAATTTAAAAAAACACTCGCATTTTGTTGTTTATTGTACTATGTATTTTTATACATGTGTCTGGTTTTTTCTTTAAGTGGATAAAATTATTCTCTTAGTAGTGCTTTCTGACCTGCTTCCTCTCTCAAATGATGCTGAAGAGAACTTCAAAAGCACCGCGAAGAGAATAAATTACAAATTTAGTTCACTAATTACAACCTTACACTGATGAAATACTGAACAACAGGAGAAAAGCTAACATAGTAAAGTACCTATTGTCAAAAGCAGTGAAATTGTCTGCTTCCGGAAAAACCCACTGGACCATCCAAAACAGCTCATTGCTTTTCCAATTGAGGTAAGTCGAGTTTTTCTTATGTTTTGTGAATTTGGTCGGCAATAACTGGAGCCTCACGTTTCTTGATGCAGCTTCATTGATAAGTTTGTTGCAACGCTAAAAAATGCAAACAACAAACATGATTATTAAGTTTTTAAACAGAAATTAAATTTTAATGTGTATTATTCACTTCTTTTTCTCCATGAGAGATATAACTGAAAGATTTATATCTTTTTGATATTACTTCTAAACTTCTGTTGGTTTCTTCTAATAATGAATAATCTGGAAAAAATATTAACATTATATTTTATTTTATTTTAGTAGAATCGCCTTAATCCAACATATTCAACAGTTTTATTCCTTGATTTTCTCATTTTTATTTATATTATTTCAACCAAGGATGGTATTTTTTTCCCTCCTGGCATTAGTTTTCTCATTCAAAACTATATCTATGTATTTTCTCAGCCTTTTAAGTCACACACTTGCTCTAGGTCTCACTTTTTAGAAAAGTGAGAAAAAACGCTGAACAAGATGTCTTTTTACATGTTTTCTAGCTTCAGCCATTCATCAGTAAATTAAAAAATTCAGGAACATGTTAAGTTTTGCACTTTTTATGAAAACTTCAAATTGAGCTGTGAAGCCAGGAAATCGTTCTGGAGCGGTGCCCTATAGCAATTGATAGGAAATTTTAATACATTTTCAATTAGTCACCTTCCACTTTGCCCAATTTCTGAAACATTTTTCGACTTATTCGTGATTTTTGGGCAAAAAATATGGTTTTGTACGTACTCATGAAAAAATAGATCACCCCTCTCCTGATTTTATCATATCTTGTTTTAATACGTTATTCGAAGCCAAACTACCACAACACCTATAAAATGGGAAGGAAAATTTGAATTTCCTTGATTTAATTGAAAGCTTATTAAAATTTATTACTTTATAGCTGATTTTAACTTTTTTTTTTTACTGGGTCGATCTTTGGGCAAGACGGTCTTTGGATGTTGAGAGGAGAGCTACTTAGCCAATGCACGCAATTTTTTTCCTCGTGTTACCCAAGAAATAAGGGATTTCTTGTCACCTTTTCCTTTTTCCTTTCCAGCTGCCAGCTTGAAAAAGTGGCAACCCCGAGACCATGCTGGAAAGTTCAAAACGGGCCTTAGAGTGGAGTTTTCAGTGGAGGAGGTGTAAAACAGAAGGGCCAGTCTTTACTTCTTCTGTGAGATTGCGTATTCGACGGGCCGTCAGGCGGGGTTTGGGGTGTCTTTCTATTGAGAAGTAAAGAAAACTTCATACACCACTGTGGCATGTTCCCATTTTCGACAGACACACAAAAATGGCACAGAGAGGATAGGCAGACTAAGATGATCAATAACAACCAAATTAAAAAATGATTTTACCTAAAACACTACTGTTGAATTAATACGATTCTACAATGCTAGCTAACAGGATAACACAACTTTAATAACTTACCACTATGCAGATCCATATCACCTAATTTTTTAAGTGGTTTAAACAATACTTTATTTCTTATTCCACTACAGTCCAATTCAATTTTGTGGATTTTTGTACAGGGCAGCGAACAGGTTTTCACTTCACAGGCGGGGCATGTGTATTTGGCATTTGAATTGGCACATACCTCGCATACGCCCAATCTATTGAAAAGGAATAATTTAATTTTCTTTCCAAGCTATTATTAACAAATAACTTAGTACAATTAATGATGAGAAATGCAAAGGGCGTTAAACATAGAATGGGTAAAAAGAGGGATTATGGCCTAACAGAATGCTGACAGGACCTGAATTCCTTCTGTAGGAAGTTGTCCAAAATAGAAGGCAAGATGAGAGTTCTTCTTAAATAACGATCCAAGAATCTACTTGCAAGATTTAAAAATCATTATATTACAGATGGAAGAGTCAGTTTTTTCTTTCTTTTTTTTTTTAATGAGCGTATTTCAACTATGAGGTTATATGAACCCTCGAGGTGCCAGTGTTTTTGAAAAAGCTCATTTGTAAGTATTTGGGTTTGAATACAGGGCCACTGGATTTGAATCCGGGACTTTACCTTACAGTGAGTGCACCTTGTAAATGCCTAAACCGTTGCGGTTACAGACAGGAGGATATTTTGTTCCTTCTTCATGATCACTAGAGACTGAAGCTTCCCTTTCACTGCACTGCAACCTAAAAGATCTATTGTAGAATTAACCCTTCTTTATTTCTAAATGCTGAAAAGTGAACTACCTTTGAGGTAATTCCTTTTCACTTATTTTTTTAGGAGTAAGCATAGCTGGTGTAACTTTGCAGGCAAAAAGGAAATGTTCTGACGTTTCAACCTCTTCAAAGGTGTATGCAGGCTAAGATTCCTACTCCTGAGGGCATGAAAGTCCTTGAAAAAGCTTTGGAATCTGATAAAAAGCCTTAGTGCTTCATTGGCATTGGGTCACTTCTGTTCTGTCTTCACTTGCAAGTTTGTCGAACTACTCAGTTTCAACTTCACAGTTCCTTACCGAATACACGCTATTTGAGTAATTCAACAAACCCGAGAGTGAAAACTCAAAGACCAACACCCAGCATCAACTCTAAAACGTTTTAAGTTTAATGAAGAGCTATGACAACAATGGAGATGCATAAAAACCAATATGGGTTGCAGTCTGCATGTTGTAAAAAGGCCGACTCCTTTTCTATCTGAATTTTAGGATAAAATTGAATTACAATAATTGAATGAGAAATGGCCACCTTAAAGCCCTACTATTTTCCTTAATTCTTGCCACTGAAGGAGATAGATTTTCGTTTTCCTACTTAAGACATTGAGGAACATCTTTTTCACCAAACAGATTAATTCAGTGTGTGATCATTTCTCCATACATTTGTTCATTTTTGCTTTTCTTGAAGGGATACTGCAGACTGTATAGTAGGGGGTGAAGACTGGGCAAAAAGAGGTGGCCACAGGGACTTTGACACCTCGACTTGAGTAGATCTATTGTGCTCGCCTGTTTTTTATAACTCACTGGCCAGTTTCAGGCTGTTAATCAACCTCCATAGCCTTGCCAACCATCAGTGTGGTTTTCCTGTCCTAGTTGCAAAAACCTGCACCTACGAGGATGGCATAAGTAACAAAAAATCTCTGCTGTGAACACTGACTCGCAGACCAAGATGGACTCAGTACCAGGTCAACAGTGTAGGCATTTTTTGTGAAGGGAAATGAATCCAAACTCATTGGCTGACAGATTTCTCTGCAGGAGAAACTATCTCAAAGGCAACATATGTTACAAGGACAAGAAATAATATGCTTTGATGAACCATCAGATTCACCTGAGTACTGTAGGTATAAATGAATCGCAGAACTTTTAATCAACCAACAAATAAGAACATAATTAATAAATGTGGCTTTAAAACATTGATAAACAACACATATCGAATAATGGTGGAAAACTTGGACGAATAGTGTTTCGTCGAAGTTTTCACGAGTTGGATGGAGAGTTGAGTACTTACCTGGATTGAATCCTTAATTTCATTTCTGGATTCTCCTCTTCCATTAGATTGTCCATTTTGGGAGAAAAAAGCCCTTTGCTTTATAATTGAATATGTGATGAAATCTTGAGGTGAAGTGGTGTAAACATAACTAAAGACTATTTACTCCACTAGAAGGAAGCAAGAGGTTGCAAACTGCACGTGGTTCTGCTGTAGTCTTTGAAAGTCGAGTAGGTTTCGCTTGCTGACTACTAAAATACTTATCTAATATTGTGTCTGCTTCTAGAAAATGAGAAGTATTTGAACAGGACGGTATTTTTAAATTTGTGCAATAATTCTTCAAGTTTTTTTTATACATAAATTTTAGAGATGAATGTCAATGGTGATTTTAAGGAAGAAAATAAAATCAAAATAGGCGATTATGTTATTATACAGAGACAAGGGTTCTTTAAGCTTCATCAGCTCTCTTTGAAAACGAGTTTGACACTGGGAAAAGATAAGGTAGACCTTAAAGCTATAGTCGGTAAGCGGTATTGGTCAGTTTTCAAGATGTTGCCGATAAAGGGAAAGAGAGAGTACGAATTGGAAGAAACGAATGAGCTAATGAGCATACCTGAATCAGTAATGAAGGAGGTGACAAGCGGCACTGATAACCGGAACATCACTGACACAGGCAAGTCACAACTGCTTAGTACGGAGGACATAGAAGGTCTCAGAGACAGCGGTTTGTCAGCACGTAACATAGTCGGAAAACTAATTGAAAACAGTACCACCTTCAAAGACAAAACCGAGTACTCTCAGGAGAAGTACTTAAAAAAGAAAGAGAAAAAGTATTACGAGTATATCATTGTCCGTAAACCGACTCTCAGATTGATCTGTGATATATTTTATAACAGAGATCAGTTTAAGATGTTAGGCCTTCGCTATGACACTTTAGGACAGATATTAACATTGGCGAACATACAGAGTAATGGGAATTATATTTTATTCGAAAATGGAACACAGGCGATTGTCGGCGCATCGATATTAAACTGTCTCGGCCCAGGAGGCAATCTCATAAATCTCTCAATAGGTAATCATCCTCAAAAGCAAGCAATCCTTGGACTTAATTTTACAAAAGAACAACTGGAAAGATTTATTTCGGTTAAAATTACCGATTTCACTAAAGCTTTTCAGAATGAATGTCCCCAAGGTGAAAACTCTACGCTGGTGGCTGAAGACGAAATTAGTGAACATGGACCGACAAAAAGGAAAATCACGGAAGAAGATGCTCTCGAGCCGGCTGTCAAGAAGCCGAGGTGGATGGAAGACTTTACAAAGTGTGTTGACCTCGTGAAAGAAAAAAATCTAGACGGTTTAATAATCGTGTGTAAAGAATATCCGCTCAATATATTACTGAAGTTATTGCGCTTTGTCAAGCCCTCCCGTCAGATTGTCGTGTATTCGATCTACAGAGAGGCTCTGGTGGAACTTTATGTCGAATTGAAAAAGCGAAAAGATGTTTTAGCACTGCATATTTATGAAAATTGGCTGAGGACTTACCAAGTGTTAACCGATAGGACACACCCTGATGTTACAATGAGTTCAAACGGTGGACATTTGTTAGTTGCCACCAAAGTGTTGCCTTAATATTTTATGTAATTAAACTTTTATAATTGTAATTCATTTTTTTACCTTTTACTTGTTATTGCTCCATTAAAACCAATGTTAGCAATTGAATATTTATGATATACTTTATCCTACAAGAAATATGCAATGTTGCTTTTCAGGAACTAGACAACCATCAAACAACTTTGATGATTGTCTAGTTCCTGAAAAGAAACCCAAGTAATATAAAAAGTCAACAACCAAATAAGGAGAGTAAAAAATATAAAATATGCAATAATTTTTTCTGGCATTTGCAGGACAATTTAAAACAATTCTTTAATTGATGAAAGGGTATTAAAAATCCAAGTTATATGTGGTGATGTTTTTGTCTGTTGGTCGTTTCAGACTACTGGCCTTTCTGAACAGCTGAATTAGCCCATTTGGGCTGCTGAAGATGGGCCAATAGTCTATATCCAACAAATAGAAACATCACCATGGATTTCTTTGATTTTTTAATACCCTTTCTTCTATACTATAACCATGGATAACTTTAAAAAATTCTTTAATTTGTTTTGGCCGCATAAAAAAATCTGTATATTCGAATACTTTAGGCAATTTGTTTTAAATATTTGCAGTGATCTTTATAATGTATACATATATGAACTTCGCCTTAGAAAACAAGATTTTTTAGAAGACTTGCACTCTTAAAGAAAATAATATATTTTTTATGAAGTTAATGTTTAACATATATTTGTTTTAAATTTTTCAATGTACAGTGATATTTCCCTTAATGGATGTACACCCCCCTTGTACGGACAAATTCTGAATGCTTGGTGTCTTAAAGAAACTGCAGTTTCTTCGTGTCAAAATCTTCTATAAAGCAGAAACTCCCAACAATGGTTGCGGACAGCTTTTTCGAAGATATTCTGACTCTAAAACTTCCAAAAGCAGACAGCAGCCTCCAGAAAAAGAACATTTTCCAAGAAATGCAATTTCCCCTCCAATATATTCCCAATATTCCTTGATTTTGACTATGCCATTTTGCAAACATGTTAAATACTTCTTTAGTGTGTTTGACACGTAATGAAAAATGATTATAATTAACGAGTGAAAATAAAAAACTGTCTGCGAAGTTTTCCATCAGAAAGACCCAGGTAAGTGAAATTCTAAGTATAAAAAGGAACTTTTTGTTTAATTTTTCAAATACAGAATTGACCTACAATTTTTTTCATAAAATGTCTGGCTTGGCCATGGACAGTAGAAATTGATTAGTTTTGCCTAAAACCTTTTTAATAGCAATGAAAGTCCTTTTTTTTTGCGCACTTGTGGATAAAACTTTTTAAAAAATGAGGTTGTTAGAGAGGAAAGGTTCAAAGGAGACATTTCATAACTTTGCTCTTATGCAAAAGTATGCTCGATAAATTTTAAAAACCCTGGTCCTAAAAAAGGCTAAAAATCCTCAATGTTTCAAAAGTGAAGATATCTTGTAATCTCCATTGTGGCCCATTTTGTAATACTAAACATTCACTCTTATCCCAAAAGCAGGCAATATTTCATTCCCAAGTGTCCATTATAGGGAAGTTTCACTGTATATCATAAATATTTCTGATCATTCTAATTGTGCATATCTAGTGCTCTTCTTTAAGTTTAAAACTTTTTATCAGATCATAAAGCTTTGTGGGCCCTTCAGGCTATTCCTCTCCCAGGAGTAGGAATCTGTCTACACAGGCTTCTGTTGTTCCGAGTCTGTAGATACACCTGAAAAGATTTTTTGTTAATTAAATGAGGTTGTTTGTTCTGTCCTTTTTTAATATATAAAATATTTTATTTACACTAAAATAAATAAAAAAGACTAAGTAATTAGTACTCCATTTCATCTAGTAACCATTATAAAAAAAAGTTGGAAAACTGTTATCTTTCTGCTATGGATCAATCTCAGTTAAAACTCTTCATAAACTTGTGAAATAGTGTTAAGATCTGGGAAGTAATGAACCTGTAGTTTCCTGCTCTGGCTAACCTTTGTATGGTCTGTTAGATATATTTCAGCATCTTCAGTGATCAATTTCATCAAGACGAACGAACCATGCAAAAATAAATTAATCACAATCATTCATGATTAGGGGTGGTTAGTTTATAGGTTCATCATCCCCACAGATCTCAAGGAGAAATCTCACAAAAAAATAAAGATACTTGTACAAATTTTTAAATTTATATTTTATATAAGTAGCACAAACAAAAATAAATAATGTATATTTTAATTATAATTTCTCAAGTGACTTAAGAATATGAAATTAAATATATATATTTGTAATTATTTACAGGCATACATTCGAGTATATTAGACTATTCACCCCCCCCCCCCCCGCCAGGGTAATTTTATGTTTGAAAAATGTTTAACAAAATATAATTTACACATATCATTTTAAAATCTTACAGTATCCTATTCCTCATTTTGCAGTTATAATTATGATATTTGTTGTGTATAAAAGAGTACAAAACAAGTGATAAAATCATAAATATTATTTTACAATATATAATACATATACAATTGAAAACAACAGAAACTATTTTTTTCTTTACAATATCCAAAAATAAAGAACAAAGACGAATACAACTATGCATCCTGCCGCTGCTTTAGCATAAACTGATTTCATATTTAAATATGTTGCATCCTTTTTATATTTCTGAGACATCATGGACAAACTTTGAGCTTTAGAATCCAGTTCTGGAAAGAAACAAAAACGTTAATAATTGTTAATTTTTTAATTGATATTGAAAAAAACAAAATCACACCAGAGAGAACCACCCCTCGTTGAAGGACATCATCAATGTTTTGAACCATGATACGCTGGACATCTTGAAGTTCCGAATTAAGAGATGTTAAATTTCTCCTTACTCTCGAGTCAGTAAAAATTTTCTTCGCTTTCTGTATATAAGTATCTGGGAAATGATGTATATTTGTCAAGAGTGCTATTCGATTAACAAAATAAATGAAAAAACTTACCAAATTCGATGAAACCGTAAGGTCTTGTAACAGTGCTTACTTTAGATCCATACTGAGAATGAAATTCTTGCGCTATGTCTTCAAGATAAGAAAAAGCCAATCTTTTTGAATAATTTGACTCACATAAAACCAAATAAATTACATCGTGTTCTATCAAATAACTGTAAAAATGGCCCAATTAATAATACATTCATACAAATGATATATTAACAATAATTACTGAAAAAGATAAGGGCCAGTTTTTAAGGTGCACTGATGTGGGCTGGTGTGCACCGATATTTTCCTAAACAACATTTTAGCTTGGTTCTGATATTCGAGTGTGGTCCTGCCAGACTGAAAATAAAACAAAAAATTTCAAATATTTCCAAAAGCAATAGATATATTGACTGTAGGATATAGGAAGGTGGTTTGATAAAATAAAAATTAGGAAAATCATCAAAGACACCATACATCTGCTTGTTCTTTAAATAAAATACATACTTTTTTCATTGGAGTTGGTGTGTTTATTTTGTGGCTAAGAAAATGAGCCGGGATTTGGATGTATATACAACCCTAAACCCTACTGTGAAGCGGCCCATAGACGATCAATATTATTGCACAATATTTTGGGTTGTGCAATTTAATTGATCGTGTGTAGACGATATTGAAAGTTTGTGCAATACATTGCATGATTGACGAAAAGTTGAAAATATATTGTACAACCTGGAAATATTGCACCGTCTGTTGGCATTATTGCGCAATATCAGTCAGTTTGTGAAGTGCAACAAGTAGTAACAAAATATTGCACAAACTTCAATATCGCCTTCAAACTATTCAAGTTCATTGCACAAACAAAAGTTTGTACAATATTATTGAACGTTAAGGGACAACCGTCAAATTATTGTGCAATCTATATTGTTGATTGACCGTCTATCGGCCGCTTGAACGGTTGGAAATTGTCACGGTGTTTCCAAACTTTGCAAGAGAGTTCTGTTGGAGCAAAACGCTGTTATACGTACGTCCCATCGGATGAAGATCTTCATGGGATTAACTCCTACCAGACCCTCTATGTGCACCTTATTGTATGAATCTGGATAAGTCAAATGTTGACAAAACAGGTGCATAGATAAACTGTAATTTAAAAATCTTCATGGTTTTGAATTCCTGCCAGTCGCATTATACAGGCCAGACCATTTTTTTGTTACTATGAAGCAGTTATTCACTATTTATTCTTGATGGATATTCCATGAAAGTGGCTAAGTCAAATATTGACAAAACGGGTGCATGGATGAAGTGTAATTTAAAAATCTTTATGGTATTGAATTCCTGCCAGATGCACTATACAGACCAGACCATTTTTTCGTACTATTAAGCAGTTATTCACTAGTTGTTCTTTTTGGATATTCTATGAATCTGGATAAGTCAAACATTGACAAATTGGATGCATGGATGAAGTCTAAGTTAAAAGATCTTCATGATATTGACCCACTATAAAGGCCAGACCGGTTTTTTGATACTATGAAGCTGTTATCCATTAGTTTGTTCTTGATGGATATTCTATGAATGTGGTTAAGTGTAACTTTGACACAATGGGTTCCTGGATGAAGTTTAAGTTAAAGTTTTTGACAGTATAGAATTTCAGCCAGAACACACTGTATATTCCAGAACTTTTTGCAACTATGAACATCATTAGTTTCTTCCTGATGGAAATTCCATGATCCCTGGACTGTATTGCGAACAGCTAGAAAGAACACATGGAATTGTACTGTTGTTCAGCCTTAATTGAGTTTAAGTTCTGTTCAAGATAGAAAACCTTTAGCCACACAATTCCAATCGGAACAAGGAAAACCTAAAAAGCTAGTGGGATCAAACTCTTGCTAGACCTTGCTCTGTAAAAGTATTAGTTGTTTTGATTCATGGTCCACTTTATTCAAGGAATGTAAAATTTTTTTGCAGAAACGGAAATTTTGGTGAATGTTTTTTTGACAGTCATTGTAAGCAACCGTGGGAACGAGTAAAAAGCTGATAGCTGGTTAATGACAGTGGATTACAATGGAATATTTTTTTGCATACTAATTCTATTTTATTATTAAAGAAATTGAAATAATATCTTTTGTTGATATGCTTTGTTTTTTGATAAATCTTATTTTTTTTTTAAATGATTAATTAGGGGTAATTGCATCAAAATAAGGAAAAATAAGCAACCTGTTCGTCTTCTTGCATCGTAGCTGCCAATGGAAGTCCATCGGAGGCCCTGGCTATCATAGTCATCAGAACCATCTCGGAAGCGACGATTATTGAAGAAATCGGTTAACAGTAACTTCACAGATTCCGCTGGTCGGAATGTCACATTTGTCGGAGTTACTGTGAGATGTACCGATCCTCAAAGTCTATCAGCTGTGCGCCACTCTGTAAATAAGCACGGGTGATTTGTCCACGTTGACTCAGAATTTCTCGAGACGGACAAGAGGTGTCGTTGATTTCCATTTATACAAAATCCATTTTTCTTAAAACAGGCCGATTTCCAATGGATAGCACGTCTGTGCTGCGGTTCCCTTGCTAAATACCGAGAGAGAAAAGCGCACAGGCGGACAAGACGATTTTCCCGGGAGAGAATCGTTTCCAACCAAGACAGCGGTTGGAAAGCCAGTTTTCTCATTTCTCTGTCCAGTTCGAGTGGGGAGGAGAAGAGAGATATCGAAAGTTGTAGAATGCCTGGTCCCAATGACGTGAGATAATTCTGGATTCGACATATTTTTACTGGATACAAGTAGGTTTCCTTGCCGTTAAATTATTGTTTTTAGTCAATATAAGTAAATAAGGTACAAGCACAGACGTTACGGTTAGTTCTCATAAACGATTCGTTCAAAGTTGATTTTCATTGACTTTTATGCCTGGGTTTTCATTAACATCTGTGAGTTCTTTGAACGTTTCCAACGTACAATGTTTGCTCGCTATACTTTACACTCGTAGAGTTGGTACTAACTAGCTATTACATACCGTACACGAACATATTTCAATTAAAAAATAAACATAAAAATATATGAACAGTTCTTTGTCAATTTCGAATTACAGTTTGTATGTGTGTCACGAGCATTGTATCAGAAAAACATCGGTTTATCTAAAATTCGACACGTTTTGACATTATGCTACTAGGAAAATGCTGTTCCAAATAAATCAATAACGTACGAGCGAGTTTATTCAGCACTTGCACCGTTATTTGAGAACATTTTCCACTACAGTTAGTACTTTGTAATTCAGTTTATTACTAGAAACCATACTGCTTTTGAAAAAACAGTCATATTCAAAGAACTAATAAGTTATAGGTCAATTGTTTCTTTTAATTATGATTAAGTTGTACTTTGATAGTTTCCAATATACAGTGTTTACAATTTACACTTGTACAGACAGTCTAACTACTTATTTTGTACAACATTTGAACATAACAATAAGAAAAATGTCAATTGACATTTTGTATGTGACTTTGACATTTTTGTATGTGTCAGAAAAATTTACTCAGAACGGCATCGATTTATCTTGGGTTTGACATGCTTTTGACATTAGGCTACTTCAAAGACACTTTTATGTAAACCTACAGCATACAAGTTTTTTCCTCTCTTACACAATTATTTGAGAACATTTTCAACAAATGTTTCTTCTTTATAATGCACTTTATTTCCAGAAAGCATACAGCTTTTTGAAAAAACAGTCATATTCATAGAACTAATAAGTTTGTAGGTCAATTGTTTGTTTTACTCAATCTTTTATTTATGATTATTTGGAGATTGTGAGATGCGGTCTGGTGTGACGTAGGTTCAGAAAAACATTTTCTTTATAATGCCAACGTTTTATTTAAGATTAAGTTAATAGTCTGTTTTTTGGGTGTTTCCAATATACAGTGTCTAAACTTGTAGTCAGTCTACGTATTTTGTACTACACTTTAACATAACATTAAGAAAAATGTCAACTATGCTTTGACAATTGCAAATTACAATTTGTATGTGTTTGTCAGAAAAATTTTCTCAGAAAGTCATTGATTTATCCTAGGTTTGACATGCTTTTGAACTTAGGCTGCTTCAAAGACACTTTTTTGTAAACTAACAGCATATGAGTTTTTTCCTCATTCGCACAACTATTTGGGAATATTTTCAACAAAAGTTTCTTTTTTATAATTCAATTTATTACCAGAAAGCATTCTGCTTTTGAAAAAATAGTCATATTCAACGAACTAATAAAGTCTAAGTCAAGTTTGTTTTACTCAATTTATTTATGATTAAGTTAATAGTTTATTCTTTGAACGGTTCCAATATTTACACTTTACATTTGTACAGACAGTCTAACTACTTATTTTGTACTACACTTGAACATTTAACAATAAGAAAACTTGACAATTGCGAATTACAGTTTGTGTGTGTGTTAAAAATTTACTCAAAAAAGGCATCACTTTATCTTGGGTTTGGCATGCTTTTGACATTAGGCTACTTCAAAGGCTCTTGTGTGTAAACCTACAGCATACAAGTTTATTCTTCTCTCGCACAATTATTTGGGAATATTTTCAACAAAAGATTTCTTTTTGTAAATCTATTTATTACCTGAAAGCAAACTATTTACTAATATTCAAATTTAATTCAATCATATTCAAACTACTAAGTAATCATAGGGCAATTGTTTGTTTTAACAAGTGTATTATTTATAATTAACCTAACATGTTTTATATCTCTGATCTCTCTTAGAAGGGTCATTCTCATCCAATTAAGGATAGGTGGTTCGAGGTTGATATGGACACTTACATCAATTCATGCTATGTTTGACATGATTTTGATATGTACCATATTAGCCTATTATGCCTACAAAATCCGAGTTGATCTGCTCTTTACAATTATTTGACAACATTTTCAACAAACATTTCTGGTTTATTTGTTTTGTAATGCATGCCATTGTTCTACAATTAAGCAACACTAGTGTATAATAATATTGTTGTTTGTGATATTTCTTATGAAGGTCTGTGGGCAATGAACCTGTATCTTGGTATATTTCAGCTTTTTGCCGTATACAGTGGTGGGTTTGTTAAACTAGTGAGACTAGACAGATGGATGGTCTGATGTATACAAAACTCTCTTATTTTTATTTTGTATTGTGGCACAGATCTTTCTTTTCTTGTGCCTTGGGATATCTCCTTCAATGAGTTAGAGTGGTCGGAAAAAGGGTTTAGTTAAATAAATATTCTAGTTTAAGGGGTGATGTCCCTGGCATAGAATCAAATTTACGTATTGTACAGTCCTCATTCAGGGAGGAATATTGTCAAGTTAGGTCATAGAGCTTGAAGCTGTGGATTGTTGGAGGGTCCTCTGATGATAGACTCATCAGGTGACTGTAGTGACCTCACTTTATCTGTCTCTCCATCTGTCCGACTCTCACTCAAGTTCTCACCCAAACTCACAGACTGTTTCTGGTACAGGCCAGTCTTATATCTCACCCTGTGAGCCTTGGAAGCACGTTTATGAAACTATGGATGAGATTGTAGACCCCGGACATTAGTTGGCAGAGCAACAGTAGATCAAAGTACAGGTTCATCACTCTGTGGAACTCACAGAGAAATTTCACAATTTAATTTTTGAGGTTACTTGCCAGGAAACAACTGAAGATAACGATAAGCAAAAGACCGTCTGATAAACCAAAATAGCGAATAAATAGACCGAAATGATCAGAAGAAAATAAGCTAGATCTTCATCACTTTGTAAACATCTTCAGACATAAAATTGCCATAAATTCAACATATAATTCTCATTTGAGGTTTTTAAAAAGTAGTTTTGGTATCAAAAGCTACCTTGTTGCTAATGAGACAGACAAAATACTGGACCATTTCCCAAATTCAGGACTTGGTCCGGTATTTTGGACATGTTTGTGACATAAATTCGATAGAATATAAAATTAAAACTACCTCCTGATAAATGTATCTTCTGTTTCACTTGTTACCCTGATATCTTGATACTTTGTTCCATCAAACTACTTGACATTATTTCACAGGAGCAAAATATTTCATATTGTGTTGATCATGCCATCATATGCCAAAGAAGTTGAAGCATTTTGTTATAATCCATTAATCCATTGATTAATTTTGCAGTGTCTTTGCTTGATATTGTGATGCAATTGTATGCTTTAAATTTATAATTATTTTATAACTAATTTACAATTAACAACTCTGTATAATTACTAGGTATGATTATTATATTTATGGTTATATTTTAGTAGGTAATCATTATTTGTTATATTATGCTGCTGTACTGTATTAGATACAATTAATCAATTTTTATTTTGTTATATAAAAATAGATAAAGATGGTTTATACTTTCAAAAAATTCAGAACAAACAAATTGACAAATTTATCATTAACAGAAATCGTTAAAGGTCATCGATTATTTATTAAGTGAATATCTTTCTGTAGCACCATTTATGATGATGAAGAATGTAAAGTATGTAGTGTTTTCAAAGCGTGACATTTAAAAACATGTTCAGTTAATTTTGAATAAATTTTATCGATTTTATATGATATATATTTCAACACCTTTTGGGAATTTAATTTTTGGTTTATTGTTCCACCGTTTCATCTTTCTGGGGTGTATGGATAACAAGATACTTTTGGATGTAGATGTAGTTTTGAGCACAAATACACCCTAAAGCATAAATTGTTTAGAGCTACTATAGTTTTAAAAATTACAATGTGTTGTGAGGTTAAAAAAAGTTTTTCCATTAGACCAAGTCTAATGAAATTGACTTCCGACATCTTACTAATAGATTTATCTTTTGTTGTCTTAGGACCGTGGTATCAATGGAATACGGACAGCAGTCTGATCCTTGGTCATGGGGTGATGATAACAGTGACAGCCAGCCGAATGAATGGAGTGCTTGGCCCTCTAATCCCAAACCAACGTTACCTACGCAAAATTTCATGCCTCCGATAGAGGTATTTGATTGTTTAATTTACCTAGATTGTCAAAAAGGAATGCAGAAGTATAGAACGATTGACTCTTTCAGGCTCACCATAACAAGCAGGCATCAGCTTATTTCGAATCTATTAACTTGCAAAACAGCCACCCTGTTGTAAATTACTCTCAAGAATATTGGTCTCATCAGACTAACAGAAATAAAGGTCAGATATATAGTGATAGTTGTGGCAATCAAGGAAATTATAATAATAATAATACCATATCCGATGTTGAAAATAAAGAAATTGCACCACCTGACAATGAAATCTCGAGGTTTTTATTTTTTATTTAACTTTATAAAATATTAATTATAAATGAGTTTTTAATTTATTTTTGTATTTATATAGGAGTGCAACTGGAATGGTCCCTAAGGCTGATATGAGGACTTATTTTACACCGACATCTCAAAATTCAAAGCCTTTTATTCCACCAATGGTTTCGAATAATTTTCAATCTGGTACTCTTGACCCAAGACAGAGCTTTATCCAGTCTCAACTTCCTCCTAAAGAGGGTGCAAATTTTCATAACAACCCTCTTCCTCCATCTCCCTCTTCTCATCCATCGGTAAACGAGATTCCTCCTGCTCAACAAATTATGGGCCTCCCCCCTGCACCAGTGCAAGTGGATCGTCCTCCTCCACAAACTCCATGTAACCCTGCCCTCCAGAAGACAGAACTTACAAGTTCAGCACAGCAAATGAACTTTTATCAAACTTTACAGCAGCCACAACTTCATGCACAACACCAACAGCAACCACAGATCCAACCTCAACAAAAACAACAGACACAGTCACAACAAAAACAACAGGGGCTATCACAACAACAACACCACCAACAACAGCAGCAACACCAACAACAGCAACTGCAGATCCAACCTCCACAAAAACAACAGGCCCAAACACAACAAATGGAACTGCCAAAACCACAGATGCAACCACAAGTTAGCCATCAGCAAATGCAACAGCATACTGCTGCCAATCATTTCCCTCATCTTACTCCTGGATCAATCACTTCGATGAACACATTTGGACAAATGGTTCATCCTGCAAACAGTTCTTTGATGCAAAATCCAAGTTCTGTTCATGGTTATGGAAATTTTCAACCAATCCCTATGCCAATACCAGAGAAAGAGTTAGAAGCCCGATTGACCCCATTGTCTACATTACATGATACAAATTCATCGAAACTTTCAACCAATGAATTTCACAATAAAGAAACCCATTTTCAACATGTAAATATGAGCAATAATCAAATGGTATTCGCACATCCGAATTCTCAAGACGCATATAATTCTTCACTACAAACTTTAAGTAAACAACCTACACCTTTATCTTCGGTGACAGAATTAAGCCATAAACGATCGGAAAGTTTACCACAGAATTTTCCCTCCGACACCACTTCTCATTTTGACAGACCAGTTTATCCAACTGTCCAAAGTGGGAGCCACAATAATGTAAATAGTAGTTGTAAAGAAGAACTGATGTTGACTCAGCAGCAGTTGAACAGCTCTGGAAGTAGTCATCCATCAACAAGCAGTGAAAGTTTACCAAACCATGGTTACAACTCGTCCTTATCCAGCAGTAAAAACAGCCAGTCTTTACCAGAAAGCGATCCTAAAATCCAAGATCAATACAAGGCAATGGCGACTAATTTGCAACACAATAATCAGCCTAATGCCTCACACATGCCTTTAATGATGGTTCCAACTGCACCTTCTGCCCAGTTAAAACATGACCAGCAAGATCAAAACCTAATATCCATGCCAAACCAGTTTCAAAATACCAATAGCACATACAGTTTAAATAACACTGTCACACGTCCAATAGCTTCAAGTTCACCTCTTGTCACAAACATTCCTGAAAACCTAGAACAACCAGATGACCATCACCCCTCAGAAACTACTGATCTCAGCATGCAAATGAAATCCTTACAACTTAATGTATGTATATTTTACTCGCTATATGCTTATATTATGATAATTAACTAAGGATTTAAAAATATATGCTTGCACCAGGTCGATGAACACACACAAGTTCTTTGCTCACTCGATAGAAATCAGTATTTAGAAACTGGCCATCTATCAAATCAAAAAGAAAGTGGTTTTGTTAATAGACCAACAAATGTGGACAACCTCGATGAAGGTAAGAGGTTAATTAATGATGGTTTAATTCCTTTATGGAATTTTTTTTCAATTTGTAGGTGATGCCCCACCTCCAGGACTTGATAGATTGGTCACAGGACAGGTTTGTGAATCCCATGTAACTTCTACTGACCCGATCCAGGTACTTCAAATGGAACCATTGTCTGAAAATGACAGTACAAGACAGAGCACACCTCTTTCCTTCAGGGGTCATGGTTAGTTCTTACTTCTTTAACATAGATCTGATAGATTTTAAAACAAAAATTTATTTTAGAAACAAGACAAAGGCATTCTGAGACAGAAGGAGAGAGTGAAAGCGGTTCGAGGAGGACAGGGAGACTTGTCCAGGGTCAGAGCATTGGTGACGATACTGATGGTCGAGAGGTCCCTGGTGAAGATAATTCTGCTCTGAATAGAGTTGTCCTCGGGCAAATAGGAGGTGTTATTACTCCCCCAAAACAAGAAACCCCCACACCAAGAAGTAATAATTTATTATTATTTATCATAAGTTTGGAGTTGTAAGTTATTTTGTCTGTAGGCGACCGTGAAGCTGAGAGGGAACGAGAAATGGGTAGGAGAAGAATGGTGGTAGGTGAGCATGCAGGTAGGGACCAACAGCAAACTGGAAATCTTTCTGATGATTATAGACAAAAGCACAGAACTAGACATAGACTGCGTCGTGGAGAGTAAGCATTTTGATTTGATCTCTTAACATTTATTTAAAAAAAAAAGAAGTATAGTTATCTTTGAAGATAGTACATATTTGTAACAGCTCTCAAGTTGGGGCCACACCTTTAAAGATTTATGTTGAATGCTTTCGCCTCAAATTGAAAAATATTTTCACTCAAATATTTACGCTGTACAGCATGCGTCTCCACTCAAGTTTTGCATTGTTTTTGTAAGGGTAATCTCTTTTGCTATCTTGTTATCGCTCCTCAACAGGTTGGTTCGTGTTTGTGTTTGTGTTTAGTGATGGAATTAGACAAAGAATATGCTGTTCTCCAGATACAGAAGTATCAAGACCATAAATTGTTGTGAGACTATACATAAGTGGTGTTTTAATAAAATCAAGAAAAATGACACCAACTCTTGGCTTAATTAATTATACATCTCTCACTGAGGTACTGAGTGTAGGCAGACTGGCGGACAATTAAAAAAAAAANAAAAAAAAAAAAAAAAAAAAAAAAAAAAAAAAAAAAAAAAAAAAAACCAACTAGGTCCCGGAGCTTGTGTTCAAGTGGGATAAATTCTTGTTGTCACGTCCACACTCAAAGAAATTCCTGGACATGTGTAACAATTTACATTGTGTGTCATTTTTGGAGTAAATTTTTAAAGGTGTGGACCCAGCTTTAAAAGCTAAAAAATAAATTATGTCCATTTTTAGTAGCAGCTATGATGAAGATGATCGAGATTATGACAGCGACAGAAGAAATGAGGAGTATAAAAGAAGAGATGATAGGAATAGAAGAAGAAAAGAACATAGGTAATAAATTAAACATTAATTTTCACACATTATTTCTACATTTATTAATTTATAGGTCGCCGCCTGATTATAGAAGTGATGAGGAGTATGAAGATAGAAGGATTTATCATAAGAGTGGAAGAAACGAAAGGTATGTTTTTGTAACAAGTTTATATGATGTATAAAAGATTTGACTTATCTATCCTGTAACATTTCAACATCCTGTGGCATATTCAATTAAGTTTTTATTTCTGGAAATAGTTTAGTTATATATTGTTTTTAATATTTATAATTAAAAAAAAGACATGCATTCAAAAATAAATGGCCTAACAACATTGAATTAATAAAACTGTCCAAAACAGAAAAAAAGACAACAAAAACGGAAAAAATGGTTTTGACTTAATTTTTTTCTAGGAGGCCAAGGGATCGGGACCGAGATAGAGATTACAACAGTCCTGAAAGGGATTACAGAGATTACAGAGAGGATCGAAGGTAATTTTATATATTCACTTTATCATACATATATTATAGAGTATAATATAAGAGTTTTTGTAATGGTCAGGTCAAGGAAGTTGATGCTGTCATGATCAGTTTCCACAGTGAATGTAATGTTCTTACATTTGTTAGTTTGTTGTCGATGTTGTTTTTCTTTTATGGCTAGTAATATGTCAATGTAACGGAATTTTGTGCTTTGCCTTAATTCTAAGGAAGTAGCTTTATTCTAAGTTTGGCAGAATTATTTCAGCAATTATGCTTAAGCTGAGTTTGGATGTGTATATTATATGTCCCTTAGTTTGAAGTAGTTTTGTTATATTTTTTTAATTTTTATTTTGTACCACTAAATGTGGCCAAATGCTGAAACGTTTCCAAATACCAAACCAGTGAGTGTAAGCAATAATTTGTAAAATATTTGTATTTGAAATATTTTCATAAAAGAAATATTATATACAATAAATTCGAACTAATTACTAATACAAACTATTGACATAAAGATTGCTTAAAGGTTTGTGGAGTTGGACCAACCATGTATTTGCCACTTCTTGAGAATAGTCCCTGGTTTCGCCAAACTTTTTTTTGAAGTTGAAATTTTCCTCCTTTTTTAAAATATTTTTGTTTTGCCATTCTACTTGCTTAAATCTACTATGTGAATAATAATTTTACAGCATTTTTTAAAAGTATAGTTTAAAAGTATAGTAAAAGTTATCAAAGTTTATCAATAACCAAAAAAATTCTAAAAACCAAATATCTATTTTTCAAGTAAATTAGGTCATAATTTTTTTCTTCATGAAACTAATATCAAATTTCATTTTAGCACTTCTAGAGACCCTAATTATTGGGTTGTCCGGAAAATAATGCAGGATTTTGGTATTAAACAAAAAAAAGAAACTAGTTACTTTAAAGCAATGTTCTTTAATCAAAATAATTTCCCATACTCTCAATACATTTCTCCCAACGTGTTGGTAACTTATTAATTCCGTCTGAGTAGAATTCAGAATTTTTAGAATTGATAAAGTCAATAAATGCATTTTCCAGTTCCGTTTGATTTTTGAATATTATGTGTTCTAAGTAGTGGTCCAGGTGTCTAAAAAAATGGTAGTCAGTAGGCGAGAGGTCCGGAGAGTAGGGTGGGTGAGGCAAAGTTTCATAGCCAAGCTCCAATAATTTTTGTGACGTTACACGTGACACATGTGGTCGAGCGTTGTCATGCAACAAAATGGGCCCTTTCCGATTGACCAAAGAGGGCTTCATTACTGCCAATTTCTGATGCATGGTATTAATTTGGTTACAGTATGATTCAGCATTGATGGTTTCGCCAGGATTTAAGAAGCTGTAGTGTATTAAACCAAATGAAGCCCACCATACCGTAACCATTACCTTTTTTTGATGAGTTGGGGGCTTTGGAAAATGTATTGGAGCTTCTCCTTTGTCGAGCCACTGTCCAGAACGTCTAGTGTTATCGTAGAGAATCCACTTTTCGTCACATGTAACAATTCTGGCCAGAAATGGGTCATTTTTGTTTCGACAAAGAAGTGATGCACAAACATCAAAGCGCTGATTTTTTTGGCGATCGTTTAATGAGTGTGGAACCCAATTTTCGAGTTTTTTCACTTTTCCAATCGCCTTGAGGTGGTCAGCGACGGTCGTTTTACTGACTTTGAGTTGCTCTGCACCCACCACTGATCGCAGAACATCATCATTAAGAGAGGAAGGCCTTCCACGACCTTCTTCATCTTCAAGGCTGAAATCTCCCTCCCGAAATTTTTTAAACCACCTTTGCACAGTGCACTCATTAACACAACCCTCGCCCCAGACTTGGTTAATGTTTCTAGCCGTTTGGGCTCCGCTTCGGCCGAGTTTAAACTCGTAAAAGAAAATCGTACGAAATTCTCGCTTTGACATTATAAGGATGACTGAATTATTTCCAAGTAGCGGAATGCTACAGAGGTAAACAAACAATATCATTTGGAAGAGGATTAATAAGTGTTGACATTCATACAAATGAGTAATCCTGTAAACGTAAACAGAATATTTTATATAGATTTTTTTTAATGAAAACTTAAAATCCTGCATTATTTTCCGGACAACCCAATAAATAATATACATTTTTGTTTGAATTTAAATTTATCTATTTTTTGACCCCTAAAATTTTCCGATTTTTGAAAAGTTGTTATCAGAATATCTGATTGAAACGGCTATAATTCAAAAATAGCTAAAAGGATTTATTGTCTTATAACACTTGAATTATGACAAGGAGGTCAAATTTTGTGAAATTAATTGTTATTTACAATTATTAAGGTGGGTCCCTGTGACTGTAGGTTTTCTCGCCTTACCATAACTGTAACATCATAACATTGTTGAACTGGTTTTGGTGTTCCACTGTTTGTCAGTTTTTCAGTGTCACATCAACATTGCAGGGTGGTGTACAGCATATCTGGAAGGTACTGCATAACAGTCCTTTAGTTTCAAATTGAAGAAAAGAATGGAACATTGCAGTGTCATTTACATCTCCTTCATAATCGGTGATACCAACGAAATATAAAAAATATATTGTAAAAAACAAATTGATTCATTTATGTAATTTTTAAACTGTATTTAAATTGTATTTATGCAATTTATAATCAAACTTCAATGACTGAAGTGAAAAATTACTTATAAAATTGTTTATATATTGATTAGGGTGTGTCATAAGCATTTTTTAAGTTAACTAATATTGTTTTAAAAAATTAAATTGCACATTAATGCAATGTTTAATTTTAATTTCACAAGGAAATGAAACATATAATTTATTATTCATAAATAATAAAATTCTAAATTTATCTAACTTTTCTAAAGTTTTAGCCAAAATTTCCTAACATGACTAATACATGTAATATTTCTTTGTGCGGTTATACTTGGAAGAGATTTTTTTATTGATAAATTTTGTTTTAGGAGATATCGTAGATATGAGCAATATAGTAGAGATTATGATGATGAGTATTATCATCGTGAAAATAGGTCTCGCCCTTCGAGTCGGACAGGTTCTGATTACAGGAGGAATATGGATTATTCTATGAGATCCCAAAGGTCTTGCTACCATGACCATAGTAAGTTTCAGTTCTTAGTAAGTTTTAAGAATACTATTTAATATTTACCTAGTTGATTTTACAGCAATCAATAGCAGTGATTATTTGGATTATTCGAAATATAGTGCTTACGAATATTATGAAAAATTGAGACAAACTGATCCTGTAAGGTATGCAGCATGGTATGAGCAGTATATGAAAGAAAGATACAGTGGTTACCAAAATTCTTTCCATTATGGAGCAGACAAGGCCAGCGTACACTCAGCTCAAAGTGCCTCCAATCAACGTCATAGTGCCCACACGTAAACAAATTAAATATATATATATTTAAATGAGTTTTCTTTTTCTTAAATTTACATTGTAATTATGTTTTAGACCACAAATTGTCAATGAAAAAACTACTAGGCCTAATGAAGATGAATATGACATTCATTTATTTTCTACTAACCATATTAAAGGTATCAAACGCACTATAGATTTCAAATTATTTTTTATATACTAATTTGTATCAATTTTTAGGAAAATTGGATGGCCAGAATAGGCTGGTTGTGATTGATCCAAATCATCCCCTTGATGGTCAACGAGCAACCATAAATTTATACAAATTGACTCAGCCTGCGCTCGATTCAGATACAGAGGAGTTTTTCGAAAGCCCTGGACCATTTATTCCGTGAGTTGCTGTTATTATTGTGTTATTCTAGTGTGAGACACTGTTTGATTTTAGTGGTGTGACACATCGCAATACTGTTCTTCAGTATTTAAAAAGGATATCGGAGAAAGCCAGTAAAAGTTCGGAAAAACTGCTGTACGACCTCATTCATTTAACAGTGAAAGGAAATGGGGTATTGTTATTACGTTTATTCTAATGAAATATTAACAATAAGTAAAAAAGGGAGATGTTTTATTGCCAAAAGATTGGTGTTTATATTCAAGGCCATATGTAAACTTCTTGCATTGTTGATGATGATTAACTATATTAATACATTTTTCACCAATATTTTCTGTAAAAAAAATTTGTTGTTAAATGTCCTGATAATTACATTATAATCATTTCAAGTTTAGTAAGAAAATGATACTCTTATGTAAAAATTTTCTTCTCCTTTTTTTTCTTGTTATTATAAAACTTATCTATTATATGTTTAACAAATAATTGTTAATTTTATATTGTGATTTGTCAGGAGGTCAATGAAGTTGATGTAGCTGAGCTTTTAATGAATAGCTACAAGAAATCTGAAAAAGAAGAATGGAACAAGGCTGAAGATATACCTGTAGAAAAACTCCCAGAAAAAGAGGTTGTAGCTAAGTTTAGAGAGCTTCTCCAGCAAGGAAATAAAACCGAGGCACTTGGTAATTCAACATTATTAATATATTAATGGTTATTTTTGTTTGATTGCCTTTTCAGATTTTATATATATTTTTTGCATATTTTTGTATGCAGGAAATTTGAGACTAAAAGGTCAGTGTTACAGATGGGATTCGAACCCACGGTCTTCAGCACTATAACCTGACACTCTAACCACCAGAGCCACCGTGACTTTGATCCCCGTGACACCGACCTTTCTATCTCAACACATATCTTATTTTTGTGCAATTCCTGTCTATTGTCCAAGTTATATAAGATGTTCAACCATTCTATATCAAATTTCATATATATAACAAATTAATTATATATAAAGTGAAATCCTTAACGGACACCACTCTATAGCGACCCCCTCTCCTAATGGACAATTTTTGCATTCTCAACAATAAAGTTTTTATACATTTTAAATCCTTCTATAACGGAACTTCTCCATTCTGATTATGCACGCTGCCCAGTAGAGGAATTCACCCTTCTAGAATGGATGTAAACAACAGTAATAGTATATTAAATGTTCACATAAAAAAAATTTGTTATGATCATTACATTAAAAAAAAAAAAATGTTTTTTGGTTGATAGTTTAGGTAAGGCATGTAATCCTCTACTGAGAAATAATAAAACTGTTTTATTTAAGTTTTATGTTTTGACACAGCTGTTAGGAAAATGTGTACTTTATGTTCTTTTCCTCCTCTCATGTTAGGAGGGGCTTTGTGTCTCCAGTGGTTTAGGCATTGACATGGTGCTCATAACTACAGTAAAGGTCCCTGGTTCAAATTCAGCGGCCCTGCATTTGTACCCGGCATACTTACAAACCTTCTATTTTTAAAAACACCCGCACCTCGAATGTTCATATAACCTTGTAGTTGAAATACCCTCATAAAAAAAGGAACACATTATGTTCGTGGAAACATGTTTTGGTAATCCATTTTTGGGAATTGCATCTCTTTTGTGTACGAATAAATTGTTCATACATTAAATGCCTTGTTTTCCTATTTTTCTGTTGTCTACGTTCTGTTTCTCCTTCAGAAGGTTATAATTCACGGAGGAATAAATGGTTTAGGCATCTTGACAGCCCTCTTGTTTTGCTTATTTATTTTTTATTTTTGAAACTTTTGTCTATATTCTGTTTCTCCTTCAAAACCTTATCTTTTACGGAGGAATAAATGGTTTAGGTACGCATATGACAGCCCTCCTGTTTTGCTTATTTATTTTTGAAACTTTTGTCTATGTTCTGTTTCTTCTTCAATACCTTCTCTTTTGCAGAGGAATATATTGTTCAGGCATTTGACAGTTTTTCCGTTGCTACATTGTTTCTTTTTCGAAAGCGTCTTTTTCATGAAGGAATAAATTATTCAGGCATTGACAACTTTTTTTAATTTTAATTTTTTGGAAATTACTTTCCCTACGTCGTGTTTCTTCTTTGAAAGTTTTTCTTTTATGGAGGAACCAGAAATTTTTGTCCCCCTGCTTTAACATGGATGATTGATAGGTGAAAATTAGGATTGCCATGTTTGTTTGGTCTGTGCAAATTGGCACATCTTTCAAGTCTCAACTGTATATAACAGTTGTAATTGACTTACGTAAAATTAAAAGAGGTGTTTTGGATGCTTGAGTTTTATAAATATAAGTCTGATAAAAAATGAATTGCCATAGTGAATAAATTAAGAATGCTTCATTAGGATAAAGTGCCTTTAACTAAATTTAAAAACCAGACTAAGATAGATTTTTAATTATTATTTTTTTAATTGTGAACATGTTTTTATTTTAGAAATTATAAATGATGGGGTGAGTGTGGAGTTAAATCCTTTTTTAAAAAGGATTGTTTTTATTTTATTTATATATAAGATTCATTGAAATATATAAAAAAATATGTATTATAAACAACCACTCTTGACACTCTCAATACGACTCACAAGAATGACACATCTACATGGAAAACAAACACTTTGAGCCCTGAAGATGATCTCAATTAAGATCAAAACGTTGGCATGATAAAGAAAATGTTTTTCTGAAACCTATGTAACCAGACAAACCTCACGATCTCCAAATAATCATTATAAACAATATTGCATTTATCTTGATAAAAAAAAAAAAAATCATTTTAAACCTGTGTATTGTATAAATTATTGACATTGGCATTAATAAAAAAAATGTTTCTATCCTTGTTTGTTTTTCAGATTGGGCTATTGATCATGGAGCTTGGGGCCATGCACTATTCCTCGCCTCAAAAATGGATGATAGGACACACAACCAAATCATGTTAAGGTTTGCTAACAGCATTCCCCACAATGATCCATTACAAACTCTATACCAGCTTATGTCTGGACATATACCACAATCATCTACTGTAAGATTTAATTTTTTTCTTTAAGTGATAACAAATAAATGAGATTTTGATTGTTTGTTTTTCAGTGTTGTGCGGATAAAAAATGGTCTGATTGGCGACCGCATCTTGCCATGATTTTAGGAAATCCCACAAGGGATCATGCTTTAGACCGCAAAGCCATTATTCAATTGGGTGATTCTCTGAGTATGTTGACTATTATCAAAATGTCATTGTTCTCGTTAAATTATTATTCAAACTATTTTCTTCGTTTTAGATGCACATGGAAGGTTATTTGCAGCTCATTTCTGTTACGTGACCGCCCAAGTTGAGTTCAGCCAATTTAAGCCAGATGCCAAGCTTGTGTTACTTGGTTCATCGCCAAATCAGGAATTTAACAAGTTTGCATCTTGTAGGGCAATCATGTTAACAATGTGTTACGAATATGGTTTAAAACTTAGGCAGAGAGATTTTAATATTCCAACTTTACAGGTATCACAACTTGAGTTTTTATTGTATGCTACTTTTAAAGATCACATCCTTTATAAATTCATTTTGCCTTTTTCCAGTTTTATAAGTTAATTTTAGCCATGAGACTTATTGACAGTGGGAGGAGTAAATGTGCCTTGCAGTATTGTGAGATGCTGGCGGATGAGACTGTTCAATGCAGGCAGTCTGACAAACGCCTGATTTCCGATGTCATAGACATTTCTTCAAGGTTAAAAATGTTAGATCCGACACTTGCGCTCTCAGGTGAAACAGATAATGATCCAGAATGGCTTCACAAGCTTAAGCTTTATTACAATAACCTACCAGTAATTGTCATCTCAAATAAAATATACCATATAGAGAAACCTGTTAATGTATCTTTATTATTCAAGGACAATCCGAATGCAGGTATGAAAATAAGCAATGGGTTCTCAATGTCCTCGGTATTAGAAACAAGCCAAGAGAACCTTACCAACCAAGTTGAACCCCTTGAGGTAAAATATTTAATGTCGAATCGTTTCTTCAAATCAGTAAGGATTATGTTCATTCCAGGTCCATGAGGATGTTAAAACATTCGGCGATCCTTATGCGAATTACAATCCAAGTGATTTAACAAGTCATCTTCTACCGTCACTCCCTGTTGTGTCTCATCAACTCCCTCCAGAAGTTAACAGAGAAGATATGTCTGGCTTTATGATGCCTCCACCTTTACAGCCAAATAGTATGTTTTTATTTATTTATAAGAAATCGTTGATTTAGTCTTCCTTCGGGAATGTATTGTTTAGAATTTGAATAATTGTTACATAAAACATTTTCTGCCTCTGCTTACATTTAAAAATTTACTAAGCCTTTAAATGTATGAATGTATTGAAAGGGAATATTTAAACATTCCCAATACAACATAAAAACATTTTATAAGGTAATAGTTGCGAGAAAAATCAGTAATTTAATAACAATTTTTCTTACAATTGGTATTATAAGCTGTGCAAAAATGAATAGGGATATTTATAATTTATCCTTATTCTATATAATTAATTTTTGCGCAGTTTATAATGTTGATGAAGAAGTGAGATCTAAGGTTATGACGTTTATTTATCGACTGGACCTATATTTTTTGGGGAGACCACTATCCTTAAAAACACAGAAGAAAACTTGTCTTAGTTCAACTTAACCACCTTCAAGTACTTCGAGACCTTGTAGTCGATGTCGTCAGGTTTTTTCATAGTTCTGCAGTGTTAATATAAAAATAGGATGCTGCCCTGATTATGGTCTTATAAAGGCTGAAAGCTTGTCAATTAATCACAGATCTCTACCTGACCAGAAACCAGATCCCAAATGCAGTTTATAATGAAACTCTTGATATGACATATTTTAAATTTAATTATAAATCTAATTGTTATTATTTTTTATTGTTTCAGGTTACCAAATGGAACAACCTCCTCCTGTAGAACCTCCTGTTGAGACAAATAATTATTGGGATAATTCTAATATAGCACATAATAATTCCAGTTATACCCCTATGCAACAGGAAAATAACTCAACTGCCAATAAATCATTCTTTAAATCCAGTGAAGAACAACTTAAGGTGTGTTCAACATTTTTATAGATACGTTGTAATAATTTTATTTAGTACAGCATTACTTTAAGGTGTAATTTTTGCCTTTTTAGTTTGCAATTGTGCACTAAAAAAGCACACTTACAATTTTAAAGTACATGAAAACTGTATCTGTTTGGTTTTGGTTAGAACAGGCATACGGAGTTACTCATTACTTGCCAAGTATTTTTTCCTTTATTTAAGAAACAGATCAATAATAGCTCACATATGTCTATTCAAATAAATCAAAAGTTCAAATTACTGTTTTTTAGTTAGAGAAAGTACAAAACTATGATGGGACCATAGTGAGGGGTTAGGGGCATCTGACTCATATTTGCCATGCTAGCTGTTCTGAGTTCAAATCGTACACATAGCCCATTGAATTTTAATTGGAAAAGTATTGTGAAGTGGTTTGACAGTTAAAGGTATTTGGACGCTAAGCTCTCCCGACAGGAATACTTTCCTTTGGCTCAATCCTGATGATATTTTTTCTCATATCAAGTTTCAACGATGTCTGATAATAAAACCAATTTTGTAAATACAAAAAGTACAATCGTACAGCAAAAATCTATCACCACAATATTTTGCATCTTGATTGTATAACCTTTTGAATGTATGTTGAATTGACACTGGGACTCTTACTTAATATTACCTTAAGGATACATATGGGAGTAACAGTGTAAGAACATCTTAAGCTTAATGAGGTGCTCTAAACAACAATGGAGATGCACAAATACTGGCCGTAGTGCACAGTTTGTAAAGAGACCTACTCCTAAAATCTATTCTAACCTACTGGGTCCATCTACACTCATGGGTTTTGATGTTACTGAAGCGCCATCTTCATTGAGGAATTTATGCACTTCTTACAAACTATAAAACACTAAATATTTTAAATCCAAATTGAAAGGGGTTGAAAATCAGAAATGATAATGAAAATACAGGGAGTGGAAAACAATGGGTGTGGGTCAAAATGCATTAGCAACCAAAATATATTGCATAAAAATAAATTGGTGTGTTTAGTTTAAAAAAAAAAAGTTCGTCTATTTATTGGAAAACAAATGATCTATTTAGTTAAGTAATTTTGATATCAAGCTATCATACTAGTTATATTACCGTACTTTTTATAGTTTTTATTAATTCTGCGAAGCTGTCAGAATTTCTCTATGTAAATTTATTTTAAGTTACAGCTTGCTGTATGACTTGTAACAGGAAGAATTATTAACTCTTTATCCACAGACATATGTAAATTATTGTTGATGTGTTCTATAGACTTATCCATGTTATAAAGTGAGATGGAGCTTAGGAAGTAGTTAGGTATTCTGTTTTCCTGTTTACTGCATTCTTGGTTTACAGAAAAACATTGCTGCAAAATGGTCAATCTCAACAACATTAACATGACAGTAAAAATGTGTGACAACAATTCATACCAAATATTCATAAATCAAATGTTTAGCGAGAATAAAAATTAACGTGTGACTCGAGCCTACAGCCCTTTGCTTTATTCTCGGCTGTGTTCTTCTTGGTCTATTTGAACAGAATAAGTTTTTACATTTTTAATTAAACTTGTGTTAAAAAAAGCCTAAGGGTTTTGGACTTTATGGTATTTAGAATTTTTTTTATAGTCGCTTCATCTTTTGAATGGCCTCAACTGAATGACAACAAATCTGAATTTATTTAGCATGCAATTTATTAAGAAAAAAGTATTAACAAATTATTCAGGTAATATTAAAATATAATTGTTGTTATAAGTGTTTTTTGATTTTTATTAGTAATTATTTATTTTAACATTTTAATTGTGGAAAATACTATCGGTGGAAAAAATAATCAAATGGGGAGAAATAATATAACAATAAAATCATTATGACCTGTTTATTTAAAATACATTACGGTATTCTCTGAACATATACTCTTATATTTATCAATCTTTAAAGACAAAATGAAACATACATTCTGCAGTCATTTTTATATCTCAAAACTGATTAGTTAAAATTTTATCAAATTGAACTATTTTTAATGTAATGGGCTATCCTTTAATGATCTGAACATTTTGCAGCTGAAATTTATTAAGTATTATTTTTCTTTATTAGATAGCCTTGATACACTAGTTTGATTAGAATTTCTCCCGTATTGGAAATAGCTATTTTGTTTTTGTTTAAACCTCATGGAATTCTTTGTGTTGTAAAAATGATTTAATACTTTATTAAGAAAACATTTCAGTGGTATTCAAATTAGATTTTTAATTAATTTGGAATATGTTTAACTTTTTTTGGGGCGTTTCGTAAATATTAATAATTTAATTAAATATTCATCATGATTGTAGGTCATTATTACTTGTCCATATTTGAAATTTATTGACATTCGCTTTTATTTAAAAAAAATTAAGTTTTGTAAGTTTCTCTTTAACTTTTAGAGATAAAAAGTTTATTAGTTTATATTTATTATTTATATTGTATCACCAACAAACATCAAAATTATATCTTTCTTTTTTAAACGAGGGTATTTCGACTACAAGGTTATATGAACCCTTGGGTTGTTCCCCCCCTATAATAAACTTCAATTAATGCTTTAAATTTAACTAAATTGTTAAATTTAATGTTTTAATAGAAGTTGTATGTGATGGTAGTGATATAATTGGAGATAAAACAATTTTATGTTTGTCCATCATTCTTCCATTTTTACCTATAAATGTTTGATTATCACACAAAAACATTATTACAAATACACAAGCTTTTATCCACAAATTAATTATAATAGACTTAAATGTTTTTATGTAGTAACAAAATTGTACAATACCTTTGTATTTTTTTGGATTTGTCTGTTAAAACTTTTTTTTTTGAATTGTGATTTTGCTAGACTTTAAACAGTAATCTTAATATTTGAAGGTTCGCATAAATGCATCCCGCCCCTGTAATGATTTTTGCCTTCCACAGTATTAAGAATGTTTGATGTATGTGTTAATTATTGCATTTATGTTAAGAATTTTGTACTTTGGCTTTTATACGTTTGCTCCCTAAATGTTTCCAGTTATTCATTTGCTCAGCTCTTCTAGCAAATTAGATGCTATTTTCTATCTACCAACATCTTACAGTTTCTCTCTTCGCTCAACTTGATAGATTTTTGTACATTCTTATTAATGGATGGTCACTTTTATTTCATGCTGCCTAGGATATAGCAGATGCTAAGCCTAGCAAAAAAGCTGTAAGTATCTCAGCCTTGTGTGGATCACGCTGCACTTGCTCGTGTATGAAACAACATGCTTCTCATATACGTCCATTTTCATATGCTCAACAGAAAGCCACCGACCAATTCCGTCCGAACTTTTGTAATACTGTGTTTTGTGATCAGTGCTCTTACAATATGAGGGACAACGTATCAAAGAATTCAATGTTGAAATTGTGCAATCACTTTCGAAAACCTAAAATAGTTTATGGAGGAACGTTTCCTATAGATTATCCAATAGATCCCATTGGGAAATTGGAAAGACAATTTACTTTTCCAATAGATTCACCAAATTTTGCGCTTTAGCTTTGTAGAATTGTACTTAGGTTACATAATTATAATTTTCATATAATAACCAAAATTTTGTTTCATATTTTGAATCCCAATTTACCTAATCTAATCCAAATTTTAGGTTTGTGGTTTGTACAAAAGGTAATGTTTAAAATAATTTTAATTTATAAAGTAGTCACTGACGGTAGCTTTATTTTAATATCAATGCATTCAACATTTGGCCTATGTATCAAAATTTTGGAGCTTTTATAACTTAAAAGTGTGCTGTTATTTATACAACACTCCATTCTATTATTTATGAAATTTTATTTTGTTGTTTGTATCTCAAAAATTACTTGCCTGGTTATGATTGTTATAGCTTAATGAAGTGGCCCCAACTTCAAAAAAGCCAGACGCTAAACAACCTGAAAATAAATCAGCTAAAAATGAAGAACAGAGGAGTGGTTGGTTTGGAGGAATTTGGGATAAACTGTCGATGCGACCTAAAAATCAGATGAGACTTCCTGATGACAGCAATCCATCGGTTAGTAGAATATCATCATAATTGATGAATAAATAGTGTAGAATAAATGTACTATTATGATGTTGGCCTTAACATACAACATACATTAGATACAACAAAATCTTCTGATCTAGTAAAAATCCAGCTATTTGACTTTACACTTTAACTGTTATAATATGTGGAACTTCATATTTTCTTCAAAATTCGTACAGTTTATAATTCCATACTGCTTTTTCGTAGCTAACCTATACTAACTTCAAGATGGATCCTTATATTATTCAGTTAGGCAATTTGCAATATTTTTGGGATATTGCTATTCTTTATTTTTGTTTGTTATCAAATATTTTGGTCTTCGCCAATTTTGACATTAACAGATTAGTATGAAAGACCAAAACAGCAAGATAAGGCAAGTTCATAAGGAATAGAAACAACCAATCTCAAGAAGAAATTTTAGGCGAAATAATTTTTTATTTGATGACTTACATTGTTTTGCTCATTTGAATACCTGTTTGCTTTTTTAAAATGTTTATATTCATTGAGTAACAATAATTAAATTAAAGGTATTGAAAAATATTAGAAATCTGTGGTAATATTTTTATTTTTTGGCTATGGCCTATCTTCATCTGCTCAAATGGACTAACTTAGCACTTTCACAAAATCAACGGATTGGAAACAAAACAAATTTATTGGAAGGAATCTCAATTGGTTTGTAGGGCGCTAAGCAGGAATAGTCCATTTGGGTTGCTGAAGTTGGGCCAATATCACAAAACATCCAACAAATAAAGTCATCACGGATTTCTTGGATTTTTTAATACCCCCCCCCCCACAATAATCACAATTAATACAACAAACAGTAATTGAAATGCATTTATTGTAATTTTATCTAGATTGTTTGGGATCAAGAAAAGAAACGATGGGTCAACCTCGATGGAGATGAAGAAGGGGCAAGTACTGTGAAACCACCTCCAAGAGCTGCTGAAATGATGAATCAATCTATGATGAGCAATTCTGCCACACCAGCCGGACAACCTGCACCAGGACCCAATAAATATAAATTGCAGAAAGGAAAACGTAAGAGTCTTTTAATTTTGCGAAATAATCCTTTTATTTTACACGTTTTTCTGTCGGACAGTGATGAAATCAAACTATGTTGATATGATGGGTGGGACAAAAGATAAGGATGGCCCTTCATCCCTGGGAAGTCTTCCCCCTTCAATGGTAACTGCTGCACCAGTTAAAAACAATTTTTTCATCCCTTCGCCAGGTATTGATTGAACTTTAATGTAGCATGGGTTGTAACTTTTTTTGTAATTAAATTGAATTTTAGTCGAAGGAAATCAGAATGCACCAATTGATTTTATAACCACAACAACAATGAATCCTACTTTACCAGAGGCACTACCAGAATCAAACAAACAACAGGTATGTTAAGCCCCTAGATTAAGATTGAAATCCTAGCTTTGTATTCAGTCTGTAGAAGCCTTATTATATTATTTATAGTATATCCTTTTTGAAATCAAAAAGTTAAACATTGAGAGAAGGTTAAAAGAAAAATATGCTTTGTTATTACATTTCTCTGCCACAAGTTTGGTATTAATAAGGTTTTTCTGATGGTTATACACATAAAACTTTATTTTCATTGTTGTTTCATATAAAAAGATACACAAAATTTATTCATTTATAAACATTAATGAAGTTTAACACCTTTGTACCATTTGGCCATTTGTTTGAAGAAAAAATTTCATTAACACATTCACTGAGGTTAATTGATTCCAGTTTTTCTGCATGCATTAGAAAACTAATTTTTTTACCTGCACTTTTTTAATTTTTAAATTTTTTTTTCACTGTAAATTACAATGGTAATGGTGATATGGTGAGGAAGATGCTATTTTATGATTATTTTAAGATATATACAAACAAAACCCAAAACAAAATTAAATTTTCATTGAGGAAACTTTTCCACTAAAATCACTCGAATGTGGGTTTTTGAAATGTAAATGCAACCTGCAAGTCTATTTTGCTTAGGTAACCCCGCTTATAAATAATTATACTTGTGTATATCAGAAAAGTAGTGCCCCCTGCTTGGAAAGTGGTCATCATCAGTGAATGTGTTAATGGGATGTGTTGCTTAAAACATTTAATTCAATGCAGTGTTTTTTATAGCTTTTTTCCTTAAAATTCTGCATGTTGTAGTTTAAATATTGAAATCCGAAGTTACTACATCGACATATTAGATAATGACACTAATTCATTTGGACAATTTTAACAGATTTTGCTCCATTGGTTATTCTTTGGAACATTTTTTTTGCTTGGTATCTAAGCAATTTTTCCCATAGAATTATGAATTTTTTATTTTAGTTAATCTTGTGTTTGATTGAAATAATAGTTACACTTGCTTAGTAGAAGTTTAAACTGTTAAAACCCTTCTGAAATAGCTCTAATAAAATCTGAATCACGCATTTTTTTCTAAAACATGGTATTAGAAACTTGCTGTTTTTGAACTTCAAGTTTCAAATTCCCCTTTCAAAAATTAACTATTGGTAATGAAGCCCCAGTTCAACTATCAATCAAATTGGCACACAATAATATCCTTTATAACAAAGTTAATGGTATAATAAAAATTGATACAATAATAATACCCCTCACACATACACAGAACATTACATGGACGTATCACTTTTTAATACTTTGGTAGTTTGGTATATAGAACTATTTACAAGTGAACTCAAATCATTTAATTTTTAATAGCGTTAATAATCCGTGTAGATTAATATTTCAAATTGTGATACAAAATTTTATGACAATTTGGTTTTTTATCTTCTGTAAGAGGAGTTCACACCCTAACAAGAGAAATGTGTTAGGGATAAAATTACATTGATCTGTAATTTTTCTGCAGTTTAAGGCCTAGACAGACAGAAAGCGATCTGTCAGGGGGAAGCGATCCAGTGGTTTGCGATGTGTGGCCGTCATGTGGAACACGATAGAATATACAATACATTTTCACAGCACTATTTTGTTTTTCTTTTCAGTTGTTTTTGAGTATGAGTTCAGACGAAGAGTCACTTGCTGTTAGTGTTGAGAAATGTAAAGGAAAGGTTATGCATAGGTTTTTTTCAGTTAAAAAAAAGCCACCTTTCAAAATATAAATGCATTTTATTTTCAATCCAAAACAATGTTCTTCATTTTCTATAATGTAATGCCAACATTCTGGCATCAGAAAATATCTCCTTTTTATGGATACCTGTTGGCTTAGACGATAAGGAATTTGTAAGTCCATTTCAGAGTGATTTCGTCAAAAATTCCCTACCTATTAGTGATTATCTAGGGCTTCTTCGCTTTTTAATCTCGTTCGGTATTCCACAACGATGTTAGTTTTTGATTCGTCTCTCTTCATTATAACGAACAATTGTAGACTCATATATTCAGTCACTATTTTATCATTGTAAATTTCATATAAATTTTGAAAGGTGCTCAGTAGGAAAAAGGAACTGCTCAGTAGTAGTACAGTTCTCAAGTATGTGGATGCTTTGAGTTTGGTTACTTCATGAATATTTGTGTACTTTGAATCGGACAAGGAAACTGACAATTAGTCAAACAAGGAGAGCACAGAATATTGTTGCTCGGCGAACAACCCATCACCCATCCCCATTACTCGGTAAACCTTTGCTCGGCATTCGGCGAATCCTGCATGTCGAAGCCACCCTGTGATCAAACTCATATAGCATGCAATGCCTCAAATGAATTTTACCTGCCTCCATGTAGTACACGCCGCTGTTTATTCTTGACTTACTCTTCGGATCAACTTTTCTTACATTCTTTTTCAGTAGGGCTTTTCCTATCCTAGAGGTAAATGGGATAGCAGGTACTAATGAATCGCCTCTCTAGGTAGAAAGAAAGTCGAGATTTGATTAAAAAAATTAATTATATGCACACCCAATACTTAATTACTTAAATACTTTTAATTACCTATTCTGAATGATTGTGTAGCATTCTGGATTTGGTACAACCTCATAGCTTGTCATTGCGACAAAATCAAGCAATATATTATGTAGTACAACTAGATAACCAGACATCTCGTTTCCTGCTGCAACGAATTGCTTTCTTTCTGGCTGGGCCTTTAGTGTACGTTCACAATTACAAAGTTAGGAATGGTGTTCAAAAAACTAAATCTACAAATGATTTTAGAACTAATAATAAATAAATATTGGAATATTGTTTGTATTTGCAAAGGACAATCGGTATAAATTATCGGGTTGTTGCAACAGTAATAATATTGTACTTTGCCATTTACTTTGTAATTATTTTGAATATATTTATAATGTATGGTTTTCTGTCATGTAGGTGCAATGAATAAAATGTTAACGAGAAGATTCTATATTAAAAACTTCTAATACTGAGCATTCGGAGATTTCTCGAAATTAATATAAAAAATTTAACATTTGGTTGGAATTTATGAGGATTGTATTAGAGAGATATGTAGTTCTTTGATACTGGTAACTATTGTATTATGTTGCAATTTTTATAGTTCTGATATGGTGTGCATGGTCGATTTGTCACGGCTTTGTAAACACCCGTCAATGAATTGTTAGCTATTTAATTAATAAATGCACAGAAATGAATCCCTAAGGAATATTTTTAATCACCTTGAATAATTCTGCATCCTCGAGGTAAAACTGGTTAAGTAAAAGATACACATTTTTAGGAATGTGATCTTTGTTGATGTTTAGACATGTGGTACAAAGGTACAAATCCAATTTACTTAGTAATAAATTTTTTTTTTCGTATGCCCCATTTAAAAAAAAAAAAAAAAATTGATAAAATAATGATGAAAGGATTGTGGGTAAAAGACATTTATATGCACTATTTTTTAAATTATTTAAAAAGTGGGAAACATTTTTGTCAATTAACTAATTTAACAGAACCAATAAACAACAAGACTTCATAAATAAACTGCAGAGAAAAAAAACTTCATGCAGAACACAATGAAATAACAAATTGATGCTTTTACAAATTGATTAATATTTTATAGGTCCTCCTTTATGTGCTATCACTTTAGAAAGTCTATTTTTCATTGACAAAACTTTTTTTTAAAAGTTTGTAGTGTTATATTAAGCCATTCCAAAATCAGTGTTTCCCTAATCTGTTGATAGTCCTGTTTTTTTAACTTTTAGGCCTAGCTCATCTCATAAATGCTTGATCTCATTTAAATTTGGAGATTGGAGAGGTATTTTTGCAGGGTGCACTATACAGCAGCCATTCTCAGGTTTTTGCCACCATATGTTCTGGATCATTATCCTGTTGGAAGAAAACTTTTTTTTCTATATTTAATTCATTACCATGCTTAACTGTTAACAAAATATTTTTCAATTTCAATGCTGCATTATGTTTTCACAACACTTCCGCTGCCATCTGATCTGTATAATGGATCCTGGGGCATACATCATCACAAACCCTGTGGGTGCAATTTGCCAAAAAATACTTACTATACCAGATTTGTTTTGGGAATGTCCTCTTTACAACAAAAATAAGTTCAGTGGAGAGTTGGTTTCTCGGGACCGAAGTCACGATAGCTCAAGTGGTTGAGCAGCAGGGTAGTAATCTGTATATCATGAGAATGAGTTTCACTCGTAACATTAAGTTTTCATCTGAACCTTACTTTACATAAAAATAGTTAATTAATTACAAATAAAAATATACTAAGGCGGTTAAAAAAATGTAAATTTATTCACAGCCAGTCAGATCTAAAGACTTACTAGAATATGCTCTTATCACATTCAACCAAAATTTGACTTATCCAGTTTTTCCCTGAAAGTGCAGAACTATGTAATTTATTTAATTCTTCAGTTGAAAAACAGAATAATGAATTTTATTTCATTTTTTTGCTAATCAAATAAGTTTTGATGTGCATATACTAGGTGGGTAATGTAACATCTACAGTATTTATGTAATTTTGATATTGGTTAAAATCACTTGTACTTGCATGATAGATATATGCAAAGTTGAACTATTTTCATGTTCATTTGAAATCATAGATCACATTTCAAACATTGCACAGAAAGCAATAGCCAGAATGAGTGATAATTTTATTGATGCTTAGTCTTTTCCAACAACCCGATAATTCTAAAATATTAAGAAAATAAGGAAGATATGTACAAAAGACTTGCAGTTTTATTACAGCATACTTTAAAATTACCTCTTTTGTACATATCCGATTGATTTTCCCCCCTAAATATTAGTAATAAGAAGCATAAGCCAAGAGTGGTGTGGTGTGGTATAGTGTTGCTTGTGTGTGCATGCGCTTTAGCTCTCACGGTGCAGTTCAATGAGCTCATTATCTCGGGAAGTACAGTATTACATGTCTCCATCATCAGTTCACCCCAACAGACCTGCTGTGAGTATACTCATAAAAGTATTAATCCATTCATTTGTTTATATGTAAAATTCATATTTTAGAATTTTATTTCTAGTTGTTGGTATGCATATGTGATATCTAATTAATATTATGGATTTTGCCATAAAAATTACATCTATTTATTTATAGAAATTGTCCAAATATATCTTTCTTTTCTTTTTTTCTTTAAACCTAGTTGTTACGATTAGTTAATATATTTTTTAATTGATTTTGAATCAATTAATAATTAATAATTGTTAACTTAGTCCATGGATTATTGTAATAAATAACAAAATGAACACAATTTGAGAATAAAAAATGATGGTTGAATTTTTCTTTTAATAGTTTTAATTTTTTTTACATCTTTATGATAATCCAATGGTAATTGGTAGCACTTGAAAAATTATTTTATTCATTAATTTTAATTTGTACTTACTTTAACTTTTAAAGCAAACTGGTTATGAATATAAATATTTATTAATCTCAAATGCATGTAATAATATTTTTCTGTTGTCAATTATCAATTACATGATTCGATGAGCATTTGCATGTTCACAAGATATGCGTAAAGCACCTGGGCACAACTGCATTATTCATTTCCGCACAAATTTGTATAACAATAAAATAAGGAATAACATGTGATTTTAATAAAAATATTATCTAGTAATAGTATTTAGTATTTACAATTGCATGGATTTTTGTTATTTCAGGTTCATCAACCAATGGCACCGATGATGTATAACACACCAAGATTCCCATCGTAATCTGGATTTGTTTTTACAATATATATATATTTAATCTAATATAATATTTAGGCTGTTTTTATTGCAGTTTTTGTAAACAATCATAAAACATGTAATATGTGTTGTAAATACCACTTCTTTCCTAGATTTAGTTATTTTTTATAAATAATTAGATCATTGTAATAATAAAGACGTGATGACTGTTTTTCATTATTGGTAGTTGTTTTGGGAATACAGTCAGAATTTTCAGTTTTTACTTAATATATATTTATTGGTCGAAGTTTCAAAGTTTTACTTCCTTTTTGAAGGTCGAATCTCTACAAACAATGATTAAATTATACACATTTTACTTACATTAAAAATATAAGTGTCGTGAGACCTGCCATTTTTGTTCTTTTTTATCCTACCATAGTTTTTAAATAAAAATATATACATTAATTCCAGTTATTTTTACCATTTATTTTGGTTCTAATATGATTAAACGAAAAACTTCCGTAACATCAGCAAATAAATAAATATTTATATATTGAGTGAAAACTGGAAGTTCCGAGACTGCATTCCCAAAACAACCACCGATCATTGTAATAGTAAATAATTATTGGTTCAAGGTGTATATGCTAGGGATATTGTTTTATCGTTTTATTTTTAGCATGTTATTATAGTGGGATAGCATTGTACACATTTTGTTAATGTTTTGTTTTAATTTCTAAGATGTTTTTCATAATTAAATATAGTCTGAAAGTTACAGTCAATGCTGGTTGTGAGTTTAGGAATTTTGTTCTCTAAGGTTAATTAAGGAATGCGCGAAAGCTTGTATTAAAGTATGTTATAGTATCTCAAATGTGTCTACTGTGAATTTTAATTTATGTGCAAATGTATTTGATATTCAAATTATATTTTCTGAAGAGGTCTTCTTCATAGAAGAATCATATTATAAAATTATTTAAATCAATGAAATATACTATGTCAAATTGTTATTATATAAAGATATAAATTATAATAATACAAAACAAATATATACAGTTTTAAATGTTGTTTTATTTCCAATATTTTCAAATATCCCAAAATAATTTTTTATAACATTCACTGGAGGGATATTTCTTATGTAGTTAATTTTTGTTGCTTATTTATTAAGCAACAACCTGTGATTTGTTATTATAAATAAGTAAATAAAAGCTGTTGTAACAACTAATAATAACAAATCACTTCTATTCCAACAAGGAGGAATAAATAAAGTGTACTCAACCAAGTGTTTCCAATTAATTTAACAATTACAATAAAATTTATTGAACATATGTAGAAAATGTATTTTTCATGTCAAATGAAGAACAATATTTAACACTTTTATATGAATTCTAAGTTATTTGAATGACTGACAATTTAAAACAATAAAACTATCATAAAATCGACTGTGAATTGTTTAATGCAATTTGACATTTTTTTCAAATTAGGATTTTAAAAATAAGTTGTTATGTTTGAGTGTAGAATAAAACTTCATTACAAATTATTCATTTGAATAATTATTTAAAAAGGAACACAATTATTAGCAGACTATTTTGTAATATATGTTTTCTTAAAACAGGATAAATTGAAAAATTGCTAACTTCCATAGCGATAAGGTGGAAGGTATCCATTATTAGGTTTTGGACCAGGTCGTCCACTTTGAAGAGATGCTGGCCTATAGCCTGAGCTATCGGGTGTTCCTGATGGATATGAACCAAAAGGACCAAGAGATCCTTGTTGATCTTGTGAAACAGAAATTTGCTCTCCTGGCCTTTTTGTATCTAATGAAGACAGATGTTGAGATTCTATGTAGCCAGTAGAAGTGCTTGGTTTCGGTGGTTTAAATGCCCCTTGAGGACTGGATAGATCGGATAGTGCAGGTACCTGAGATTCAACGTAAGAGCCAGTAGATGGATTAAATGCACTAGGTGTTTGGGGTTCTGTAAAGGGCTGGAATGATGTAGATGGTTCTTGAGGGACTGCAGATGATTCAAATGATCCACTTGGCATTTGAGGTAGTGGTGTTGAGCCAAAGGATTCTGTTTGTCCTTGCGGCCCAGTTGGTTTTTGTGGGCCTACTGGGGGCTGAAAAGAAGTAGATGGCCCAAATGGTCCATTTGATTGTCCTAAAGGTGCATTTGGGCCATTGGGACCAGTAAATGACTGAAATGATGTAGTTGGTCCTCCTTGTGGGCCTTCAGAGGGCTTATTTGAAGGCTGTAATTGTGTATTTGAACCAAATGATGCACCAGGCTCTACTGGCCCATTTGATTGTCCTACAGGTGCATTATAGCTGTAAGGGCCTGTAGAGGGCTGAAATGGTCCACTTGGCCCTTGAAGTAGTGGTGTTGAGCCAAACAATTTTGTTTGACCTCGGAGCCCAGTTGGTTCTTGTGGGCCTTCTGTGGGTTGAAATAATGTAGCCGGCCTAAAGGGCCTATTTGATTGTCCTAAGGATGCATTCGGGTCAAATGATGCATCAGGCCTTACAGGCCCATTTGATTGCCCTAATGGTGCATTCTGGCCATTGGGACCTGTCAATAACTGAACTGATGTTGGTCCTTGTGGGCCTGCAGAGGGCTCATTTGATGGCTGTAATTGTGCATTTGGGCCAAATGTTGTACCAGGCCCTGCTGGCCCATTTCGTTGTCCTAATGGTGTGTCTGGCTCAAACGATGCAGTAGGCCCTGTTGGCCCATATGATTGCCCTAAAGGTGCATTATAGTGATATGGGCCAGTAGAGGTTTGAAATGGTATAGATGGTTTTTGGGAGACTTCAGTTGATTCAAATGATCCCCCAGGCCCATAGGGAGTTTCTGTTGAACTAAAGTATGCTGTAGGATCTTGGGCCCCACTAGAGGATTGTTGCGGCGCAGGTGGCCCAAATGGTACATTAGATTGTGCTAAAGGAGCATTTGGACCAAATGATGGTGCAGGCCCTGCGGGCCCATATGATTGTTCTAACGGTGCATTCCCGTCATTGGGGCCTGCAGAAGGTTGAAATGAGGTAGACGGTTCTTGATGGACTACAGATGATCCAAATGAACCCGCAGACCTGTGGGGTGTTTCTGCTGAGCCAAAGGATGCTGTAGATCCTTGGGCTCCACTAGAGGATTCATGGCCAAATGGCCCCAAATGGTTTGATGGTGATAAAGGAGCATTCGGACCAAATGATGAAGCAGGCTCTACTGGCCCATTTGATTGCCCTAAAGGTGCATTATAGCTGTAGGGGCCTGTAGAGGGTTGAAATGGTGTAGATGGTTTTTGAGGGATTGCAGAAGATTCAAATGATCCACTTGGTCCTTGGGGTCTTGGGGCTGAGCTAAACGATTCAGTAAGACCTACGGGCCCAGTTGGTCCTTGTGGGCCTGCAAAGGGCTGGAGTGATGTAGAGGGTCCAGATGATGCAGTAGGCCCTAATGGTCCGTTTGGTTGCCCTATTGGTACGTTATAGCTGTAGGGGCCAGTAGAGGGCTGATATAGTGTAGATGGTTTTTGAGGAACAGCAGATGATTCAAACGGGACCCCCGGCCTGTGGGGTGTTGCTTTTAAACCAAAAGGACCTCGTGGCCCACTAGAGGATTCATTGGATCCAAACGGTACTAATGATCCATTTGATTGCTCTAAAGATGGGTTTGGCTCAAAGGATCCAGTAGGTCCTAGTGGTCCGTTTGATTGCCCGGCTGGTTCATTCTGGCTGTAGGGGCCTGTAGAGGGGTAAAATGTCGTAGCTGGTCTTTGAGGGACTGTGGATGATTCAAACGATCCTCCTGGTCCGGGGAATGATGCGGTTGATCCAAATATGACAGTGGGTCCTCGGGGGCCTGTAGAGGGTTGTAATGAGGTAGATGGTCCTTGAGGGACTGCAGATAATTCAAATGATCCACTTGGCCCTTGGGATATTGGTGTTGGGCCAAATGATTCTGTAGGACCTAGGGTTCCAGTTGGTCCGTGGGGGCCTGCAAAGGGTTGAAATGATGTAGACGGCACAAATGATGCAGTAGGCCCTGATGGTCCATTTGTTTGTCCTAAAGGAACATTATGGCCAAATAACGCAATACTAGGCCCACCTAATGGTGCATTCTGGCCGTTGGTGCCTATAGAAGGCTGAAGTGATGTGGGCGGTTCTCGAGGGACTGCAGATGATTCAAGCGATAACTTAGATCCATCCAAGTTTGCATTTGTTCCTTGTAATACTTGTAAGCCTCCGATATTTTCTGGCGGACTTACTCCTGGAAAACTTTGGAAATTTCCTTCAGTTAGTTGGCTCCCCATTATGGTATAATCATAAATTTTTTCATTGAGGTAAAAGAAATTGGGTGCATTGTTACAATTGAATTGATTCCACCAAACACAAACAAAATATTCTTGACTAAATACTGTTCCATTAGGGCATAGAAAATCGTATGATGTGTTATTTGTACAAATATGGAACAGTTGACATCGAGCTTCTACATCGGCGTAATATCCTGGCCATTGCTGTTCCTCGCACCTGAAAGATGTTTGTGGAATGTCTGAAAATATTGGATAGTCGATACCAGGCTCTCCTGGTATGGCTGAATAATCTCCTCCTTCGTAGCTTCCATCATCCGAGTCACCTCCGCCACCGTAACTTAATCCTAAATCACTAGTATCATGATGATGAGTCTGTCCAGCATTAAAAGTAGTAAAACTTAATCCTTCTTGCAGATGTGTTGGAAATGAAGTAGGGCCTGTTGGGAACGAAGGTACGGTCGTTCCATATTGTCCAGTAGGTAACAAACTAGATTCTGTGCTTCCAGTTTGATCAGAAGTAGTCAAACCATGGTTTTGGGTTCCAGGGTGACCAGCCGAATATGTATTTTGAATTTGATTCCCATTGAATCTATTTGAATCTTCTTGACTACCAGGTAAAGGTGATGGTTGTGCACCTTGTGCTTTACTTCCTGGTGGGTTAAGCGAATCTACAGTTTGGTAATATCCTTGAGGCCGAGGCTCTTCAGAAGGTACAGTCGACAATGGATGTCCTGAAAACCCAGAGGAAGTTGTTTGAGATAGCGAATTTTCTGAACGAATCGGGTAGGATCCCGGTGATTCTGAAGGTTCTGGACCTGTCAGGTGTCTTGAATCTTCTCGAAAGCCACTTTGAAAAGAGGACTGTTTTTCAGAATGGTAATCCCCATTTCCAAGCGTTTGCCCGGGCAGATGTGCTCCGGGAAAGCCGTCTACTGAGTTCTGAGCTTTTCCGAGTTCGTCAACCCCATCCGGACTCTTAGTTGTAGCCGGTTGAAAACCCGATGGCACCGGTAACGTAGCGACTGTCCCCTCATTTATCGGATCGTTTGGCCTGTTGTAAAAGTATCCTGCTTGACCCTGTGGATTAGGCTCTTAATAATTGTTAATTATTCATGTTTAGCGAAATTGATAGATATTTATAATTTTTTTTAAAACAAACCTGGACAATGTGGATAGTTCCTAGAATACCTGAAACCATATATAAGATTCATGGGTGTTAAAATTCTTAATATAATTTCATTACAAATAGTAACAAATGGTAATAATGATCGTAATTGGGGGTCTTATTATGGAAAAACTAAACTTACAAAGGAACACTGGAACTCGTTCCATATCCACTTAAAATATCTGCACCTGAAACAAATTTATTTGCTTTTTAATGTAGTGATCGATTAATGATTATAATTTCCTTTCTCTGCAGACTATTTTTATCGGTGGTTGAAGATGCTTGAAGATTAAAAAATCTGATGGTTACTTTTCTTTCGAAAGTTAACTGAAGAATCAACTTGTACAAATATAACTTTAAAGTTCAGAAGCTGCTAAAAAAATGCATGACGTCGATCAAACTATGTACAGATCGGTTTATAATTATTTTAAATTAAAATACGTCAAACTTACATAAATTCAAATCAAGTTTTTCAAAAGTTCTTAAGCCTGAAATAGGGGACCTCGGTGGCCGTGTAGCTAGAAGGCGAGACAAAAGTTTGATATCTTCCTTTTTCTTTCTTAATGTTGTAATACTGTAGCGATATAATAAAATAGAATCATTTATTCTTGTATTATTCTGTAAATAAAAGAATAATATACTGTAAAAAATAAAAGTATAATAATACCGTATAATACCGTAAAAAAAGAAAACAGTTCCTTCATCAAGCTTTCGACGAATGTATGTATCCTCTTCATCAGAACTTAGAAACTATTGTTAGTAATTCACAAGGTTAAAAAATATGAACACCTACTTACAATAATGGAACTAGTAAAAAACAGAGTGAATTTCAAATTTATAGTGGAAATCTATGACCCGTCCATTATATATCAGAATTGTCAAATTCCCAACAACACAAACCCAACAAACAATTTCAATAAATAACTCTGTCAATATATTTGCATTTCCAAATTCAGAAATCAAAAGAGAAAAACTATTTTTCGTTAAAAAAAAAGCTATAATGCTCTATGCAATTAGATACAACGCACTGTACGCTGTCTCGTAAAATAACTTTCAAAATTTCATAAAATTTGCTTATTATTTAGGAATCATTATCTGGATAAAAATTTGTTTAAATATCAATTGTTTTAAATACAAACTGAGGCTTGGGCCGTACTATGTTGATTTCTGATCAATAACTGGAATAGGCAAATTAATTATGATCAGGATCGATATTTGACCTTGTACTGAAATGGTATAAAACGCAATAAACTAATTTTTGTGACTTTTTGTCATATATAAGTAATTAAAATTAAATTAAGTTAATCAATAAATTTTGTTTGGTTTTTGTTACTGATATGGTTGAAATTAGGCCTATACTATATCAAATATGCTTAAATTTTTACAGCTTATTACGATGATAAACAAATAAATTAAAACAGAACTTTGGTCCAACAAAATATAACAAATTTTATTTTGGATTTTTTAAACAAAAGTACTAGCGATCTGTTTGAAAAAATACGTATTTTTTAATTAAGTATTTTTGACCATAAAATTCATTTTTTTACACAATTGAAAATAAAAATAAAAATTTACGTATTAACAAATCAGGCGAAGATTCAAAGAAGAGTCTACTTTTTTTTCAATGTGTTTAGATATACAATGAAAGAAATTGAACTTAAAATCAAACTATGACTCAACAAAATATATATAAATTTTATTTTGGATTTTTTAATAAAGTACTAGCGATCTGTTTAAAAAAATAAATATTTTTTTAATCAAGCATTTTTAACTATAAAACGATAGAATATGTAGTAACTATAAAAATTAACTTTTTACACAATTGAAAATAAAAATAAAAATTTAAGGATTAACAAAACAGGTGAAGATCCAAAGAAATACCGACTTTTTTTGGAATGTGTGTAGATATACAATGAAAGAAATTGAAGTTAAAATCAAACTTTGACCCAACAAAAAACGCAAATTTTGTTTTGGATTTTTTAATCTGCAGTAATAGCAATCTTTTTGTTTTTAAAAAGCCTTAAAAACTAGATTTTTCAATGAAAAATTGCTTTAGTGTTTTTAAACAATAAATTCTCAAATAAAAACTAAATCTTTGTAGCAGAATTGAAAATAAAAATAAAAATTAGGCAAACAATATTGGACTGTTTTTAGTTATACAATGATGAAAGAAATTGAAATTAAAATTAAACAAACTTTGGTCCAACAAAAAACGTAAAATTTGTTTTTGATTTTTTAATATGAAGTAATAGCGATTTGTTTTTTAAAAGGTATTTTTCAGTAACTATAAAACCGTAAAATGTGTAGACTTTGCCATGTAAAATTGCTTTAGTGTTTTATTAATAAATTCTAATTGTTTTATTTTTTTGTAAAATTGAAAATAAAAAATAAGCAAACAGGTGAAGATCCAAAGAAATATCTACTTTTTTTGGAATCTGTTAAGATAACAGTGATAAAACAAATTAAACTAAACTGTACTTGCCGATTTATTTTATTTATTAATTTTTGTAGTAAAAATTGAAGTCTAGTAATTTAATAGAGTGTATTCTTATGACGCAGCACTAAAACACGTCGCACTTTTATTAATGTAAAGTTCCAGGCTTAAGACTTTATTACCTTCAAAAATTGTCTCCTTTTGTTGTTGGCTATTTTTATTTTTTGTAATTTAATGTTTAAGATGAAGAAAAGGCTAATGGGTGATAAGGGAAAGAGGGTGAGAGAGGGTAAGGTAGCACATGATAACGAGTGAGGTGCACTGACTAACTCGAAGTACCCTCGAACGAGTATATATACCAAGCCGAAGGGTGAATTCCCCACTATGACGAGACAGTTAACTTTCACTACTCGTCTCCTATCACGACTTATTTCTTCTTTTACTTAATATTTCTTTACTAGTTCCGACACGGGAGGATAATGTAATCTCACTCGTATCACAAAGCTGCCGTCGACATGATTCGCTTTTCGGTCCTGAGACAACGAATTCATTAATCCTCACTCTCCTCACTCGCCGTACAACGATGAAAACATTTCGAGCTTTCGGTCGATAATGTTGGAGGTGGAATTTTGGAATTAGACTTCACACGGCGGGCCGTGAGAACCACATACTCCGAAATCGTCCATACTGCTCACTGAAATTAAGCTCCTGGGTTATCATATACAGATACGACATTTTAGCCCCCAAAGCGTGCACTTTTCAACCTAAACACGTTCTTCATCACCATATGCAGAAACTAAACCGCTAATTGGATTGGGAGTAGACGGGGTAGTAATAAATACACCGCCTATGGTCATCTCACAATATATTCATACCAATAAATACATTCTCACAATACATTTAATACAAAAGATGTAAAAATATACTGTATACAGAAGAGCAACCTCGTTTCTTACACAAATCGGGAATGCAAAGAATCCCTGCAATATTCATGTGCGAGTCTGATATCTGGTGGCGTTCTAACACGCTCTCTATATAAAACGTCAAGGGATGACAATTTAGGTGGGACACATACGCGAGCTTTGGCCCGAAAAGAAGTGTCCTTGAGTGGTATGACTATGGCTCATTGCAAATTGTATGAGAACGACTCTTATGCGCTTCAGATTTTCCAGTCAGTAGACCATGCTCTGATACGTAAGAGCTACTCTGCGGTATATCTTAATAATGTTGTATTATTTTGGTTTATCCTTCAGAACATTGCTTAAAAATAATAATTTATTATATTCTAAGAAGGATTTGTAAGAAAAAATATAAATGTAAATTATAACTCAAATTACCGTGATTTTTTTTTTTTTTGAGGTCTGCAAGGTGATGAATCTGTAACTTGGCTATTTTTGGTCCTATTAGCATTACGGTTCAACTACTAAATAGTTATCTTACAGCATTCGGTAGTTGGATAGAAGGACTGAGAATCGCACATACCAACTACTGACTAAAATAACAGTTTCCAGGATGTATGACTTTTTTTATGGTTTCTTGATCATCCACTGAAGATAGAGAAATACAGAAAAGCAATACTTATTGTATTCAGTAGTTGGTATAAGAATCCATGAGAACCTATAATAAGGACAGACATACTGAGATTCGCACAGGCCAACCACCGAAAAAAACAATACCAATATCCCACGTTTCAGTCACCACATGACCGATGGGTAGGTTCTTTTTTTATGATGGAATGGTTATTTTTATACTGAATATACCGAAATGTAGAAACACAATAGTTATCTTATAAGCTTCAGTCCAAGGATCCATTAGTACCTACAAAAAGTACATAAATACTGGGATTCGCTCATAACAACCACTGCAAAATGAGCGCTTTTGAGGAACTAATTGTTCTTTTGATCATCTAACGAAAATGGCGAAAACCCCGAACTATAAAAGTTCATTACATAATTTCAGTGATTGGCCTAAGAAACCATTAGAACATTAAAAACTTATTAAATCCATTATATTTAATGGCCTGATTGACCAAATTACCCTTATGAGTGGGATTCGAACCCACGACCTTCAGATCAATACTCAAGTAGTTAGAACAATGGCGAATTGAGCTGAAGGTCGTGGGTTCGAATCCCGCTCGTGACGCTACTTTTTCATTTCAACCAAAACCTTATATAAAAAGATTAATTAATTGATTAAAAACTGATATTACACGGGAAGGTGCATAGTCCAATAATTGGCCTAAGTGCCACTTTGCTCGTGTATATTATCTTTTTTTATTTTTTCAGATGTTCTAATGGTTTTTTAGACCAACCAACGAAAATAGCGAAAAGCCTGGAAAACAATAATTCATTTTATAATCTTCAGTGGTCAGTCTAAAAAGCCATAAGAACGTTAAAAAAAGGACATATCCACGGGGAGACGCACAGACAAACCACTGATTGCCGTTTTATCGTATGTAGTATCTGTTTTTAATTATTCAGAAATCGTGAGATGCAGTCTGGTGTGATGTAGGTTTCAGAAAAACATTTTCTTTATCGTGCCAACGTTTCGATCTTTATTGAGATCATCTTCAGGGCTCAAAGTGTTTGTCTTCTGTGAAATTGTGCCATTCTTGCGTGTCGTGTTGAGAGTGCCACTGTTCTGTTTTTAATATTTCATTGGTTTCTTAGACCGACTAATACCGACAAAACAATAGTTATAATAAGAATGATAACAATAAGATAGCAATAGTTATCTTTATCTTATAAACACGAAGGCAATAGACATAAACACGATTTTTGTCGTTGTTATGTTCACGATTAATATTAATTTTAATTACTTAGAACAATTAAGTTATTAATATTTGTTTTAAAATTGTCGTGGGACGCAGTAATATATTCAGACTACTTTTTTTCCGTGAGAAGACAGAAAAGTACGTCATTATCGTTATCAGAATGGGAAAAATAAGGCGCTTGAAATATTAATGTTATTACCAAAACAAAATCTCTCATAAAAAAGTAAGGTCTTTATTTGTGTTTTTAGCGAATAAAAACGATTGTTTTAATAATTTATTCATTTGGATTAAATTATTAATTAGTAAAAGTTAATTTCAAGCAATATAGAAAAAATACTTTTTCAATTTTCACTTAATTATGCTCTGATTTATTAAAAAAATGTATTTTTTCTTTAAAAAATTTAGATCCTTTTCAGTCCTTAGGTATAAACAAAATAAAAATCTGAGTACCGGACGTATCCTGAATTATTAAAAAAATGAACATACTGTTTTTGTAGCAATGCTCAGATCTGATCCAAACTACTTTGCCAAAATTTGTTCCCAATGTATAATATTATACTATTTACATAATTAATTAATAATAATATTTGGAGATTCGGCCGGCTAGATAACAAATATGCAAAAGTGGGGTTCTTTTCAGTTTTTCATGCTGCCTGAAAGTGATCCTTGCGGCGACCGACGCCCACTGGCAAGTAATTTCAGACGAAGAAATTGCACGAAAATTTTTGATCTCGGAAACATTTGGGTCTAAAAAAAACGCGTACTCATGTTTAGTTAAAAACAATTACTATGATATATAATACAGGTAGATAAACAAATAGTTCATATTATATTTTATTTGTTATGAAAAATTTCTCGTATAGAGTGAATTACTTCTACATGTTATTTGCATGTACTGTAAGACATGTTAAACATTATGAAATTCTAAATATGATAAATAGTAAAAAGAGCAAAACATTGAAAAAATTCATCACTTACAAGGGGGGTTAAGAACGTGGGATCACTGTTTTAATGACACTTTTTTTGATGATACTTGGTAGAAAAATATTAGACATTCCGAGCTTGCTTGCAAATGGTAATCTTAGGAGCCGAGAAAAAAATGTTTTAAGTAATTTACGATTTTTTTAAAATATGGTTTTCTGCCTCTGTTGTGCGTGTATTTCAAGGTAATTATTTATCAGCCAATTCACGTTTTACGTAGGATAATAAAACAATACGCTAGGATTAACAGAGATTAGATCTACAGTCTGTCCCGCATACAGATGGCAATACTTCAAAGGTTATCCCACATGTCAAATTGGACTTAAAAATCCCTATTGTTGAAAGTCTGATTCTTAATTGTATTCGCAAGTTTTCGCTTTTCAGGCTACTTCAACCTCTAATAGCTTTATTTTTATAAAGTACAATGTATCAAATAAAATATTAGTTCTACTTTAAATTTGATTGCACTGATAGAAAGAGTATTGAAAACCCTATGAAATTTATTTTTTTATTGAAAGTAATCAAAAAAAAAAATTCCCCAGTTCTTGTTTAATTAAAGTTTAGTATGTTCGTTTTGCCTAATGTACTGGACTTTAGAAAACAACTGAAATGTACTAATAGATGCGACACACGAATACTTCGGACCTTCTAAAGTTTAGTAAGATCGCCTTGATTGTAAATATTGACAGATATTGCGCTGTTACTAAAAAAGTTTCATTAACATTGGTGACCCCGTAGCATCCCCGTGTTAATTAGTGGGAATGGTGATAATTCTAAATTATGAATTTATGATCAAGCTAATCTACGGATTATCAGATAGCTTTTGTAGATCCCACCGAAAACCTTTAGATGAACTTCAAAAAAGACGTAATAAGACAAAACCAAACTTTAAGGACTGACGTACCATGGTAAACCTTAAAAATATTAACATTAACATTCACCACCCGGCACGTCATAAATGAAAATATAAATAAATATTTCAAATTATAATAACCAACTACTAAGTACTAAGTGATAATGTTAGATAAGGTCGAGGTATTGGCCCTCTTAAATAGAATTTTTTTCTCTCACTCTCTCTTTCTCTCTCTCCAACAATTTTTCTCGGAAATAAGACAATTTATTCGTTCACGGTTCGTATAAAACCGTGTCAGAAGGTGCGATGGTAATTTCCAGGCAGAAATGTTTGTGGAAATGCTTAATTGCTCAACATTGTGTGAAATAAGGGCGAGACAAAAGCTCTACTTGTGGGAGTTTTGAAAATATGAAGCCTAGAAACGTTCTCATGTACCTTGTTTACTTCTCTCTCATGAGTAGCATGACAGTTGAGACACCTTTGAGAACTTACTAATTAATCTCTAAATCACTACTGTATATTTCTTCAACATTGTATACGTTTGGTTTGATGTTCCCGTGGAAGGCCATGGCTCATAAACTATACTTAAAAATCTCAGAGTTTTTCCATTTATATTAAATAATATTTTTTCTTTTGAAGTAAAATAGTAGTTTTTAATTTATATGTTATATTATTACTTTTGGAAGTATTATTTAAGAATGATAATAAAGAAGTTAAGTTTTCTTGGTTGAGGGCACTACGATGTAGTGCATCACAACTCATTTGATTTAGCTCATGTTAAGGAGGGCTGTAGTAATTTATGAGATTCCTTTTAAGCAATTTTCAAGTTTATGCCATCTATTAAAAATCAAATAATCACGGATTAATTGGCTCGTATAAACAGCAAAATGGATGTAGAAAAGGAATTTTTCCCATTCCTTATTTTTCTCAACTTGGACGA